CCGGCCCGCCAATGGCAGCCGCCAAGGGCGTACATACGCCCTCGGCGGGCCAACGCAGAGCCACTGGCCATTGACACACGGTTGCTTCTCGCACAAATGACCGCGTCTGTACTTCGATGAGCGCCAGTATTCTCTCTCTCGCATCTGCATCCTATTTCTGCTCAATGTTGTGCGTCAGGCGCGCGGCGCTGGCTATGCCCACCCTCTTTCTGAGGACTGGCTGCGGAGAGACGCCTTCACAAGGACCCGAAGGTCGCATTCAGCGTCTGATTCAAGAGATGTACTGGGGGGTACAGCACTCTCACACGACGATCACGTTCGTAGCTGCTCATAGACACCGTGACCGTAAATATGCTACGAAGGCGGTTCGAACGATATATCTTGCTTACAGCTACTTACATCAACGGGGCGAGTGAATTATTGCTGAATCAAAGCCAGAGTATCAGGGACAGCTCCATGCTAACGCACCCGCGTGCTTGCGAGTGAGCCCCCTCAGGCCTCAGGAGGCAAGACGCGTACTCGGAGAACACGGACCGGCGTGGGAGCAATGCCACAATTACCTAATCACGTCTGAATGCGGCAGGATTGCCGTTTCGGGACACGCTCTCGACCACCATCGCGCTCATCTCAACTGTTCACTGCGCCTTCGCGTAGTCTATAGGCGCCCGTCGACGTCTGGTATATACAAGTGCTCGGAAGACTGCTCAATGCAGTCCACGGCGGATGTGCTCATCTCTGAGCGTACTGAAGAACTGCGGTAGGGCCCGTGGTCTTGCAGCGCCCGCACTATAGCTCATGTTCCTATCTGGGCTTCTAGTATAATCCTTGCCGGACGCCATGGGGATTTACGAGAACTCTTTGGTCTGATACGACACAAGAAAGACTTGAACAGTTACCTTGTCGATAGGGAAGACGACGCAGATATGCTGCAATTTCTGGCGCGATTTGATCTAGACTTGGAGAAGGAGTGAGTGGATGCATCCTCAGTCGCACTATATGTACCTCTCATAACTAAATGATACAGTCCCAATCTGTACAGCATCACCCAGCTCGAAGACGACGCCCTCAACTGTAGGTTTACGCCATCGCCACCCCCTCAATTACCTCCGACATCGGCGCCACATACTTCTGTGTCACCTGAACGACCTGTCTCTCGCTCTGAGAAACACTCGCCTACCCCACCCACGACCAAGGATACGTCTATGGACGTCGACCTTCCTGCTGCCTCTGGCTCCAAGGCGGGACTAGAGCCGTCAACACACGCCCACGAGTCTTCGCCCAGCTCGGTCGCTCCCCGCACGTCAAAGCCATCACCTCTTAATGCTGAACAAATTGAGACCGCTGCACCATCTGTGAAGTCTGATGCACATACACAAGCTGTCGCCGGGCCATCTCGTCTATCGTCTCCCCCAATACGACCTGTAGCTGGTGCATCTTCGGCCGATGTCTCAATGGCGGATGTTCCCGAGCTTTCGCAGCCTGTACACAAGGTCTCCTCTGCAATCACGTCGCTCCCCCCTTCCGCATTCATCCTCCCAATGACTATCCCAGTCACACTTTCGGCATCGCTCACTCCAATGTCTCCACCGCATTTTGAATTCCCATCCGTCACGGACGCGCCAGTCGATGTGAAGAGTGTCCCGGCACGTCCAACGCACGTACCCGAGTTTGTGCTCGGACGCACGTACACGCTCCCGCCGCTCAAAGCCCTTCCACTTGAGTATCAGCGCCGTTCGAAGCTCTTGAAGGCCGCAAAGAAGCGTGAGCGCGCGGGTGGTTCTGGCCCAGCCATTGGTCCGGAGGGTCGCCGCGAGGATTGGGTGCCGTTGGGGATGAACCGCTGGAGCGCGGCATTGCGCGCCAATCCTCTATGGACGCGCGTAGCGCGAGCGCAGAAGACCCTCAGTACGCGTGATTGGGGCGTCGCATTCACTGAGCTGAGGCTTGTGCGTACGTTCGAGCGTATAGACGCACTGAAGTTGGAGGGGAAATGGAGCTTCCGGCAGCCGAAGAAGCAGCGTGGAATTGGCGGGCTAGGAAAAACGCATTGGGATTATCTCTTGGACGAGATGGCAAGTCGTGATCAACCACAAGACTGGCTTCAATGACTGACCGCGATTTTTTCTCTAGATGTGGATGCGTACGGATTTTCGCGAAGAACGTAGATGGAAGATTGCGCTCGCTTTCGACTTGTCAACCGCTGTGCTCCAGTGGCATAAGGCCGGCACGCACGCGCGACGTTTAGAGGAGGGTATCATCGTCGATTTGTCCAGGCCGCAACCCATCGGGGACGAAGGATCCCCTGTTCAAGACCGCGACGTCGAAATGAATGACGCCGACGAACCTATCCCAACCCCGCTTCACATCCAAGCACCGAAAGAAGACGAACCATTGCGTCCACTTCTCGTTGATGCGGATTACGCTAGCGACGATAGTGAGGAGGAGCAGGAGAACGAACAGCAGGAAGTGGTCGACGCACTTGCACCTGCTCAGCAAGTAGAGGACGCGTACGCAGCAACACAGGAACTGGATATTTGCGATCAGCCGGAGGTAGCACCGATGCAGCTGAAAGTCGAGGATATCGAGACTGCCCTTTCATTTGCGGACGCGCAAACGCCGATGGCTGTTGATGCCTCGCAGCCCAGCACATCAGGCCAACCTAGCCGCATCGATACTCCCGCGCAGAACGTCGACTCGGGGCTCAAGACAACCTCGCAGGATCCCAATCTCGCGACTGGCGTCTGGGAGGCCGCCGCGCAGACGAAAGGTGTTAAAGGCAAGGGTAGCCAGTACGGGCGGCTTCGCAACGAGATCACGTACTCGGACGAACTTGTCTTTAACCTTGACGACCTCGTTGGTGCCTTGCCTGACTTCCAGGACTCCTCGCTCTCACCGCCGGCTGATATCGTCGACATCTTCCCTGACGCGCAGGTGTATGACTTCGATATAACGCCCGTTGCGCCGGCCGCTCCGGAGGGCAAGAAGAAGAGCGACAGGCGCGACAAAGATGATCCGACTAAGCGCCAAGACCTGACGACATTGAGCCGGCTGGCGCCTGTTTCGCTTTTCCAACAGCAGCGACCGACCCTGCTTGGACCGCTCATCCCTGCGGCGCACTGGGTGGATGGTGAATGGATTGACTTGGACAACGGTCCCGTGTACATCGACTTCGATGCGCCAGTGCGACCACCTGATTCGACGATCACCGGCCTATTTGATGGTGTGCGCCCGCAGCTTGAAGACGATACTATACTTCCAACGGCACCGCGCGATCCTACACGTCGGCAGGTGGAGACCAACTGGACACCGGCCGAGGATGAACTTCTCCGCTCTCTCGAGGAGAAGTACCCCCGCAACTGGGCTCTTATCGCGGACGCGTTCAACACCACGCGCGCCGCCATTGCTGCGGAACGTCGCGCTGATTGGGAGTGCAAGGAGCGATTCAAGTTCAAGTTTCGCTCTCGACCAGAGGATTCTGCAGTGGAAGAACCGCCCACGCCCGCATCCGCATCCTCGCGCCCTCAAGTCACAACGCGCAAGCGCCTTGCTAGCCAAAGCGGGCGTGATCCACCTGCACCGACCGGCGCAGTTGAATCGCATAAGCGCAAGAGGCACACGTACGTCGGCGACGCGATTCGGAAGGCTACGAAGCGGCGCGATTCGGCACAGAAGCAAGCTGCAGGTGATTCCAGTGTATCCAGTCGTCGTTGACATACGCATTGACGAAAGCACAGCGGGTTCTCGCCGGAATGCTCCCCCGCACGAGTCGCACAACGAGCTCAAGAAGGCGGCGAAGCTCACACCTGCAGACCACTCGCGAATGAAGCACGACAAAGACGCGCGGGCGCATCATGAGGCAGAGCTACTACGTCGGCGGCAGCAAGCCGGTCAGCAACAGCAGCAACAACAACAGCAGGCGATCATGGCGGGACGCGTGCCTGTACCGCAACTGCAGATGCCAGTGAGGATAGTGTGGTTGTAATCCCCCAATACATGCTGAAATCTGCACATAGGCACAGCCAGGTGTCAATACGCCACCAGGTGCAGCTGCCGCTGCCGCTCAACGAGTTCCGCAAGGGCAGGTTCCACAAATGCGCGCGCAACAGCCTCAGGTCAATATCTCGCAGGCGCAACGTGCGCCATCCGGAAGCAACATGACGCCTCAGCAGCACCAGCAATACCTCCAGCACATGCAAGCGCACGCTCAGGCCCAAGCACAGGCCGCGCAAGCTCAACGCGGTGCGCTTGTCGCCGCGGCGAGTGCGAACATGCCGAATACGTTGCCACCTACGGGCCACCTCTCCCCGCCGTTTTCGGCTGCGAATACGCGACAGGCATCGCCGAACGGTATGATTGCTGGCCAGCAATCACCACCACGCCCTGCGGGTACTCCCAATCCTCCGGGAAGACCTGGTTCTGCCGCAATGTTGCAAGGGTCGCCGCAGATGCAGCACGCGATGGCGCGGCAGGGCAGCACACCTGGTTATATGCAGTTGCAGGCCAATATCATGCAGCACTTGACTGCTGAGCAGGTAATGCGAGCGCAACAGATGATGGTGCGCTACTTACCGGCTGTCGTATTCAACTGGGAGCTAATGTCGCCCGTCAGGTGGCCCAACAACAGCAGCACCAGCAACAACAACAATCTGGAGGTGGATCGGGCGCGTCAGGGTCGGGCTCTTTTTAGTCGTATATGCTTTTGTCGTATCGCTTTCTCCTCGCTATCTTGCTGTGTGGGCGTTGCTGTATAGGTTGTTTTACTTGTTATCCATTCACAATGTTGCACTGGCGACAAGCTGTGAAGCCCGAGGTTGAGATAGATGGAGTCGAGATCCGACGTGAATGGGCTCGCGCGACGCGAGGCCCCGCGTCTTGATCAGCACCCACCACTATGACTCTATTACTTCGATGACCGGCTCCGCCCCCATTGCACATAATTCTTACCCTGCATTATCTCTTTGTCCTGCAATTTGACTGTCGTGATATCTGTACTTCTACTCGTACACTCGCCTGAGCAGCTCCGATGAGCTCGAAATCGCGTCCGCGCGGGACGTACAAAGCACCAGTGCACCGCGCCCTTGATCCACTCCTCATATTCCCCGGCTCTCAGGTCGCCAGTAAACCGGAACGCGACGTCAATCACCGTCTGCACGCCCTCCGTGGCGAGCACTTCAGGCATGACCTCAACATCCGTCGTGCTCTCGCCGCTTCGACGCACGCGACACCGCGACAATCACTCCCCTATGGTCAGATATTCGGCTCCGATAATCAGGATGCTGTCACAGACCCTGCCGTGGATGTACCGCTGACGCCGAGTACAGCTGGTCCAGTGCCAAAGAGCTGGGTTCCCACGACAGAGTCGCATGAGCCGGACTTGGACTCGCCGTCCTGGCGTGCGGGCGCGTTGGAGCTATTTCTCGACGACGAAAAGTTCACTTCGACCTCAAGCCTGAATAGTGAACAAGGGCGCTACGGATCGTCTATGCCCTCGTTGCCGCTACTGTGCGTACGCGCTCTGCTCGCGACATACGGCTCAGACGCGGAGTCGATTTCCGCGTTACGCCCGTACCTTCCGCCGGCCGCGAGAAGGATATTACTGAGAGATACGGCGGTATATGAGCCCCTCAGCAGCGGTGCACTCGCTGCACTACTTGCTCCAGATGGACATGCGGGTGGCGAGGTTATCATCGTCGGGCCCGGGCAAGTGATGAAGTCTGAGCTGTTACGAGCGAGCGAACCAGCAGGAGTTGAGGGCGAAGCCAATGATTCACATCCTCGCGAGGACGCGCAAGAAGGGTGGCGAGACGATGACGATGAAGAAGAGTCTTGGGACGCTCCGACTGACGGAGACCTATACACCGCATCGGGTCTCGCACTTCTGCGGACGCCTCTCCCGGTCCGCTTGCTGCCTTCGCTACCTGCGACGCTCACGCGACTATCGCTCGTCGCTCTTCCCTCCCCCGCACCTCTGCATCGCCTGCCAGGAGCATGTCCGTTACTTGAACTACTGGACCTCAGTTGGAACAACTGGCTTGCGAAGCCTGCGTGGGGCGAGGATACTGCCCTTGCGAGGATTAGATGGGACAGGTGGACAAGGCTCAGGGTGTTAGGCGTGCGAGAGACTGGTTTGGACGGTGATAGCGAGGTGTTGAAGGGAGTCAATGAGGGACGTTGGGTGGATGGGATGGAAGTCGTGGATATCATTGCTTAGGCTACACGCGTCGCACAGTGTTGTATAGTATACCTGTATGAGTACAACCGCGCTTTTTCAAACGTGAGTGTAAACGATAAATTGTCGGATAGGTTTCCTGGGAAGTAACATCTAATAGTCGAAGGCTGATTGGAGACTTGAGAGATGGGGTGCTAGATGTGGGCTGCTGAGTTGCGTGAAAGTCCAGATGATGATTCGAGAGCTAGTACAAAGCGCGATGGAATGCAGTGTATACAATGAGAGTGGACAGCGATCGGATAGCTACATATGGTATTCATTGAGATGAGAGGAGTTGCGAAATCTATGCGGAAAGTGAGGGAAAGAATTGCGAGATGCGGAAGGGAGCGACGGGCTGAAGAACAGATTAGTCTCACGTAGTTGGAAGAGAGCAAGCGGAGCTTGCCTCGTTGTCGTCAATGTCCCTCGTGCGGCGAGCAATCGGGAGGCGTAGGCCTTCAGGTATCTTCGCAGTAGCCGGGAGCTGATAACTGTGCTCGGACATATATCCCCACACACCACAAGTCTGGCGAGCACACAGTTCCAACTTTGATACTGGAGAGAGGCCGGCACGGTCTGTGAACGACATGTCAGTACGCCCCTCAGGTTAGAGATTGGGAGGGGCGAAGTCTCACAGAGCATTGCGCAGTCGATCTGCTTTGCAACGTCCTCCCGGCGCTCCTGCTTCAGATACCGCGCGACGGGGCTCGCCTCTGGGACCTTGTGCGCCAGTAGTAGACTCACGCGTCCCAGCTCTTCTTCATAGTCACGGCGGTCGTCTGGATCGGGAAGTTCTTTCACAAGCTTTCCGATCTCGTAGACGTGGTTCAAGAGCGCCATGAGGTGCGCGTCAGCGTTCTTGCCATTCGCAGGTGTGGATGTGGGTAACGCGTTCGGGACCGATTCAGCTTCAGGTGTTGGCGTGGGTGCGATGGTAGGTGTCGCAGGCTCAAGAGGTACGGTGCGTGAAGCTTCAATGAAAGCGAGAATGCGTAATTCAAGATATAATCGTGTGGGGTCGACAGTGTAAGGCACGAGTGTTCGGATGGGCGGTGGTGGCTTGCCGGGCGGACTCTCGACTGGTGGCGGCTGGTCGGGTGAGTTACGGTCTAGTACAGCAGGGAAGTTCGCGTTGAGTAGGGCTATAGCGTCATCCACCCTTCCAGTTAATATGCATGTTCGGACTTCTGTGAATATGAACATTGATCAATAAAGACGTTGTGCGGGGTTGTGCGGGGGAGAACGAACCTCGACGAAGTTGTGCTTGGGCGAGGAGGTCTTCGGATACCTTACCGCTGTCGGCTTCGTCTGCAGTTGGTGTGACGTCGTCGCCATCAGCGTCGAGGTGGCGGACACGGCTTTCGTCTGAGAAGGCCCGCGCGGTGTCGGCGTAGGCATTGTGCGTTAGATAATCCAAGATGAGTGATCGCTGCATGGAGGAACTGGGTTAGAACTTTCCGCATTGGTGCATCATGGAAGTGGCTGTACCAGCAGATGGCCCGTCACGGGCAGGGCGGATGCCATATTGATGGTGGCGGCGGGAGGGAAGGCAGGTTGCTCAACTGAGACGCGGGTTGTATCTCCCCACCATATCATCCGAGGGCCCATGCCCTCCTTCAGCGATGTCTGCGGCTGGATCTCCATCCTGACGTGGCTCGGAGCTCAGTTTCCGTGAGATACGACGTGCTATGATATATATGTGTCACGTTCTAAATATCGGCAGACAGGTCCTCGAGAATATCCGGAATCAGTCCGTTGAAGGCCTTGCGCTGCCGTTCCTTCTCAATTGGCTCTTAGGTCCGTGCTTCAGTTGTACGTGCTGATATCCTTTTATTGACGATAGCGCTACAGGAGACCTCACAAACTTGATCGGATGTCTATTAACACGCCAACTCCCGTTCCAAACCTATCTCGCCAGCTACTTTTGCTTCGTCGACGTGACTCTAATGGGCCAATTCTTGTACTATTCCCGCAAAGCTTCCCTCAAGGGCAAGGCCGCTCCGACCACGCCCGCATTACATTCCCGACATAGCACAGCGCACTATCGTGCTCTGTCCAATGCGGCGGCCAACGTCGCAGCCAGCGCCGCGCTCGCCGCTCGCCCAGACAGTGAACGCGCCGAGGATGAGGATGAGGTTGATGAAGACGCACTAGCTGCACTCGCCGAGAGCTTTCACTCTGAGCTCGGACATAGCCATTCGCGGATCGGCCGGCGCGGAGTTTCATGGAGCAGAGAACGCCCACTGTCGCCTACGCTCGAGCCGCTTAATCCTCTAGTACTGTCGCGTGGTCGTGCCGCTCAGCCGTACGCAGAAGAGGAGGGGGCAACGGAGAGGGAGGAAAGCCAGCGAAGACGAAGTTCGCGGGCGAGTCGTGTCAGTGCTAGTATGGTGTTCATGAGCGCATGGGCCCTCTTCAGCGTTGGGGCGCTAGTGGGAGGCGGCCGAACCGTAACACGCGATTCGGGGATACGGTTATCGCGTGGGAGGGTGTTGGCGGATGTGAAGCCCGTACCACTCGCTGAAGCGCATCTCGTGCCGATACACCCATTGGTACCCGTGGACGCGCCGCCACCGGCCTCTTCAGCTGAAGTGCTCGTCTCGTTTGAGTCACTGCCTGAGGATGGCACATTCGACACTCAGTCCGACGATGGCGGGTCAATGGAGCGCATCATCGGGCGCATCTTCGCGTGGACATGTACTACGCTCTATCTCACATCTCGCCTACCACAGATCTGGAAGAACTACGTGAGGAAATCCGTTGAGGTACGTCTCTTGCTTCACCCAGTACTGCGAGCCACCTGCCGACATTTTCTATCACCATAGGGGCTATCCGTATTCCTCTTCATCTTCGCTTTCCTCGGCAACTTCTTCTACGTCTTATCTATCCTCACCGCGCCCAACATGTCCCTTCCACCTCCCGAAGCAGCCGCTTATCTCAAGGAGAGCATACCGTACGCGATCTTCTCTTCCTCTCCCACGATCTATTGCTGACGAACCCACGTGCCGCGCCACAGGTACCTACTCGGTAGTGGTGGCACGCTCATGTTCGATGTAACAATTGTCTGCCAGACAATGCTATATCGACCGAAAGCGGCCATACAGGCGCGCCGTAGTTCGCTCAGTGGAGGCGTTGAAGAGCGCGAGGCGTTGATGAGCGCGAGTGCGGACATCGACGTCGCTACGCCGAGGAGACGGGTCGTCGGCGCGGATGGCGCTTGAGGGTATAGACCGCATCGTGTACACCTAACTTATCGTCTGTACATTTTTTTCGCATCGCTGATTGAGTATGTAAGTGGCACCTCATCGGCGTTTCACCGGGTCCGCATTGTTTGTTGCCGTGAACACGCTACTCTACGTTGCACCCTGTCGATCCAGCTTCACGCGTAGTGCCGTAGCGTCGACGGTATCTATGATCCTAGTGGCGTGGGTGCGATGTCAGATCTGTCTGACATGGTACGGTATCATCGATACTGCATTCCCAATATGAAATCCAGTACCCCTATATGGCTGCCATCAAGCGGTGAGCGCACGAGCACCATCTATATGCATGTGCGATGACACCTGATGACACTCCAGGGAAGCGTGATACTCCCCATATATGGCTGAGGATCCGCGATTCATCTACGAAATGGAGAATCTGTCGTAGTGCTCTCTGCGGAAGGAACTTGCATTACTCGTCGACAAAATCGGGTTTAGGGTTTCTATACAGACTTGACTCATGGCAAGCGTGTGTCCTTCATTGGATCGTGAAAGTGTGTTTCCGTACTCACCCCGTGCCCTTGCAGAGTCGTGGGCCTTGTGCCGGTCCGTTCATCAAGGGTTTGAGGGTCCTACGGGGGCTATACTGAACACTCATAGTATTTTGTCAATATACAATAACTTATGGCAATGTACCGACCAGTGTCAGGTATATGCACGGCGTGCACTTGACAGCGTGAAGTTGTTCGATTGATGCGAGCGGAGCCAGGGCGGTACGATGGGCGGTACGAGGACAGTGCCATGTCATGCTGGCAACATGACACTCATGGCCCGTCCAGATCGCGATGGGCAGATCCGCAACCGTATCATAAAAGAGACCTTGTGCACGTCTCAGGTCGGCCTCCCTCTCATCTTATCAGTATGTTTCGCGCACGCATTCGAGGTGTAGGCTCCCTCCTCTTCCTCGGCCTTCTTCGCCCCTTTCTCGTACACGGTCAGGACTTTGATATTCCTCCCACTTGGCATGTGCGTGTCCGCCATAACTTGTTGGATGGAATGGCTTCAGACATTAACACGTTTATAGAAGCCAAATTCAACCATACCGCGCTCCGAGCGCCTTGCAAGGGCTCAAGCCGCGGTCGAGTCTTTGGTACCAAGCTTCGATGCCTCAAATGGCACCGTCCCTCGTATGTGACCACATTGTTCCCGTTCACGTTTCGCGAGTTTGTCTGATACATACCATAGCCCTTAACGTTTGGGTATCGGCCAATCTTCTGGCGAGCATTGCGCACCTCGACTACCTTTCAGAATCCCAAGATTACCATGATCTTGTCAAGAGCAATATGGCCGCGTTCCAGAACTCTAATCGTGCATTTATGGAGTATGTAGCACGTCTTCGCTCACGATCCCGCGTGCTGAATACTTTCCAGAGTTCCGGTGAGTAGTGCGCCACGATTAGCTGTCTGGCGCAGGCAGTCACGCATCTTGATTCCAGAAAAATTCCACCAGGGATCCCATGTCAGTCACTTAATTATCTCTTCCGTGCCATTCTGGATCTCACGTCCCCACTAGTATGTGGGGCTTGGCGGCATTCTATGGCTCCCGCGCATACAACGATACAGATTTGCTGGCGATTGCGCAAGGTCTCTGGAACACGGTGCAGCAATTCGTTGTGTCCGCTCAAGATGCAGCGGCGGGGACGCAGCATTCTAGAAACGGGACTTTCACGTCGCACTGTATAGCGAATTCTAACGGTGCGCTACCCCGTGTGATGCACATTTAGACCCTGACATATGCATCGCATCCATCAGAAACGCCCGCCGGAGCCGTATTCTGGGTGAGTATGATAGTACACGACCATACACCACGTCCGCATCATCATATAAAAGCGCGTTGTGTTGCTCACCCAGACGCCTCTTCACTCAGTTGACGACATCAACGGATTTCAGAACACTCGGAGAGTCTGTCTCAGCATACGTAGCGTAAGTGATATGGATGTATTACAGGATAAGACACTGAAGCGCTCTTAGATTATCTGCACACCTCTGGAAGGCGACAGGAAACATGACTTATCTCATGTCCGCCAATCAGTCCGCTCTGTTTATGTATACGTACATGTGGGCGGGAGGTTCGAGCTCGCATCCAGACCTTTTTTGGGACGGGTCCGTTACTCTACCCTCTTCACGGCGGCATCTAATGAGTCTGCTCTCAAGATGGGACCTTCAACAGTGCCAGGTGCCTTCCGACCCGATCGGATTTTACTCGTATGATCAGGGTTTCATCATGGAGGCTCTAACAGTTCTCGGCAATGCGCCGCTACCAAACAACGCGTTTTGGACGTCCCTGTGAGCGAGGAGCCTTTCTTCGTATATACAGTACGTTATCTGATTCAGGTTAGCTTACAAACACTCGTCGCTTCTACCATACCCTATTACCAGTGGACCAGCGATACAGGCGTCATGAACGAGAGTCAGAAGATTGATACATCAATGACCTTACCTGGGCTGACTTTCCTTCCAGCTTCCAACATAAATTTTAACGATAACGAGATGCAGCTGATCTACAAAGGTCCGAACCATTCATCTGTACGAGGGCTTACCGAATTCACGAATGTGCTGACACAGACCAACGCAGATGTTTTCATCCGCGCTCTCTGGGAGATCTGGTCGCAGACCAATGCAACGGAGCCCATGGCCATGTACATACAAGCGTTCATCATGGTCCAAGTGATTCGTTTTACTGATCCTTCCCTTTATCCTGCGCTGCTGATACAAACACCGTGCAGTATAATGCATTACTTGAGCTTGCTGGCGACGGGGACGTGTACTCCCCACTCTGGACCAGCGATGTGAATATCCCCCTGCCGAAAGCCTGGGGCCAATTGGAGGCGATGGCAGTACTCAATACGGCTGTAGCTTTGCCTCCAACGTCAAAGTATGTAGACAAGAGTGCACTCACGCGCACAAGTCTTAACTGACATCGCTGCTCGGTAGCTCCTCTTCAAGTCCGCCCTCAGGTGTAACCAGTTCACCCCCGAGCCCGAGCACAGGTATCCCATCGCCCTCCTCCTTGTCCGGAGGTGCGATTGCCGGCATCGTGGTGGGTGTCATTGTCGCTGTCCTATCAGTGGCCTTAGGTACTATATTGGTCAAGCGGCGCTCAAGACGTGAGGTGTCGGCAGCGTCCAATGCCCGACATCCCGAGAACGATGATATGACGGTCATTAATCCCTTCAGGCTGTCGGGACCGCGGCCGATGCCGACCGACGGCACGAGGTCTTCTAATGCTCATGGTGATCTTCCTGCGAGAAAAGATAGGCCAGGTTATGGACTGGCTGAAGTCGCAGAGCCTTCTCAGCCATCACATTCGACGCCACTGCCGGCTGACATTTCCACGGAGACGGCGCCACTCGAAGAGCTCAGCGAGACGAGCATTACGCGCCTAGTAAATCAGCTCATGAGACGGATTCAGGCGCAGGAGAACCCCCCTGCGTATGATTAAGCTTGCATTCTCGAATATTTTGCATCGGAGCCATGATTGTCGTGTATGCATGATATTCTCGTATTGTTACATACCCTGAAGTATTCCCTCCTCACTCATCGCGCACGCTGAATAAATGCCTTCCCCTTGATCAATGTCACGTGCGAGTACAAATCCCCCTCGGTGCTGGATACAGTATGTGCGGGATCATCGCTCTCACTTGGCCCTCACTGAGCGCAGACTCCGTGTCTGCGTCTCGAAATGCAGAGTACAACCGCTCTAAGCTGCACGCTGAGACAATCGTCTGGTGTGTATGCAGGTCATCGCCAATGCTAAGCCATGATATCATCGACTGATGCGTCCAGCCGCGAGCGCCTCGCGCCTCGCGACCCGTTGCTTCCTACTTCCATTTCGGTTCATCACCCTAAGCCCTCTTTCGTCTTAATCTCACTACGGTGCAACTGAAGAAGAATGACTGCAATGTGGAGAGGGAGGAGAGTCAGCAGAGACGAAGCCGCGGGCAAGTCGTGTCAGTGCTAGCATGGTGTTCATGAGCGCATGGGCGCTCTTCAGCGTTGGGGCGCTAGTGGGAGGCGGCCGAACCGTACAGCGTGATTCGGGGATACGATTATCGCGTGGAGGGTGTCGGCGGATGTGAAACCCGTATCGCTCGCTGAGGCGCATCTCGTGCCGATACACCCATTGTTACCCGTGGATGCGCCGCCACCGGCCTCTTCAGCTGAAGTGCTCGTCTCGTTCGAGTCACTGCCTGAGGATGGCGCATTCGACACTCAATCCAACGATAGCGCGTCAATGGAGCGCATCATCGGGCGCATCTTCGCGTGGACATGTACTACGCGCTATCTCACATCTCGCCTACCACAGATCTGGAAGAACTACGTGAGGAAATCCGTTGAGGTACGTCTCTTGCTTCACCCAGTACTGCGAGCCACCTGCCGACATTTTCTATCACCATAGGGGCTATCCGTATTCCTCTTCATCTTCGCTTTCCTCGGCAACTTCTTCTACGTCTTATCTATCCTCACCGCGCCCAACATGTCCCTTCCACCTCCCGAAGCAGCCGCTTATCTCAAGGAGAGCATACCGTGCGTCACCTTCTCTTCCCATCCCTCGATCTATTGCTGACGAGCCCACGTGCCGCGCCACAGGTACTTATTGGGTAGTGGTGGCACGCTCATGTTCGATGTCACCATTGTCTGCCAGACGATGCTGTATCGCCCAAAAGCGGCCATACAGGCGCGCCGTAGTTCGCTCAGTGGAGGCGTTGATGAGCGCGAGTGCGGACATCGACGTCGCTACACCGAGGCGGCAGGTCGTTGGCGCGGATGGCGCTTGAGGGTATAGACAGCACCGTATAAACCTAACTTATTGTCTGTACATTCTTGCATCGCCAGACATTGGCCAACCCGAGACACCACCAAGTCTTTGGCTCTTGATGGCCTCTGGCCGGTGCGCGCCTAGTGAGCATCATTACATCAGACAATCGCGAAGCCTTCACAACAGCATCTCTGTTGAGCTGCAGATCTTCCATCCACGGATGAATGACTTGCTGTGCATGGTTCCAGTATGGTTCCCGCAGAACTGAGATGTGCCTACTAAAGCCGAAAGAGGATTGGTGTTGTGTTCACACTCACGAGGCAAAAGGTGTCCTTCACATAAAGCCCAGAGAGGGGATGACTTCGGTCCTTCTCCCGCCCCTGCTAATGATGCGTCCCCTTGCGTCCCACTCCGGCATCCGCACACTGTTAAGGGTATTACTGGCCGTAGGTGCGGTACGATGTCAAGACTTCAATATACCCCAAAGCTGGCGAGTAAGTGCTCGCAACGAATCCCCACCCGGACTGGTAGTGACTGACCGATCGACATAGAAACCAACGTCTTCGCTGTCGCTGGCCCAGCGTGTATCGCTGGCGTCAAATGCCATCAGTCCGTTGGTAACCTCGATCAACCCGAGTAACGGGACGAACTATGGTAAGTACCGCCTGTTCTTGCGGATACAGTAGTAGCGATACACGTGCTGAGCAATGGAGCAGAACTAAACACATGGCAGTCCGCTGGTTTACTAGCAAGCATCGCACAGCTAGACTACGTATCAGGCGCACAGAACAATCATGAACTTGTTCAACAGAGCGTATCCGCTTTCCAAAGTAGCCATCTCGCCTTCTTCGATTCCCAGTACGTGCCTTACCCGATGTGGATCCTTGTCCGTTCTAAGAGCATCGTTTCAGACTTCCCGTCAGTGAAGCGCTCTCACCATCTGTGATCTATGTTGACAGCTCCTCTACGTTGTAGCGCAACGTGACAAGTGATCCGCTGTGAGTTCCAACATGAGCTATCCGCGCTACTCGGAGATTTGATGAACGTACAGTATGTGGGGTCTGGCAGCGTACTACGGGGCGCGCGCATACAACGATACTGTGCTTCTGGATACGTCCAAGTCCATCTGGTCCTCTGTGCAGACGTACGTCGTCAGTGCCCAGAATGGTGCATCCGGGACCCAGGCAACGAAGAATGGCACCTTCTCCGCAAGCTGCTTGTCCAATTCGAATTGTACGTTGTTTCTTGACTAAGAATACAGGATTAAACTCAAATCTGGCTCTCCTAGATACCTCCGCCGGGGCAGTCTTCTGGGTGAATGATAGACATCCTTGATAGAATGTCGCACAAAGACTCATACTACCTGTGCCCCGTTGTAGCAAGCAACGATCCCTAACAATTACATGTCCAACGCGGAGACAGTGGGCGCATATGTGGCGTGAGTGACCAATATTATGGCTGAGATGCTGGCACTAAGATGTGTCTAGCCTATCTGCGCACCTATGGGAAGCTACGAGAGACACAGAATACCTCGATTCTGCAGCACAATCCGCGCAGTTCATGTACAATTACCTGTACTCGAACGAGCTTCAAATCATCTGGGACACGTGCGTACAAATAGCTTAGACATGCGCATACCTAGCTCACCGTACGTCATGTGCAGCTTTGATCTGAAAGCATGTACAGTAAGCCAGCTGAACTGGACTTATAACCAAGGGTTCTTGATGGAGGGCCTCTCTATCTTGAGTTCGGCGCCGGTGATATCGAACACGACTTGGACATCTCTGTGCGTTTCAAGCCCTTGCATTGTACATATGCCATCTGACGAGCCTCAGGTTGAGAACGCTCGTCAGTTCGACGACCCTCTTCCCAGCGTGGACCAGTCCAAACGGCACTAACGCCGGAGTATTGATCGAAGGTTAGTCTGCGAGTCCTAATAATTTCCCTGCCGCAATAGGCTCACTTGGCATCTCCAGCATCGAACATTAATCCAAGGGTGAACTCCGTGCTCTTCGACTACCGAAGTCAGTACACTCTCCTATGGCATAACCCTGAAACCACCCGCTAAACGACTCTGCGAGGTAGACGTATTCATCAACGCCCTACTCGAGATATGGGCTCGTATACCTTCGAATGACCCAATGGCGGCTTTCATTGAAGCATTCGTCATTGTACAGGCCAGTCCTTAACCTGTGTGCAGTCTTCGCGGAGTTCTCATACGTCTGTGGCCAACACTAGTTCAATGCCCTGCAAGATCTCGCATACAATCACGATACGTACTCTCCCGTCTGGACGGGGCCGCAGCTTCCTCAGATGGTTCCATGGGGTCAACTAGCTGCTATACCGGTCCTGAGCGCAGCAATCAAGATGGCACCGAGGTATAGCATCCTTGGCGAGGAGCTTGCGAGGCATGCTTTCTCACATCTTTTGCAGCCCGACGTCGAACGGGACTGCAACTTCGACCCCATCATCGCCAGCCGCAACATCCGGTGCAGCGTCTTCAAGTTCGGGTTCGTTGTCCGGAGGCGCAATAGCTGGAATCGTGATCGGAGCAGGCGGAGTGCTTGCCCTAGTGGCGGCAAGTGTGATCTTGGTCCGACGCCACAAGAGGCAACGCGCATCTGAGGAAAATGAACAACAGGCTGCTGTACAACCGTTCATGCCCAGCGCCGTGTACAGGCAGCCTGCGGGAACGGCAGAAAGTGTCAGGCAGCTACCGGCGGACTACAGCAGGAAGGATCGGCACGGTTATGGCTCTGGCCAACGCTATGTTGGAAGTCCGTTGCTCACCGTTCCGGATAGTGAAGAGCCTCCGTCTGCTCTCCCCACGGGCGGGCAGGCAACTTCGACCGACTTCCTATATGAGGTCATCGAGCAAGTCATGGACAGGATGCGTGGACGGGAGGAACCGCCTGCATATACAGGTCAATAAGAGTATTCAGAGCCGTGGGTTTTAGGAGGAGAGAATTGGCCTGGACAGTGCATATTGCGGAGCGCGGGTTTAAGCTTTAAGCCTTGGGAATTTGTTATCGCCGAGTAGGGTTAGGGTTGGAGTCGCTTGAGGCGGCTGGACGGCCCGATCGCGATGTTCGTTGTAACCGCCATGACCCATCAGCCTTTCCGCTTGTTCAATTCAGCTTTGCTGCTTCGCGGAATAAACTGCAGGGTTTGCTACGTGTACATGCTGACACTGCACCATGTTATTTCATCATGCTCGGACAGCGCGGAAGAGTAAACGTAGAGGCATCACAACTATCAACGCGGGCGAATGCGGGACTGCCTTGACGCATTGCGCCTGGGCGTAATGTGTGTACCACATCCGGATAGTTGCCTAATGAGATGACGCCCATTGCCCTCCGTCGCGACACATCAAGCCTTTTTTGGATCAACATCTCGAAGCCGGGGTTAGCGCTGGTGTTGCTTGGGGCGTAAGGGTTCCCGCGTCTGCCTGATGAGACGTTGTTCATCTGCTACCTGGATGATAGATGGACTTCGCTATCTTGGAAGTTCGTGTTGACACTGTCTAAGTTCTCCCCCGTGCGAGATTACTTACCCGTGCATATATGCGTATATGACCTCCAACGACGCACACATATCCACATGCAAGTACCGGATGAGGGTCCACTCGATGCCACGGCCACGAGCACATCGCGACTGCAGAACGAACACCGCGAGATCGTTGATGCCTATGTGCCAGCACAGCAACGGGACAAGGCAAAGGCGCCCTGATACAAACATCTATGGGACAACCTGGGTATAAAACCCAACCCCATGATCAGAGCTGCTGCGCTCCCCTGCGCCCTTTCTGATACGACTATGGCTTCGACACTTTATATCGTATCCGTGATTTGGTGCCTGCTATTACCGACAGCAAGTAGCGGACAAGGTCTCAACTTCAGCATACCCAACGGATGGCGAGTGAGTGTCCGCCCTTTTGCTATAAGACGCACCAAAATAGTCATGACTCACGGGTCTGGGTAGAATGGGACTTCACTTACCTTGGACTCGCTCATTCCCCTCGCTCAGAATGCCGTCAACTCTGTGAAGCCTTTGACCGATTCTACTAATGGTACAAACTATGGTGCGCTCAATCATTGCAGAGAAGGTGGAGTTGCTGAATGCTCGGAAGCGCTCGATACCTGGCAATCGGCAAACTTACTCGCAAGTATCTCACAACTCGACTACGTATCGGGATCCAAGGATCATTATGATCTTGTATATAAAAGCATCTCTGCCTTCCAAGGAAGTCATCCGATGTTCTTCGATTCTCAGTACGCATTGTAGCATCTTGTCGTGAGACTCCTCATCTCTGATCATCGCGATAGAATCCTGGTCCGTACTATATCGCGCGTAGTACTCCTGGTAGATACTGACATAAGCTCTACGTTGTAGCGCAATACCACCAGTGACCCACTGTGAGTAATCGAAGTCTATATCGACGAACACGTCCACCCCTGACCTGAGTAGCATGTGGGCCCTAGCGGCGTTTTACGGCTGGCGAGCGTACAACGACGCGGCTCTGCAAGATATCGCGGTTGAAGTCTGGAATCAAGTGCAGGCTTCCGTGGTTGTTAACCAGACGATATCGGATTCAGGGACTCTTCAGACGAAGGACAACAGCACCTTCGAGACAGGATGTTCGTCGGTTATGCATAGTGAGCCCAACGTACTGCGGTGCTAAATGTTATATGCTGAACCCGTGACTCTGTGTAGAAACGCTAAGAGGAGCAGTGTTACAGGCAAGTGTATCAACTTCCGCGCTACATGGAAACTCACGACTGGTCGTTCCAGCATATGACGGATCCGAGCAATGCCGAATCCAAAGCGAGAACAGTCGGGGCTTATGTGGCGTGCGTCTTGATTGCTAGTGACACTGAAAGAATACTCAGCAACTGACAGACTGTCTGCACACCTTTGGAATTCTACTCAAGACAGCAGGTATTATACTGCTGCAAATGACTCGATACAGTTTATACACGACAACCTATACTCGAATTCATCGCACACCATCCAGGACACGTAAACTAACACTTGCTTTGCTTCCCAGTTGTCGTCCTCTGATGTCCCATATGCAGATTCGACCTTTCGTCATGCCAGGTACAAGACCCGCACCAATGGACAATCAACCAAGGGTTCTTGATCGAGGGCCTCTCAGTACTGATCTCAGCATCAGACTCGACATGGACATCCCTGTAAAGACGAACACTCGTCCTGGAGGCTTTGATCTAACTGTACCCAGGTTTCAAACGCTTGTGCAATCTTCCACCAATTCTTCTGAGTGGACGAACGGAACCGGGGTCATTAACGAACGTTAGTCTTCCTTCGCATCGCCCACGGCGAACTCTAACACCCCTTACCAGCCTCTCTTCAGCAAGACCCGACGAAGCAAGACCCGACGCAGGACTCGGCACACTTCACCTACAAGAGTTAGCACCACCTTCTCACACGTCTCAAGGATGCCATTGAACCCGTCCCCGTAGATGCACTCATCAATGCCCTACTGGAGACCTGGTCCTGGCAGTCTCAAGCATCTAACTCTGACACGATGAATATGGCAAAGTATGTAAAGGCCTTCGTTGATGTACAGGTATTATCTCACCAGCGTGAGGCTGCTGAAACCTATACTAATGGGCGCACAGTTCAATGCGCTGCGAAATCTTTCAACACTCAATAACGGCTCATACCCTCCCGTTTGGACATCGGAGTCACCACTCAACACTCAAGTCCCGTGGGGTCAACTCGCGGCGCTACCGGTCCTCAATGCAGAAGTTCTATTTGCGAAGTGCGCGTCGTCCTCGTTTGTTCGAGTACTTGTGATTATGCGAGACTGATAAGTCTCTTGTAGTCGATTATCTGCCGCAAGTGGTCCGGCGACGAGTACCTCTTCTACGTCTCCCACACCGTCCGGAGCTCCACCGTCTGGTTCACATGCATCTACATCATCTCGCTCGCTGCATGGCGGAGCCATTGCTGGGATCGTCGTGGGGGCCATCGCAGGAGCTGCGCTGTTGGTCGTAGCCGCCTTCCTCGCCAGACGCTACAAGAGACGCGCCGCGGAGAGGAAAGACAGAGAGGTTCGCATCCGGACGTTCAATCCCAGCGCCATGTATCGCCAACGCGAAGACGCGGGAGCTGCGGGAGAACTCCCGGTGGGCCACATAGTGAAGGATAGGCACGGTTATGGATCGGGGCAGACGTATGTGGGCACCCCGCCGTTGGGTGATCTTGATGGCATGAAGCCTCTAGCTCCCAGCCCGTTTACTGAGAAAGCGACTGCCGGTCGGGGAGCCTGACGACTTGTTGAGGGGGCAAAAACAGACACTCGTACTCATGAGCGCATTCTGGTGTGGTTATTGTATCAGCTGAGGGTAATGTAACCTTACTTAGCGTATTCTCGCATCCCCTGTACTTGTACACGCTGTATAGCATGGATAATCTGACAGCATAGTCTTCATCATTGAGCACGTCGGACTGGGTATATACAGCGCAAGAAATCGAGGCAGCCGTGTCAAGGGCTTCTCATCTGTCCGCCGCGCGGTTGTGCGTGTTGGTCTCCATCTCTGACATGCCTTCGGGCTGTTGCTGATGGTAGCCTACGCCGACTCTACGCTCGTCGTGGTCCTCGTCTTCGTCTTCCTCTCGGCGCGAGCGGCAACATGTCTGAGATGGGCCTGCCTTTCCACATTAGTCCGACGTCAGCGCCGGGGAACGTGCCACGCACCCGCAATCAGGGGACAACAGAATTGCAACGTGCCACAGCCTAAGTGTACGATGAGCGAGGAGCGCGCGGAGAAACCAGGTAGACTCACAGCAGCAGCTGAAACAGTCGGCGAACGCGTTCCCTGGACCATCGTTCAGCACTTCGAGAAAAGCAGTCACGGGCGGCAGGACATACAGGTTGAGCTGATGCAGGCTAAAGACATGGTAGGCGGATTGAGGTAGCCATGAAAGCAAGCAAGTTCAACATCTTAAATGCCTCGCTAAAGGGCAATAATGATCCAGTGCCCAGCGACGGGCGGTGCAAGCTTCTGGAAGAGAAGACAACGATGGCACGTTCCGTTCTACGGCGAGGCGCCCAACACAAGTGTTCGTGTAGGCAGAAAGCCGATCCGTATCCGTCGGAAGCTACTCTCTGTAGTGATGGAAGACCTGATCCAAAGCGCGTTCAAACGAGACGCGCGCGCGTTGACGCGACCAGACGCGTCTTGAACTTGATCCCAACTTCCACGCCGCTCCCACCGAAGAAACGGGCACAGATACCCGCAGATGCCACCGCGCCCGGCACATAAGCGATCCGCGTCATCCGGAGAACCCGGACCCTCGAGCGCCGCACAGAAGAAGACGCGCTTTACCGAGCCCGGCGAAGATCCCGCAGCATTCGCAGAACAGGTCGACGCGTCGCTCGAAACATCCACGCGCAAAGGTCGCGTACGGACGGAGGGATATGATTCCGACTCTAGCGATGATGGCGAGGGCGTAGTGCCGTCACGGCGACCAGGCGCGAAGGAGAATGAGGAGGAGGAGGACGATATGTTCGCGATGGGCGAGAAGGAGGAGAAGAAGGAGGCGGAAGGGAGTGGGAAGAAGAAAGAGGAATTCCTCAGATTGGGAGATATCGAGGGGCAGGAGTTCGGTGGAGATGGGGAAGGAAGTGGTGATTCGGACGACGACGAGCCGGAGGACGAAGACGACGCGATCCGGCGAAGTAAAGCTGGAATGGGATACGAGCTCAGCGGATTCAACATGCGGGAGGAGATGGAGGAGGGCAAGTTCTCGGCCGACGGAATGTATGTTCGCACGTTCGACGAACACGCCGTGCACGATCGGTGGATGGAGGGTCTCGACGAGAAGGAGATGAAGGCGGCCCGACGTCGAAAGCGACAACGCGATCGCGAAGCCAAGGAGAAGGCGGAGGCGGAGGAGCAGGAGATCGAGCGCTTAGGCGGACAGCATGCTATCGAAGTTCAAGTCTTAGCCATGCTAAAGAAGGGCGAGACCATACTTGAAGCTCTGCAACGATTAGGCGCACAAGCGAAGAAGCAGAAAGCGGGGCAGAAGAAAGCGTAAGCCCAGTTATCTATCATGCGAGATACACGAATCTGACAGTGTCTACAGCAAACGCCCAGCTACAGGCACAGTTCTCGATAGCTCTGTAGCTATGGAAGTCGACAAGCCAAAACGCGAAGAGACGCCGGTAGAGCGTCTAACACATTTGGCGTCCACTCTCATGTCTTTCGGCGACGTCGATGTTTACTCAAAACAGTACGAGGAACTCGCACGCTCTGTGCGTCGCTCGGGAACAGTCGAGGAAGGCTGGGAACCACCATCCGCGGATGTAAAATACGAATATAAGTGGGATGTGCCAGACGCGACTGGCCAGGAGGGCGAGGTCTACGGTCCTTTCAGCGAAGAGGAGATGCAGGCTTGGAACAAGGCCGCTTATTTCGGCATCGCTGGAGAAAAGGTGAAGGTGCGCGCCGTCGGCGGGCAATGGGGCGATTGGGACGATGTTGTACCCTCATGAATGTACTCGGAAGACTGTCGCATTTGCTGATCTTGGTTGCTTTGTATATCACCACCTGCTTTCGTGCAACTTGTTTCTATTATCACAGGTTGGGGATACTCTGGGCCAACACCCAACATGTAATTCAAACACATTTGATCATACCCAACTCGAACTATCGTTGCTTTCAGGGAGACTAACAGACATCAAGATCCATGTCCATGCGCGACTGCTTCGGCACAGCCCACGTCCTGTCGACCTTGAGATTAGTCGACCTCGCTCGACTGACCCTCCTACAAGAAGAATGAGTACTCAGCTCTGCGATCACCGAAGACATGTTTACTTACCGTCGTGTTTGCGTGCGTCCAGCCGCCACAGCAGCACACTTCACCGCTCATCGCTTCCACGAACTTCCCACAGCAGAACCTCGGGCGCTTCCCCTCATTGATATTGGCTCCCAGGAGCTTCATCGGGTCACCGATGGGACGAGCCTGTGCGTGGTACTTGTCGTATCCGAAGTACTTCGAGTAAAGGATGACCGCCTCGTCCGGGGTGCCCTCCGCGTACGTCCGCAAGAGTAAGTACGCGCCGGTACCAGCATAGGACGCTCCGTGCTCCTGACGGCTAAGTAGCTGGGCTTCGTCCCGCCTTCTGAAGACGTTCTCGTACATGCGGCCAGCTTGGCTGTCTCGATGTACGAGATAGATTGCTTGGGCCTGTAAGCTGCGCTCGTATGGGAGATGATTGCAGTTCTCATGGACCTCGCACTTGACATGGACGAGATGTATGAACAGAACGCAGCTCTCATGCGCGTGAGGGCCGATCGCGTTGTAAGCCGCGAGAGCAGTGTTGATGAGCGAGGTGTGATGGTACTCTAGCCAGCGCGTGAATCGACCCCATTCGCGAGTGTCGCCCGTCACGCGTCGTACTTCTTCCTTTTGCTTAGACAACGATTGACATGCGCCTTTATGCCCGGACTTCCACGCGCGTACTTGACACTCTCTCGACTGCGAGATCATGTAAGCACCCGGCGCACGATGTAAGCCACGAAGAGGCGTACGCAATAACTGTCCATCTCGCAGCCTTTGCAGCGCATGAGCTCCATGCTTTTGCCGTCAGGCGTGCAGCGACGAAAACGACGACATCCCTTGCATTGTAGACTGGTAAAACTCGGAGAAGTTTGGCTGGACGATCCGTTGGGGCAAATCTCGCGTGGCTAAGTAACGTGACTTAGCGGGCCGCAGCCGGACCGAACGGGTAAGCACGGAGGCGCGTCGTGGACGCGAGCGCGCAACACAGGTCATCGCTGAACGCCCACCACCACGGACCGAGCGCTTCGTGCTCGCCTTCCTCATACGAAGACTGAGTTTGAAATTGAAGGCCTCTGTGCTTTCCCGGGGGTTTTGGGGGTCACGCTGGTGCCCCTCGAGGTTCCGCCTTCGGATCTCGAATCTTGAGTGCACAGTATATAGCTCGAGCTATACTTGTGCGAGCGTAGTTCTCGCTCCGGCTGCTCCATCTTACCTATGGTGTGACATTTTTGGCCCGATACCTTGCACTCAATAAGCCACACATTCGCCTTGTCTGGATGGTGGGTAACGAGAAGCCCGCACTTGCTGGCTGCACCATTGATGCCCATACGACGATAGCCGCGTATGATCATGTCGGGCTCTCACGTCGGAGCTCCAACGACTGAGGCATTTGTTGGAGGTAAGTGTATTCATGTGCATGCTTCCCCTCGATGTCGCTGATGGGTTACGATAGGATATATGGCCGACGAATGAAGCATGGGCAGGTGGGTATATGCACTCCGACTCTCATGCTTGACCGATATCTTACTGTGATTCCGTTCTGTAGCATCCGCACCAGTTACGAATGTATATTATCATGCACATTCAGTATTTCAATACAAGTACTACTTAGCCTGAGCTCGGGTGACGTGATTGCTCCGAGTTCACAGCAACAGCCTTGAGTCCGTATTTTGAGATAGTTTCAACCTGTACTACGAGTTCAGAGCCTGCCAATTGAATGAGAGTCGCGGCGGCGCACATACCGTGTTTGCTTGCAGCGCGAGGAGCGGCGAGAAGACGAGGATGAGTTTGCCGGGGTTGAGCAAAGCAGCTGCAATGATCTGCAGTGTCTTTCCCGAGCCGGTGCGAGCAATATGAAAGGTATCGTGGCCAAGCGCGAGTCGAGCCGCGGCGATACCCTGGTCGTCCCGAAGTACAATCTTGCATTCGCCCGATGCGGCGTAGACCTTCCTGAGGACTTGGCTGGCGAGTTCGGCAGCTCCAGGGAAGGGTTGAAGAGCTTCGAGAGCATTCTTTGACGGATCAAGTAGCGTGGTAGACATTATAGAGCATGTATTTCAACTACGTGAGGGAGCACATATAGAGGTAGAGCCATAGTACATGTATGTTTGGGAGTAAAAGGAAGACGCGCCAGACGCGCCCGCACGCCGCGTCGCGTCGACGCGCTTCGGTCCGGCTGCGGCCCGCTAAGTCACGTTACTTAGCCACGCGAGATTTCACCCCAACGGATCGTCCAGCCAAACTTCTCCGAGTTTTACCAGTCTTCTTGCGTGGTACTCGAGCTTGCCTCCGTCACCGCGCTCGAGAAGACTGGTCACGAGTCTACTTGCATTGCTGATGAGTATGTGTCAAGTCTCTATCGTGGAAACTCTCCCCCGCGGCATCGCCTTCGAATCGAGGCTGCGAACCAGCCCAGACGTTCATGTCTGTGATCTCTATTGGAGATGCCATATCCCTAGGTGGCAAGATGGAGGTGGCCGTATGGTGGTGACCGCGGACAAAGCGTGCGTCTTCGCTCGGTTCTCAGGCGTTGTCTGCAGACGAACCGTGCTTCTCGAACGGATCCAGGATCACACGCGGGTCATTACCGGCGAAGAGTACGGTCACGACACCTTCAAGAGTTCAGCGGTTCGGTCGTGTCGGTCGTGCTATACTTCTATCTGATTTGACTACATGAACAGTACGAGGCACACGCGCACTTCGAGTCTGTGGGAAATCAGACGCCACAACTCGTGCAGGCGCGCGGCGGGCCGCGTCGATTCAGTCAACCTCCGACGACGGCTGGACGTCCTGTACTATCTTTCAGTGAACCCTCTCTCGCACCTTCAACATACCGTACTTACCTCCTTTGTATCGTGGGTCCACCCCCCACAGCAGCAGGAACTTCCGCCCATTGCCTCCACGATCTTGCCGCAACAGAACCGAACTCGGTGACCCTCTCTCAGGTTCTTGTGCAGCAGCTCTAGAGGATTGCCAATCGGCCGCGCCCGCGCGTCATATTTGTTGAATCCGAAGAACATCCAGAACGGGAGCACCTTCTCATCCGGCGTACCATGAGCGTACGTCCGAAAAAGGACATAGGCGCCGGTACCCCCATAATCTTTCCCATGCTCTCGCTTGACGATCGGCATGGCCAGCTCGCGTTCATCAAAGATATAATCAAAGGCTTTGCCAGCTGTGCTGTCGCGATGGGCGAGATAGGTGTTCGCTGGGAACAAGCTTTGCTCGTAAGGGATGTCGTCGCAGTTTGATCCGTGGGTCAAGCACCTCGAGCGATAGAGGTCCACGAACAAGACATGGTTCTCGTCCGCCTTCGGGCCGGCGGCGCTGTAGGCTGCGAGCGCCGCGTTGATGAGCGAAGTGTGGTGATACTCGACCCAACGCGTGAAGCGACCCCATTCGCCCGCGTTGCCCGTGAGACGCAACACGTCTTCCTTCTGGTCCGACATTCGCTTGCATAGAGCTTTGTGTCCAGTCTTCCACGCGTGCACTTGGCACTCTTTCGACTGTGAAGCACAAGAGGCGCGTGAGCAGGGGATAGTGAGCACCCGCCGCGCGACGAGACAAACGGTGAGGCGTACGCAATAGCTTTCGATCTCGCACCCCTTGCAGCGCATAAGATCCATACTTTTTCCATCGCTCGTGCAGCGGCGAAAACGTCGGCAGTTCTTGCAGGAGCGGTGTGTATGCATCAAGGGTCTGCTGTGGAAAGTCTCTCCGGGGACATCGCTCTCGAAGCGAGGCTGCGGGCCAGCAAACTCGACTATCTCCGTTAAGGGTGCCGTCATCGTCGCAGAAGCTGGAAGAAGGCAAGCGAGTGGTGGCAGTAGGGGACGAAGATACTGTCTTCGTTCATCTTGTAAACAAAACTTCCTGCAGGATTGCGCTCCGCGAGCATACTTAGAGTCGTGTGCGAACTGTCAGCCTGTCACCCATAATGAAGAACATGGCGCTGAGAAACTCGCCGATTTGGTGCTGGCATGCATATCAAGAATGGTGCCATGGCACCAGTCTGCGCCGCACAAGGCTAAGCGCTGCCTACAGGAAGATAGACTGATGCGGGTCCTCAGACGAGATGGCGAGATGTCGACTTCCGCACATGAAAGCTTCTGTGTACGCGCGATGTTCCCATTCCGACCCGGGCTTTAACCGCAGAAATTGAGCGTAAAGCATTGGTTTTGTGCATGGGACCATACTGCATAGGTCGGTACAAAAAAAGGAAGCGGAGATGAAGAAGAACAGCCCAATGCCATAGCGCGCCGCCCCAGCCCCGCGATCATACAAGCTCCCCGAGAATATACACAACTTAGTTCATCTGGCGGATGAGCTTGTTGATGTTCGACTCGCGGTTGCCGAAGTCACCACCCTCAACGTAGTGCTTGAACTTGCGCGTCCTCCAGCCGCCGGTGGGGTTGGACAGCTTGAAGGGCCAGAGGAAGTTTGCGGCCTGCACGATACGTCAGCGGCCATACACTTGACAGAGACTATTTGCCATACCTGCTTGAAGTTGGGGCCGACGGTGAAGATCTCGTGTACAAGGTCCTCGACGGAGAGGATGTCGTACTTGCCGAGGTTCTCCTCGATGACCTGGTTGGAGGAGAGGGGGAGGCGCTGGTGGTTGACCTTGCCGTAGCCACGCTTGTAGATGAGCTCACGGACGGTCTTGAGGTTGGGCTCGCCGTAGGTGACGTAGGGCTCGACGAGGCGGAGCATCTGCTGGGTGGCCTTGGTCACGCGGACGAAGACGCCAGAGTTGATCTGGAGGAGGCGGAGGAGCTGGAGGATCTTGCGCGGCTTGGGCGCAATCTCGTTGATACCCCGAATGCGGACAACAAAGTACACCTTCGGCGCCGCCGGGACGTAGAAGTCGCCGGCAGAGCGGGCCGCGCGCTTCAGGCGGATCTCATCCTGCTCCTTGTCCAGGTACTCCTTCACGTACGTCTCCGCCCGCTTGAAGATCACCTCGCGCTTCGCCTTTGCAGACTGTGGGTTCGTGTCAGATGATTCGTTAGAACAGTTGAAGTGTATGTGAAGTTCAGTCCCGAAAGATGGTATGTTTGAGGCAGCATGGTAAAACGAAAAGTCCCACTAGCCGTCAAAGGGGTAGATATGCATCACGAAGAGAAAAGAAAGTGTAGGCAAGTGTATCAATATCTAGAAAACACACCTTGCGAGTCTCGGCGAGCTTGGCCTGGCGCTCCTCCCGGGCCTTTTCGTTTTGCTTGCGCTTCTTGAGAAGCGTCTCCGGGACCTCGATGTCCTGCGAGCAGAGTCAATATAATATTCGACATTATACAGTCATACTACGCACCTGAACCGAGGGGACACTAAGTCACAAATCAATCGAACGGTCAGCATACACCCCTTCCGAGCATGGATACAGCACACGAACGTGGTGGGCGCCATTGGGAGTCTTGAGGTAGTCGTGCACGACGGCGACGAGATTCACTTTGCGAACTCGCGGCCTGAACCCTAACCCGACCCAAAATCGGCGCGGCTTTCTCCGTGTCCACGTGCATGCAGCTGCATAGTTCTCGGCAACCGCCGAGTCTCGTCACGAACTTCCATTTCGGGACTCTTGCCCTCGTGGGACCCGTGCGAGTACCATAGCTGGCTTACAGTATGCTGGCGCTTACGAATGAGCCATATAGTATTCTGACATGTCGACGTATCTCCGCCACCATACGCTGGCCACTTCGTAGCTTGAGACGAGCTGGCTCAGCTCAAGGCGCCGTTGGGTCGTGATGCGCCGGCTCGTTGCCACCCGGCGACCTCCTGTGCCGAAGTGTCGATCGTCTTGCTGCATTCCATCCCTTATCTCTATCTCGCATGTGCTTCCGGACATCCGCTAGACGCGCTCAATGCCAGCTCAGAACCGCATCAAGGCGTACGCGCATTGTGCGCGCTCAAGCACCGCTCACCGAGCCTTCTCTCGATTTCTTCTCGTCGCAATCCGGCCAAGCATCGCCTTCCGCTCGCTCCATGATCGCTCAAAATAACTCGTCCCACATGCCTCACATCATTGTGCTCAGGATACAGCACTCCGCTCGCGGCATGGTCGGTGAGGATGGCCTGTATGAGGTGACGCGCATATCTCGTGCTTGCTTGATGGATGGATCTTCGAATGGCGCCGGCAACGTCGCTTCTCCTCCAGCCACCTCGGGGATATGCTTTTGATCTAACCATTACTGGAACAATGATAAGAAAACAAGAACGGAAAGCACAACTCCTTCAACAGTTGGACTGACATGCCCTCGAAGTACAGAAGCACCGCGTCCGTTACACCGACTCTGACACCTGTAGCAGCCGCCGATGAAGAAGCAGCTCATCGACGTGGACGATACAAATGACGCGATAGATCTTCTACTTCCTCCATACGCGCGTGGGTTCCCATCCACATGTTTACGGGCCACTTAGCGTCGTTGTCGCTGGATCCGGGAAGCTTGTATGCGCGCCATCCGAAGCTTCTTACCGCTGTTGGCGTCGGGATACCCCACGTTGTTCGCGCCGCATCATTGAAACTGACTGTATCGACCATGCGCCTTGTTGCGCCTCCTCACATGTATCGGCGTCGGATATGCGGGGAAATATCCCTGAGGCAGAGTATAAAGAGGGCTGTAGATTATCTCTCATTCTTCACTGGTTCTCCAGCTCACAGTTCAGTTCGTCCATCTGAACCCTTCGGTCCACCGTCGCGATGTACTTCTCGCCTGCTGTCGTCCTCGCTGCCCTTCCCTTCCTCGCGGCTGCCGCCCCTGCGCCCGAGACTGGTGTCTCCATCCCGATCCAGAGGCGCACGCGTTCCAACGCGTCGACTCGCGAGGCGGCCGTAGCGAACATCCGCTCCTCCGTGGCGTACGTACCTGCGCTCAGATTTGACTTTACACTCTCGCTGACAACCCCTGCAGCAAGGTTCAGCGTGGTCTGGAGACGTACCAGCGCAATACCGGCGAGGCTCACCATCTCGCGAAGGTGTTCAAGCCGGCTTCTGAGTCCAGGAAGCGTGCCACCGGTAAGCGCTGAGCAGCGCTCATCTTCTGCTCTGACAGGCTTCTAACTCCATGACAGGTTCTGACGCTCTGACCGACGATGAGCAGGAGCTTTGGTACGGCAAGATCTCCGTCGGTACCCCCGCTGTCACCTACACCGGTCAGTATTCTGTGCGATCTTTACGTTTTGGGCAGTAACTGACGTGCCACCATCTCATCCAGTCGACTTCGATACCGGCTCCAGCGACCTCTTCCTGCCTAGCTCGTCGTGCGGCAGCACCTGCTCTGGTCACACTCTGTACAACCCGTCCAAGAGCTCCACCGCAAAGAGCCTCGGCAAGTCGTTCAGCCTTGCTTACGGCGACGGCTCGACCGTTAGCGGCACCCAGTACACGGACACCGTCGCCATTGCCGGCTTGACTGTGAGTAGAAGCTTCCGCTAGCCCTCTAGTGACACGCACTGACGATGATCTTTAGGCTACCAAGCAGACGCTCGGCTCTGCCAGCAAGTACTCCACTGGTTTCGAGTCGAGCCAGTTCCCCGCCGATGGTCTTCTCGTAAGCGCCCATTATGTCAAAGTGTTACGAAAGATTCTCACACGTGTACTAGGGCATGGCATTCAAGTCCCTCTCGGACTACAACGCGAACCCCTTCTTCCAGACGCTCATCAGCCAGGGCACCGTCTCGTCCTCCGTCTTCGGCTTCAAGCTCGCCTCGAGCGGCTCGTCGCTCTACCTCGGCGGCACGGACAGCTCCCTTTACTCGGGATCCTTCACCTACGTCTCCCTCAGCCAGGCGGCATACTGGGAGGCGCCGCTCGGTGGCTTGACCGTCGGCAGCACGAAGATCGTCGGCACCACCGACTCGATCATCGACACCGGCACCACTCTCATCATCGGTGACAGCGCCACCGTCAAGAAGGCGTACGCAGCCATCGGCGGCGCGAAGGACAATGGTGACGGCACCTACACTGTGTCCTGCAGCGGGAGCCCCAAGATCTCGCTCACCTTCGGCGGCAAGGCCTTCAGCGTCTCCGCTGCGTCGTTCAACCTCCCCAACGGAGACGGCACCTGCATCGGTGGTCTCGGCTACGACGATGACATCGCGTCCGAGTTCTGGATCGTCGGCGACGTCTTCCTCCAGAATGGTATGTTCCATCTCACTTGATTGGGACCGACTTCGTCATACTGATGGCTACTTAGTGTACACCGCATTCGACGTCGCCAACAACCGCGTCGGCTTTGCTACCCTCAAGTAAAAGTATCCTTTTGATGCGGACTATCGATGTTCGGTGGGACTGTAGTCATCTGCTTGCTTCAATGTATCGTGGTCTCTTCTGTTGTACATCTACATGTACAATGCGGCTATACATTACTTGTCGGCGTTTCACACTGCCATGCGCCAGCTTGAGAGCAGCTTTCTGCATCATGGCACCTGATGGTAGGGTCTCATCGGTCGTTGTGGCTTCCGCAATCCTGGTCGGGTATTGTATAACAGTCGGTGTAGTGTAAGATACAAAAACATCTAGCAAGTGAACGGCTTCCCGACCTCGCCGCTTTGGTAGGCATTTACAATGAGCTGTGTCTGTCGTCAGTGTGAAGGTAGGTCAAATAGATGGATAAAGCTCACCTTAATCGAGACATAGGTACCAGCAACGCAAATGAAGGTGCCCGCCAAGATAGTAAACAAGGCAAGAATCGTGCCGATTCTCCTGCGTTTGAGCTCCGCCATCCCACCCCTCAAGTAGAACGTGTCATGCAACCAGAAGAACCCGGCGATGCCGTAGGTGAACCAGGCGGCGAACAGAGACGCGGCGATGCCCGTCAAATCGGAAAAGATGGGTACCGCGGCCGCGAGAACAAAGGCCACCGCTACTGCGACGAAACAGAGCGTCGCCCATACGGCCCAACCGAGGACTGTATGGTGGTGGATATGATGTGTGCCACGGAAGATGCGCATGAATAAGATCTTGGCGGCTGTGTGCGCGTATAATGCGCCGGCGCTGTACCAGTGTGAGTATGAGCGCTCGATGGAGAAGGTGATGCATGTGCGCACATGAGGAAGTTGACCATTCCGATCGCGAACGTGATCTTTGCCCACACCGGTGGGAGCGAGAGGAGCGCCGGAGACTGAACAGCGCTGCCGAGGTATACGTAGATGACTACGCTGAATATAATGTAGTAGATCGTGGAGCTGCCCTGAAGGGCCCAGGCAGCCTTCATGGCGTCACGCGGTTCCTTCATCTACTCAAGTGTCAAACGTGTACGAGTATAATGCTCATAGAAACTGACCTCACTGATCAAGATGAAGAACATGAAATGCCCTGCAAAAGCAAAGACAGGGCCAGTGATCGCGAGGAAAGCATCGTAGAAAGAGGACGACGCGGCGGCTACAACAACGCGATCCGGGGTCGGGTTGACACCAGCACCAATCATCGCAAGTAAACCGCAAATGAAGATCATGGCCACACTTGACGTATACAAGTGAGCCTTTGCGTATGGACAGCGACAGGGCGTCACATACCTGAATAGACCCAACCAGCTGATTTGTCCCAGGGCTCGCGGCAATGAGAGTAGGAATGTTGCCGCGGAGAATATCAACAGGAGGTCCACAGCACAGAGTCCATTGTTTGATAGAGTAGAGAGTGCTTGCTGTCCGGACAATAACTCAGATCCCTGAATCGGTTATTAGTTGAGACTGCGGATGGAAGGGGTAAAGAGATACGTGCCGTGCCGAAGATAGCGAAAATGATGGTCCCCCAAGATAGCAATTCCCTTCCGACGCTACCGAATAGGATGTAGCCTGCGTCTCCCATGTTATGTACCTCCGGATGATTGAGCTTGAAGTCGATGAGCAGTTTGGCAGTGAAAAGACCGAAGATGCCTGTCACAGCAATGATTAGCTGTCAAGGTGCTCGTACTGAGTACAGGTACATACCCAGGAAAGCCGTCAGAATGATAGAAGGTACGATACCCACGACAGCCATAGCTGACGGGAGCGAAAGCATACCATTGCTCACGATCTCTGCAATCATGAACAGGGCGACGAACTGGCGGAGTAGTGTCAATTAAGTTCGCCACAGCAAAGTCTAGGCATGCACACCTGCCAAGTCATGGTCTTGTACTTGATTGCTGCATCGTCCTCGTCGCCGAAGACGTCGCGAACCTCGGGCTTGATAGACCCAGAGTCATGAACAGCCTTCTCGTCGAAAGTGCTGACCTTGTCGGACATGGTGGCGCGTGTGGGGCAGACGGTGCAGCGAAAAGAAGCGGCCTATCTCGGCTTCGATAGCTTTATACGTTCTGGATGCAGACTTCGCAGGCACGTCTCTTTGCCGCGCCCACAGGACCCGCCTATCGTCTGCCGGCAGGCACGTAGTTTATTCATCCGCCGGTTTGTGCTTTCGGTCTTTTTCGGATATATCCTGCCGGCGGCCAGCAGACTCATCCGCCACACCGCAGAGACTGCACCAGCATGCCAGAGCTTAGTCGCCCTGAGAGTTTTGTGCGTATAGGGGAACGTGGTAGTCGCCCACAACGCATCATAGCCAAAGCTGTGGTGGTGGTTTGGAGATGATTAGCGTACCTGCGCAGTGCGCGGCTATCTATCCGGTCGTTTCGGCGCGGAGCCCGAAGGCATTCAACTTGTCTTGTGCTTCCATCTCGGAGTTTACTAGCTCAACGGCGGCATATATACTCCCCGCGTTCAACGGCTCCTGATATGGCCCAGGTCGACAAGGGGAAATCGAGGGAAGAGGAGACTTGGAAGCCAGGATGGTGGCAATTCAGCTCGCTGAGTGAGCCGCAGACGTGCGTGGCCGCAGTACACCCCAGAGAGTGAAGGTATTGAATATACTATGCACATTGCAGGCCTATCGTATGGACACGGCACTCTACTATACTTATGGGACATCCTACGCAGCCTCAGGTGTATGGACGAGTCTTCCCTTCCTCTCGACCATTTGTTGTACCCTCTCCGGCGCTTGTGCTCTCTGGGACATACGGACCTCCTACGAATCTATCCATATGCCCCGATGATAAACACCTGTTTGCCTACTTTCCACCCATGCAAGGGCCTTCCGGCGTTGCGTGTCTCTGGGCTCGCGAGCAGGCAGACATCTGGAACGTCAAAGAATGTTGGTTGAGTACTGGTTGCGTTACAGTCGCTTGGCTGGGTGCACCGCGAGAGGTGTGTGATATGCGGAGGGAGCACCATTCATCTCAATCGCTGACCAGAAGACAGTGGGCACACGGCGTCAATGGCCCGTCGCGACTACCCCCACGAGGGCCACGGATACCGCAGGCGTCTGCAACAGTGGCTGTGGTGTCTCAGGATATGCAACTGCATGTGTGCTTTCTCAGGCGCTCGTCCGGTGTTTTGAGCATGCTCTCGTGCTGCTTGTCATATCCCGACGAGTTTACGGAAGATGCGGGCTCGTCATTCGAGCGCCCTACGCAGGGTCCTGAGGGCGCTAAGATATGCTCAGTCGCAGCAATCGGGCTTTCATACAATGGTGAGTGTATGCCCGCGTACATACAGTCAGAGGCTAACTGACTTCATCATGTAGAGGATTCATTGTTGGTGGCGACGGTCTCTAGGCGCTTACCGCAACCTGTTTCGAATGATCCGAGCCTAACTCTCGACCTTGGCATGGGAATGGGCATACCAGGCTCCTCCCAACCAGAACCGACCGCGTTCAATGATTGGGAGAGATTGGGAGACGATTCTATTCTCGAAATCTCAGAGGCGCGGTTGGGAACCGTAGACGGCAGCTCTCAATTGAGTGAGTGCACTAGCGTTGATACAACATTGGCTATGCTTGTCTGACGTTTATTTAGATCTTAGTACGACCCCGATGCAAAGCGAGATTCTGTATACCGGAAATATGTCTAAGCTCCTGTTCGTCCCCATCACTGGCAAGGATCTGCCCGCAAAGCTCTGTCTTATTGCCCTCACCACTGAAGACGGCGATTGTAAGTTTTGAATAAGCTGACCCACGTCGTTGCTGACGCGAGTACCCGTAGATTCGGACCCTCCTGTCACGAAACTGACCAGCTGGCCTCTTGCACGCAGTTCTAAATCCACACCTCCGAAATGGGCAAGTCTCCATTGTAACTCGTTTCTTGGGCGATACTCAGTAAACAAATATAGGGGTTGGGTCCCGAGGCATCGAGGACATTCACTGGCGAGGTCGTTACCTTCATGCACTCTCATCACGTCGTCTCTGCCGCTACTACCCTGCTTATTGGGACAGTGCAGACCGAAGTGCAGCTACCGCGATCGCGACGTAAAAGTCGAGAAGTGGCAATTGGGCATACGACCGTATTGAATGCGTGCGTCATTGCCATGCGAGGTGTTAGGCGCCCACTGACGTCCGCGCTCAGGCACAACTTGACCGAGAATGAAAGTTGGCTGAGAGCACCTTTACTCGTTCCCGTGGACGGGATTCATCAGGAGCGTGAGTCGGCGCACCTACTGCTCTTTCTTCGATGATCTGATACTCGGGTGTCTCTGCAGTACCATTCGACGTCGCGTTGTCGCCCACAGGCAGTCTGGCTTGCTCGACCTGTACAGCATCCTCGATTCGTCTACGCGTCCTCATCCACCCATTACCCAAACTGAAGGCGCCACCTGAACATATCGGACCGGAATACACCAGTCAGTCCCTTTACCGCCCTCTGTCCTCTTGTTCTTATGCGTTGCATTAATAAGCTGACACGGGCTGTGCAACATATGTGCTCCAGTCCCGCGGTCCGTGGGATGAGCTCTCGCATCGTCTGGGGAGCACGGCTATGCCATTACCACACGCGGAACGTATCCTGTTCGAGTCTGTCATCTGCATTGAGGGCTGCGTAGAGGGTATTCGGCCCGTGCACGAACATGACTTCCTTGGTCTGCTCGTAGGCGTTTACAGGTTGGTGTCTTTCATGACTCTAGGAACGGCTGTATGTTCATCATAGTGCAGGACACGCTGGCGAAATACAGAACCATCCGAGATGAAGGATGACCTCAACCTCCGTTGGCATACTGCACATGATATGTGCTCTATCATGACAGTACACAAGGCCTTTGTGTTCTGCAAGGAGCGTGATAACGATAGCTTCGGTGAGATTGGTCGATAGGCTCCCTTTCCTTCTGCTTACGCGTAGTAGAGGCTGTATGGCAACTCATACAACTGTCGAACTGGTTCATAGCGTTCACTCAAGACCTCTTACGGGAATGTTCATTATTGTATGACGCTGGTGAAGGTCCGTCGAGTTATCCACCGTTTAAGTACTCGTTGGTGACCGTCATAGTGGTGCCAGATTCCCCTAACGAAAGTCTGGCGCCCATCTTCGTTCATCTTCTGTACCCCACAAACCTCCGGAGGTTACACACACTACTTCGCGACGTCAAGGACTTCTACGAGCAGCTCAGCCAGCACAAGACTGTCGGAGAGAACTCGCAAATCGCGAAGCACGTGCTAAACGATGCCGTGGACTGTTCGGGCGTCAAGCTCGCGGAGTTGGATAAGGCTTTAGACGCTGTCGAGGAAGCTGTCAAGGAGATGGACAGTGAGTAGCAGCGGTGTCCTCGTCAACATTGATTTGCTGATATGCGTCGTAGACCCACTCCTAGCGCGCAGTCTAGCATATTGTCGGCCCGTACCCGAACTAACCACAGAAATCCGCTCACTTGCGACCAAGATCGTCGAGGCCGGAGCAATTGACAAGCCTCAGCTCTTCATCAACGCGCCGGACCTCATCTCGGGATTCCTTCGCATGGACCTCGCCAACTCCGATAATAGGCAGAAGGACGGCCAGCGTGATGTGGTATCGAAGAGCTTACTCTTGCCTTCTCTTCCCTCTTACGAGTGCATGCGGTGCGGCGGGTGCACGCAGGTGTATGCTCATGTTGGTGGAAATCACAACTCGAAAGGCTGGGGGATTTGGGAGAGGCTGTGGTCACAGAGGTGTATATGCGGAGGCGTATGGACGACGAGTCAAGCTTATGCATCAATCCTAGGGTCTTAAGTTATATATGTGGATATTACGAGGTCATGCATCATTTGTACCGCTATGGAATATACTACACGTACTGCAAGCTTGCATCGCTAGTGTGGACGCACACAAACTGTGAACGTGGAGTTCGGCAAGGTCGTTCGTCGGTTTACTTCGAAGTTCGAAGAGTGTCTAGAAGACGCTGAGTAGCGTGAGAAAGCGGCTTCAGGTGTGGCCCTTGCACCAACACTCTTCAGAGGTGTACTACGCGAGTCTAGTCTTGAGGCACGCAGAGGCTTAGCCGACTCTGGGCGTAACGTTCATCGGTGCTGTATGAGCATGGAGAGAGTAGCGTACTGACAGGTCCTTGATACTACTTCGTTTCTCCGACGACTTGCTTCCAGTCCCCAGTTTCAGCCTCCTGGTCCTTCTGCAGCTGCTCCTGCCTACGCTTTTCCATGCGCCATCCCACGAGTGCACTGAGCGTTTGATCTGGCGGAGGCGCGGTGCGGGGATTTGTCTCGTGCAGGTAATATGCCAGCAACCCCGTGAAGACGCCGAGAACAGGGTCAAGACCTCTGTATCATGCTCAGCTTCTCCGACTGAGTAGAGCGTAGGAGAGAATGGCTAACTTTGATAGCAATACAGGCCGATTCATGCTGGTAAGAGGCAAGACGCTTGAAGTCGGCGCCGCGGTGCCGGTTCGGACTCGCGGACATGGCCACGCGACTTTGTGCTGGACGCGGCGCGCGCCTGTCCAGCGCTACTTTCTTCCGACCGCATCCTCCGCTTGCTTTGCTTCTTGCTGTCCTATAATCGACCTTGGACTGGGATATATAGTCCAACTCTACGCTAATGGAACCAATAGACCGTCAGATACGCCCGATTTACGGTGCGTACGCTTCTAACAACTCTCTGACGCGCGCTTAGACTGAAATGTCACGTCTAGATGCTATTGACCACGGAGCGTACAAGCAAGCCGTCGCGACTTGCAACAAGCTGCTCAAAAGGTACCCTAAGAATGACCTTGTGAAGGTACATACACTCCGCGCGCTGGCGATCTCGACGACAGCTGAATGCCCCGCACAGGCCTTGAAAGCTCTCGCACTCGTGCGCATGCAGAAAGTCGAGGAGCCGATGGCGCTTTGCGACGAAGTTCTCGCTGCAAAGCCCACGGACGAAGGAGCGCTCAGCGCCATGTCCATCACCCTCCGCACTCTCGGCCGCCGTACGTCGCAGATCGGCACGTTCCCGTCCACGCGTACTAATGCACGCATACACGCAGATGCTGACTCTGTCACGATGTACGAAGAAGCTTTCAAACGCTTACCCCAGAGCGAAGAGATGGCTGCGCAGACATTCTGCGCGTACGTTCGCTGCGCCAAGTGGAAGAACGGTCAATTGGTATGGTTCGTGGGTGCTCTCGGAATACACATAGGCTGACTATATGCAATGTAGCTTGCGACGAAGATGAACAAGATGTTCCCCCACAACGACCACTATCAGTACTGGGCAGCCATGTGCGCTGTACTTCAGGTTTGTCTGCGTCTGGTAGGTCCTCAGCAGCAATTGACCTTCAAATCAGGCGAACGAACCTGCAACGGCCCCTAACATGCGCGATATATTGTACAAGCTCGCGCATCGCGTGATCTCCAATGCATGGAAGGCGACAGAACCTACCGCTGAACGCTTATACTTATATCTTCGTGTCCTACGCGAATTGAAACTCCATGAAGAAGCATTGGAGCTTCTGAAATCTGAAGTGGGCCAGATACTCTGCGCCAGGAGTCTTGCTTGTGATGAGATGCGCCGCTTCATCCTACAAGACAGCGGTGCTATTGCAGAAGCGAGCGAGACGAGCAAGAAGCGCATCGCAGACGGGTAAGACATCTTGCCTACATACCTCGGCGCATCGCTGAGCGGTTTCGTAGTGATCGCAATTGGCTCGACTTCCTCGCAGTTCTCGATGGCTATGTACCAACATCTGGCTCAGCCGAGACCACTGCGGATACTCTTGCCGAAGCGCGCGCGTACTTCCAAGACATCGCTGAGAAAGACGGGAGGAAAGATAGGGCCGGTCTTCTCGCCCTACTTGAACTGGAGAAGCGTGCCAAAACTCATAGGTTATCACAAGGTATATGCGCTTTAACTTGCGCACAGGATGTATCTCTTACACGCCCCTTTAGAGCCAACCCGACTTGAAGACTCATTACGACACTACTTCGACACATTCGGCGACAAGGCTGTTTGCTTTGAGGACCTATTGCCTTATATCTCGCTTGATGGTGAGGAACTCGCGCAATGGACTCAATATCTCGACGGCCTCCCATCCTCCTTGGTCAGTATGATCCGAAACCATATAGAGTTCATCGTCTTACATCTTCTGCATCTTCTCTCACGCAGGATGATGTACCCAACGTGCAGAGAACGATCAACGTTCATAAGCTTAGGCGTTTCAACTTGTCCGGGGACGATGTTACCCCAGAGTCCGAAAGTGCCAGGGCGTTACAGCTCATCCAACAATACATGGATGCCCTTCCTATCGGAGCTGGCTTCCCTAAGACGGAGCTCCAACCAGCGGACGACCTCGCCATCCTCGCCGCCCAAGGTTACGTGAACGCATACTCCCTCTCCCGCGACGAATCGTACCTGAATAGGGCCGCCGTTATCCTCGAATATGGTCTCACCAAAAGCTCGCAATGCTTCAAGATGCGCCTGATGCTCATTCGGATATACCGACTTCTGAGTGAGTGAATCTCATCAGCACCATTGTGACCCGGCTGACGGTAGACACAGGCGCGGCACAACTGGCCTTGGATCACTATCGGGCACTCGAGGTCAAGCAAGTTCAATGTGATACGATGTCGCACTATGTGCTCTCACGTTCATCTCTGTTTTCCCATGCCGCCACCGGCGATATCACCTACCTGAACGAGATTACAGAGTCCAGCTTGATCTACATCAGCAATTCCTCGGAGGTAAAGGCCGGAAGTTATGAACGGAGGTCGACCAAAGCTAACCTACGCAAGACCGCGGATTATTCTGTTAGGGCATTCGTCAACGAGAAGTACTCACAGGTAGGTCTGAGCGACATGAGTACCGCGCGCCGTCTCTCACTCCCGTGAAGATCGAGAACTTCATTGAGTTTGAAGACCGGCTGGATAACTCACTGGCGAGGGATGTCATTAAGCTCGAACATGTGCGGATGCGTATGACGTTTGAGCCCATCATGGTTGGCGATCTTGTGGACATGGAGGCTTTGGAACTCAAGTTCATCTTCGATCGCGGTACGAGCCTTCCTATCTCTGCCTGTGCCATCTAGCTCAACGACACGATATAGTACACCATGATAACCGGGATAGGGAAGTCCTTCCTAGCTACCAACCTCGCTCACGACCATCATTCTACGACCAAACTCTGCTCTTCGATAAGGACACTGAGGTTTGCCCTATCCAAGCCGTCGCCCCCGACGCCGTCGCTGATGGATGCCTTAGCTGGGCTGGCTCAACAGTTTCTTGCGGGTCTACATCCGTGTCTTCAAGCTCGCGTCCGACATGGATAACAGTGTCGAGGAGAAGCTTCTTATCGGCGATCGCCCTAAGCCGAGCAATAACGAGGAGATGGCTCTGCCGCTCGATGAGCGCCTCGTGATGAGGAAACCGGAGGAGCTCGAAGAGGTCCGTTCACGTGACTTCCGGTCTGTGAATCCAAACTGAGCGCCTAGTGCAGTTGACGCCGGAGGAGACCGCGTTCTTCGAGTACGCGACCGCGCTTTGCGACTGGCTGGCCCCGTATCACGAGTACTCGCGTCCACCAGCAGACGCCGTTCTGGCCGAAGCTGACAAGCAGTCTCAACTCCGTGCGAAGGGCATCAACCCGTCGTTCTCTGACGGGCCTATCACTGTCACGAACGGTATCGTGAAGAAGGATGAGGAGCCTCCCGCATTCAAGGAGCCGCCTCCTTCTTTGGTCGAGTACTTCGACGGTGCGCCTTCACGCCTTCTCTTATATGACATGGGACTTACTGTGTACTACAGGCGTGCAGAACCGCTTCCGCGAGCTCCTATCCTCTGGTGCACGGCTGTACGAGCTTCTTGAGGTTGCCACTCTTGCGCAAGAGGTAAGAGCACCCATTGTCGGCTCAGAGAGTTAACACTCATCATCTACGTACAGGCTCTAATCTGCTTCACCATTGAGACCCTGCGATTCCGTAACGCTGCCCTAGTGAAGGCATACAAGTTCAGCGCGGTACGTCGTCCCTCTATATCTTGTGTGCTCACGGTACTGACCTGGAGTACAGCTTGTACAAAGCTTCAAGGACGTACGCGTTCGTGCACTAGACGTCATGGAAGAGATTGGCACGGAAATGACGAAGCTCGGCGAGACTCTGGGCACCCAGGAGACGCGCAAGGTCTTCGTCGACTCGTGTGCAGACCTTGAGACTTTCCCCGCGGTACGCTTGTTCCTTGTTCATTCAGTCCTACTTCGACTCACGAGGGATCTAGCTCACGCACGAGCGCATCCTCGACATCGCCAAGAATGTCACAGATGCTCGCAAGAAGCTTGCTGTTGGCTCTGGCAAGGGCTACAAGAAGGTTGCAAAAGTCCATAGTGCATGAGTAGATATCATGATCTGTTCCTGGGTATATTATCGTAGATTTCTGCTAGGTTCTCGCTGCACTCCAACTCCCCACTCTACATCCATATCACTGTACAAGTACTGCATCTACATTACAACCTCTGCACTACTGCCGTCGGATATTACGCTCTGCTTGTTGGAAACTTGACTCCCCGTCCGCGTAACCGGTGTGCACGACCTGACAGGAAATGCCGAAGACTACTGTAGACGCGAAATCAACGCGTGATGTCACCGCTTGTCACAGCCGTTGAACGCGTTTAGCGCCGCGACACGCGTTCGACGCGACGCGCTTTGCTCTTGCTCTCCATCTTGCTTTCCATCTCGCTGATTACGATACGATGAGTCAATGTAAGGCTCGTCTCTCTGGTCTGAGATCTGTTCTGACTATGACTTGCCAGTCGGAGGTGGGCCCTACTACGGAAACGACGGAGGTGGCGCTGGTGGTGGGTATCTCACGGGCGGTTCGCCGTTCGGTAGCGGTACAGGCAGCCCAGGAGGGGCTGAGAAGGTGAGCGTAGAGTCCTTTGCACGCCTTCAAATGAGCTGACCTGCACAACCCAGCGCACCGCGCTCTCGCACGCCATCCGTCCCGTGACCATCAAGCAACTTCACAATGCTCACCAACAACACGGTGACGCGCCATGGACCATCGAGGGCGTCGAGACAGGTCATGTCGGTCTATTCATTTACGTTACTGATCTTCTCTGACGTGCTGCAGATGTCTATCGTCGCTCAAGTAGTCAGTGTCAAGGCACAAGCGACCAATACAGTATATTACCTGGACGATGGCACAGGGCGTATCGAAGCACGCCGTTGGCGCGACGCCAACATGGACAATAGCGTAGACCCAAATGACCAAATCTCGTGAGTAGCTCTGCTTGTGCCGTATATCTTACCCATTACTGACGAGATTGTAGTCCTGACAGCTGGGTGCGCGTTACTGGCGTACTGAAGATATACAACCAAAAACGCCACCTCAACCATATCACGCTGCATGCTCTGACTGATTTCAATGAGCTATGGTATCATCAGCTGGATGTTATCGTGGCTACCCTGACCTTCGAGAAGGGATCGTCGGTGCGTACCGAGCCTCTTGCGTCGTCGTATGTGAACTCACGCGGAGGGATGTTAGACTGCACAGGGTGACGGGGACGGTCAATATTCCGGCAACGCGTCTGCTTACGCTGCCCAGTCTGGGGGCGGGGGTGATGGAGATCCCGGTCTCTCGGGTGTACAAAAGATGATAGTGGACTGGATCAACTCTCATGATGAGGATCCCGACGATGGCTATCATATTGGTGTCATCTCCCGACATGTTCACACCACTGAGCAAGCCTTTGCGTGAGTGCTCTCTGTATCGATGTGTTGGATGGCCGCTGAGACGCGTTGGCAGCGATGCTCTGGAAGCACTCATGGAGAATGGTACCATTTTCACGACCATCGATGATACGCATGTCGCTCTGGCGAGGTGAAGAAGGTATGCTGTCGTGTTCTGTACTATAGCGGACTCGTGATCTCTTTGCCTTCGCGCCCATCTTCTTGTAATAAAACGTGCCTTGTATTTTACTGCAAGGAGCGCACTTGCCTTACAGCCTCATCCCAGTCGTTCGCTCTCGAGACCATCTTCAACTCAGAGATGTCAACATCATCGTCTTCCCACCATTGTCGACCTTCCATGTCGATCATCTTCTCATCAAAGCTCCAAGGGCCACCTTCGTCACGTCGTTGGTTCCATTCATATGCACCGAACAATATGACTCGAAAGTTCGCGCTCTCGGAATCGCTACACGCCAGAGCTGTCTCTAGCGAGTCGTCGATGAGTGCTACAGCATTCAACGCCGAGCATATCTGAATAAGGTGGTGATCAGAACGGCGCTCAGCTCACGCTTTAGCTTACTGACCTCTGCTTTACTCTTGGTGGATGAGATATACGTGCAGTTTGTCTCGTCGTCTCTGATTGCCCGATCCTCAGGTTGTCTGGAGAAAATGACCGCACTAAATACAGCTATGTGTATCGTAAGCTTCGCCCTTGGATAGTACATCGCCGCGGTCAACTGACAGTCAAAATGTTGTTTCAACCAGGACTTTGTACTGTGGTACTCGTCTTCAAACATCCTGGCAGTTACGATGACCGGCCGATAGCCCAACTGTGCGAGCGTACGCAAGCCTTCCCGCGCGCCCGCCACAGGTGGTGCGTCCTTCAAGTGATCCTCCGCGTAAAAGGTCTTGACCTTTTCGAGTGTCTCAGAGACGCTGCCCCAGCCTGGGCACTGGAATGCATATCATGATGTGTTGAAGAGCCCGCAAGCATCGCCTCCTACCTTATACCACATCGAATCTACAAAGAACCTGGTGAGCACTTGGCGATGCGCCATGAAAGATTAGGCGCCGAGGCGATGGCGGCGTGACGTACAGTAGAACGTAGATAACCCCATTTTCGTTCCGTAGTTGGAGTTGTGCCCTAGAATAGAGCCAAAAGTCCGAGCCTTGTACGTACGGGAGTTGTCTATCGACATACAGTTTGCAACACACTGAGTCGTTTGTGATAGAACATCATCCATGTCGACGGCGATTATCCTGCCGCCATCGACTGATTTCACCAGACTCAAGACATCTACGAAATCGTGATCTTCCCCGACCCCGCCCAAAGCCTGCCCTTGATGTGGCATTCTATAATCGAAGCACTGCTCTATGAGGAATGGGGATGGGAGGGTGGAGAGGCAGGTGACGGTCAGATCCAACATGCGACGACGTGCTCAACCTTGTTCGGCCGTGGGGACGTCGAATGATGTAGCGTTTACTGCGACGCCAACATCGAAGTACGTCCCCGTCATGAATCTGAACCATATCTCTACGACCTGCTATTCAAGGGTTGACTACTACATGACATTGGCCAAATCATCTGGCGAGTATCGTTTCACCGTGTTACACCCGTCAAGTTGTCGTAGTAGTAGGTGACACCACCGGCGCTACATGAGAAAGGAAATCGTGAATAGCCAAAGCTACACCACGATGAACAGAGGATGTAGGATGCAAATGGTCACACCAAACAGAGCTGAATCCCTCATGTATATCGCTGGGTTTTAGCCCATATTCCGTAGGGTTGTCTAGTATTATTGAGAAGGCGAGCCAGGACGAAAAGAGGATAACAGTGGCGTCAGGATGATCCGCCGCGAACTTCTTGGCGCGTGATACGAGTTGCTTATTCCAGATAGCAACAGTACTGGTTGCAATCGCTTCCGGAGACATGAGTCGTTTCCCTGCTCTATGTGAGACTACAAATTGCTTGCTAGCTGGACGTAAGCGACTCACATGAAGGAGCCAAGTGCATGGGCGGTACATCAACGAACATGAAGTTTCGTGCCCCAGCTTCGTATAGGATCTCTTGGTACTTGAATAGTGTCGCAATACTGGTCTTCGCCGTTCCTATACCAGCACCGATGTATCTTGAACTCAGTATCAGTCGGCGCCCGTTTCAGGTAATCAGAAGCCACAGTATGATTGGACGTACGCGCAATCGTTTATGCCAACCCAGGTGACTACGCAGCTCTATGAGCCCTGTGTAGAAACATCATGGGCCGTCTTTCAGCTCACCGAATAGCGAATCTCCCGCCGTCCACGGAGCCCACTCAGGCTTATCGCGGATGGTCTGAAAACCTTTGTTCACCTGGTAATCGAAGTTCTCGACGCGGTCTCCGCCTTTCGCATAGTCAAACACGAGAAGGTCCTGACGCTCATCCGCGATCATGTTGACGAGATGACCAACCCAATTTGGGTCATCCTTATTCATCGAAGCCCACGTGCGACCCGGGAATGGGACACCAAGAGGCTCTTGCCAAGTCGGGTGAGGCGACTGGAGGCCGTCATAATCCACAGAGCTGTAAGAGTCCCCGCTGCGAGGAGCAATGACTTATCAACGACCTGGAGTAGACGGTCCACGGACGGTCCAACCCCTACTAACAATATGACAAGATGCTTCACAGACCGGAGTCCCTGCCAGCTGGGGCTCGTAGCAAGAGCTTCGTGCTGGAATAGGGACATGCAGGTGGAGAGACTGGATACGAATGTGATTTGTGTGGCGTAGGTCGTGGTGGTCGCGACCAAGGGTGCCCAACTTGGGTGGCTCGCGATTCGGTCCGGTAAGCCGGCGGCATCATCAGTTCACACACTCGAGTGCCGCCACCCCGCAAGCATGCTCTCTTCCTACCGCGAGGAAGGTCTTCGGATTGTTCGGCATTTATTCCCAATTCTTTCATCCTGAGCTTTTGCAATGCCTTGGTGGACGCCAACGTGGCCTAGCTTCCCGACCTTTGACTTCGCGCTACCATCTAATCTTCAACGGAGATTCATATCCTTCCTACTAAAGCGCTCCTTGGGCCCTTTCCTCAAGCCAGGTCAACTTGACGTAGAGCAGATAGACTCTCAACTTGGCTCTGGTTATCTTCAAGTCAAGGAGCTAGAAATAGATGACAATGTGGGTATTTTTTGTCTCGCATCCTCTATGAGTAATCTCAACGATAGCTTAGGCCGTCAACACTTTACTGTCTGGCATCCCGCTGGACCTTCGAGAAGGCTCCATTGGCACTGTCACTGCACGTGTGCCATGGCCTAATCCCTTGAGCGGCAATATCCGCCTCTCCCTGAGCTCATTACATCTGGTTCTTGAGGTCTCCGCCAGACCGTCCGAGCAGCCTTCGTCGCCTGTTGACCTGGCTGAGTCGGTCGTAAGCGTCGCCGAAACATTCGTACACGATGAAATGTCTGTATACGAGGAAGAAGAACTCATGAACTCTATTCATGAGGAACTGGGTATGTCCGACGACCATGTCGTTCCTGGCGGCCTGGACCCCTTCGGTTCTCCAGAGGACAGGTCACAACCCAGTAATCCGGCAGGGGATCCAGATGGCGTTTCCCTCTTTGCCGGACTGCTACAACGCCTTCTTTTGCGTTTTGAGATGGATGTAGAAGATTTGAAGATCACGATTGTTCATCCCGGCCATTCCGAGTTCATTGTCTCGCTTGCCGAGTTGCATCTCAATCACCAAGCGTCGGGCGATCCCTCGAATGCAGATTCATCCCTCCAGTCCCCCATTGTACCGGAAGATGTACGCGTCATTCGGTTATCGGGTTTCTCTGTTCAATGCCGCAACCTTGACCTGGGTGAGTTTGATCTTGAACGTTGGAATCAGAATCTAATATCTCACAGCGAACGACGTTCGAGCACCTATATCAAACGAACAGTCTCCCACGCAGTCGAACACCGCATCTGCATCTGACTCAGACTACGACGAAGCCTCGCAGCTCCTCATGTCGCAATCATTCGCAGCGCTCCCGCCTCGCCCCAACAATAGGCTACACCAAAGCCTTGAGGTGGATTCAAGCGCACTATTTCAAAGTGCTATGTCCACCTTACCCGAGGTTCCCGAACCCGAGCCTGGGAGCCAGAGTACCGAAAGCTCGCAGTCAAATGCGCCCCGGTCGCCCACGCCATCACACAGCCATGTGTCAGAGGCGTTACCTGCCGCCGATATACTGTGTGCCATGTCTACGGAGCCCCTGGTTATCCGCATCACCCTCAGGATCCCCACTTCTACATCCGCGTCTTCGATGGATACTCCGCCCACAGCCGCAAGCCCTCCCACCAGCTTACCACCATCCCGCTCGGTCTCTGTAGCAGCCAGCATGGGTCCATTCGCGTGTGCCATTCGACCCTGGCATTTGTCAGCTGCGCTAGAACTAGCCGATGCGTTCTCATCTTCCGGCGCCAATACCGCTTCCGGTTCTCGCTCTAGGGCGGCAGCCTCGCCATCAATCCTGGCGAAGACCACCTCATATCTTGACGAGGTTGATATCAGCGTCCGTGTCCGTGCGATCGTCGCATTGGCCCTTCCTTCTGGTTACTTCCATGTCCGGGAGAGTTCGTTCTTCGAGCGACCACTGCAGCCTCCCAACCTGTCCTCTGGATACTCAAGACTCTATGTCGACACAATCACTGCCTCATTCAGAGGGACAACCAAGCCCAGTGCATCATTGTCTACTCCCGTCAGCCCGGCAGTCGGCATTCGGTCACAGAACGATGCTGTGTCGCCGTTACGATTGCATGCACAGTTGGCTGTAGCAGACCTGTCTATCCTTGCGTTTGGTTGTCCTCCTTCGGATGTCACCGAACATCGGGTCCTCCCCGTCCTCATCACCGACCCCACCTTGTCAGGCCAATACGGCGAGGAACACGATGCGCCGCCGTCCTTGAGTGAAGGCCTACCTCTTCGGAGACACGCCCAAGATCTTCCTACTATATCGTCTCCAAATTGGCTTTCTCCGTCGCACAGAACGATACAGGCGAGGATATCACATTGGCGAAGTAGACCCACGGCGCGCAACCGCTACTCGCACCGATCGTCTGTGGACACAGCGAGGGCAATGCCGACGTCTCCTCAGAGCATATCTTTATCGCCACCGTTCGCATCTCCCAGCCCGGGAAGAGATTCAATTGGCAGGCCAGCGCCTGCGATAAGCGTCGCTTTTGACTCTGGCGAGGAGCTCGATCGCGCGTCAGCGTCCTCCTCGCACATCATTGTCGACATTGCACTGTTGCGCGCCTTCGTCGACGTGGAGGGCTTTGTCCAGGGCGATCACGCCGGTGAACCATCGCCACTCATGGCATTCGTCCAAGACCTCTCTGAGAGGCGCGACCGCCTGTTACCCCCAGCAGACGATGCGACTAGCAATCCGAGTGAGTACGCGTTGGTGCGTCTACGACATGGCAGCATGCTTAATACTTGCAGGCGGGGTTGAGCCTCCACGATCCCCCGTCGCTCACATGGGGCGCGTTCAGACGTTCGAACAGCATGCGCTTGACGGCCTTGGCTTGACCATGGATTATGGGCTTCCGGCTCCGCGGGAAGCTCCTTCTACCCCTGAGCCTGAGGTGCGTAGTGAAAACGCTCTTTATTCCCTCAGCACGAGCTCATCAGTGTGTCATATCAACAGAGTAAACCCAGTGTCTCAGTACATGCACCATTCATACGACTCGAGGCTCGCGCTTCCTCAAATACGCATCGCTCCGGTGCGGTCTTGATAGACGTCCATGCACTCTCAGTGGATACGTCTTCTCCAACCGAGACTGGCTTGCACTTTGCGACCGACGATGCTCACACTCTCGCTAGAGGTGATAGTCATCTCGTCTCCGTGAGCTGGCGCCGAGCCGTAGTGGCGATCTCTCCGCCAGGTCAAGAGCTCGCGACGGCATTCGTTTCTATTGGACCACTCATGCCCGACGCTATGTCCCGAAATCGGCAAGCCCAACTTCCTCGCGTTAGCGTTGGCTCCTCGGCGTTGGGCAGTACTTCTATTGTGGTCAACATCCCGTCCGTGCATGCGGATCTGACGAAGGACTCGTTTGACGGCCTTCAACTCTGGGCCGACGACGTTGCCAAAGTCATGGAACGTGCTTCTACCACGCCGCCCACGAGTTATGTGGAAACAGCGTCGCAGGGAGTCCGAGATCCCAGTCTCATCGGCAGCCGGTACTTCCTGCAGCAGAAACGAGGCAGCCAGGACAGTGGACGCCCATCCGATAGGGTTCAACCTCGGCCTAAGGGCGGCCAGACCGTCATCAAGGTGTTTGTGGCTGAGGGTGAGCTCCAACCTGCTATGCTAAGGGACCTCTCTCACGGACACGCGTAGCGTTTGCGCGCTTGCGGCTCTCACGTGAGGATGCTGATGGTCACGTGAAGCCTCTTGACATACTGGCTTCCGACCTGGATGTGCTTTTGGAGATCAAGCCGGACGGAAAGGTAAGCCTCACGAACTGGTCTTTGGTTGCACGGTCACTGAAATCTACTCATAGGACGAGACCGTTTGCACAATGGGCATCATGAATATCGCTGTACTAGATCAAGCCAGCGCCTCGCCACTTCCCATCTTGAGCTTGACCGCGCCGCGGGGCTATGTGAGTAGCGTACATTGAGAGGCGAGCTTCTCTCATCCTGCATGCAGGCAAACACCACACGTCAATTCCTCCATCTCCGCTTCAAGTCTTCCGTCGTCGCGGGGTCCTCGGCTAAGGAGTCTCAAATTGCGGTCACGCTATCGGGCTTCACATACAACTTCGTGCCAGATCTAGGGTGGATTAACGCGCTCGCGAAGTTCGTGAAGCCTCCCGCGGGCGTATTCGAAGGAGTACCTCCCAGCGAGCAGACGTTCGTGACCGCACATGTCCGTGATGGGTCCGTTCGGCTCTTCGCTCCGAATCATCCGGGCGCCTTCTTGATGCACGTCGGCGAACTGGACTTCTCTACGGTCTTGACAAGCGACAACCCCAGTCTAACATGCGAAGTCTCTGTCCCTTCTCTGAGCGCACTGATGGCGGATGACTTTGCTGCGGTGACGGAGCAGGTGGCGGGTAAAGACTTGCGCGCTTATCGAGGTGCTAAGTACTGGCTGGTACTGTTCCTATCCTCCTTCTGCGGCGCTTTACTGACATGTTGTACACAGAAATCGAAGTACGCGCTCATTGCGGAGATTCTCAACGCGAATGTTGCGGTAGATCGTGCTGTCGGTCCTCCGGCCAAGCTCAACGTGCGCTTTCGTACTGACCTCTGCCGCATCAAGATATGCTGATGCACTCACCAGGCTACTGTCGACGGTATTGATGTCCGGGTGCATCTCGCAGCTGATACTGGCGCTGCTTTGGGCGCATTCTTCACTGACCTCGCGTCGGCTTTCCAGACCGACGAGCCTGCTGTCGCAGAGTGAGTAATCCTTCACTCTGTAAACATGTATGGTGCTGATGCACGGCAGGGCTCGTCCTCCTTCTTCGCGAGCACCGGAGGATGTGTCGGTTGAAAGGAGGACCGACCGCTCGCAGGAGCTGAGCTGTACGTTCTCTGGACTTCTCACTCGATCAACCCGATGCTGATCGTGTGCAGATTCTGTGGACGAGGCCGCTTTCCGCGCCGCCCCCGAAGTAGGAGCAGCACCAGATATGATAGCCGACGATCTCCCCGTCAACATGGACTATCTCGACGAGTCCTTTGGCGCCGCTGCCGGCCTTCGTGAGATGACTGAGGAGGACATGGACGACTTTGACACGACACACACGCCCGAGATTGATGCGTATGATCCGACGATCATCTCTCAGGTTGGCGGGGAGACAATTCGTTTGCTCGAGCCGGAGGGGCTGGAGATCGTGGAGAATCACTTCAATACGCTTCCTGCGATCACAGAGGAACTGCCACAGTGCGTTATAACCCTGAAAGTCTCATCGTACTTTCACTGACTCCTGGCATTGCAGGACCGCTGAGATCCTCGACTGCGTCAAGTTGCAGAACGTCAACCTCGCCCTCTTCCTCTACGACGGCTACGATCTATCCTCCACGCGCCGCACGATCGAACATGAGATGAAGGAGATGAAGAAGCGGCTTGCCAAGATCCGTCAACTGGTCGCCGAAGGACAGAAGTACGACCCTACGGTGGACGAGGAGCCTAGCGCGCTACTGTTTAACTCGTTCTATGTCGGGCTCAAGGAGGATGCGGAGGGGATGGAGGGGGACCGATTGATTGGCGCTATTGATGAAGCGTTGATGGAAGGGTTCGAGGGTGAGGGTGATGTTGAGACGGCGAGCCAGAGTAGCTGGCAGTCTCTTCCCGCGAAACCTCAACAACGCCGCGTGTCGAGTCAGCTCCCTACCGCGCAAACGGCGAAGTCAAGCAAAGGCCGCCGTCTCACGCGCGCCACGACGCCATCAGTCGAGTTCAAAGTCCAAGGCGCGAACATCGAGCACGACCGGTACGCCGATGCTGAAGACCTCGCTTCCCGCGTGTTCGCTACGATCAAGGAGCTCGAGATATACGACCACTGTAAGACTTCGACGTGGAGGAAGTTCCTCAGTGCGTTGAGGCTCGATTCGAGAGGGAACATCAGGGAGACGGGGAGCAGTATGGTTAGGGTTGAGGTGCAGAATATCAGGCCTGTGAGGGGAAATGAGACGGAGGAGGTTAGGTTGAGGGCGAAGTTGTTGCCTCTGAGGTTACATGTCGACCAGGACGCGCTGGACTTCCTGAAGAAGTTCTTCAGCTTCAAGGATCCGAACGCGGCGCCGTCTAATGCAGCACCGGCCAAGGAAGCCTACCTTCGTGAGCATTGTTGTGTGACGTCATCCAACGTTGTCTCTGACATCTCCCTCCAGAGCGCGCCGAGGTGTTCCCAGTCGGTCTAAAGCTGGACTACAAGCCTCGCCGCGTCGATTATCGCGCTCTACGCGAAGGCAAGACAATCGAGCTCATGAACTTCTTCCACTTTGACGGCGCGGAGATGACATTGCGGCACATCACGCTCTACGGCGTACGTCTCCCTCTCTCCATTTCCCTCTTAACTCTGGCATCTGACGGTTCGCTTAGGTCACTGGCTGGCCGCGCTTCTTCGACATGCTGAACGACTTGTGGACACCCGATGTAAAAGCGACCCAGCTGGCGGATGTAATCTCGGGTGTCGCGCCCATCCGTTCTGTCGTCAACGTTGGCTCGGGCGTCGCAGATCTCGTCTTGCTGCCCATTGCGCAGTACCGCAAGGACGGGCGTCTGGTGCGAGGGGTCCAGAAGGGCACCAAAGCATTCGTACAGAGCACCGCGATGGAAGCCGTCAAGCTTGGCGCTCGGCTCGCAACGGGTACACAAGTCATCCTCGAACAAGCCGAGAACGTCCTGGGTAGCACCGGCGCGGGTCAACACTTCGAGTCGGGCGAAACGCTCTTGATCCGCGACGACGAATTTGACGGCGAAGGCGGGGACTCAGTGGGTGATCTTGAGGATGCGTTGAGGGAAGACCCGATCAGTCGGTATGCGGAGCAGCCGCAGGATCTGCAGGAGGGAATGCAGGCGGCCTATGAGGGTATGAAGAGGAACTTGAACGAGGCGGCTCAGACGATCTTGGCGGTGCCTATGGAGGTGTATGAGAGGTCGGGGAACGAGGTACGGCTTTTCTGATACTGAGAGTTGGTTCAAGTGTGGCTGATGCAGAATGCGTTGCAGGGGGCTGTAAGGGCTGTCATTCGGGCGGTACCGATCGCTGTTCTCAGGCCTATGATCGGCGCATCAGAGGCGGTCAGCAAGGCGCTGCTCGGGTTGCAGAACAGCATGGATCCGAACGTGCGGTTGGAGAATGAGGTGAAGTACAAGCATCGGGCTTAAGAGAACGGAGTATCTGGATGACGACTTGACGACTTGGCTTATTACCTGTATGCTATCTCGCATACACGTTTCAATATGGACGATATAATCCCTGGAATCGGAAATGGAACGTATGAGATACACGACAGACAGACAGATTGGTACTTTTGAGCGGTGCGACAGGATGAGCAAAGACGAAAGCAAAGCGACAAGAGAAGCGACAAGAGAGTGGACAGTGCAACTAGTCGATGTCCATGCCCATAGAGCGGCCCTCCCCAGCGATAAGCGCGCTCTTTGACCTGGACTGGACCTTGATCTTCTCGCGGACCTTGGTTTTTGATGTGTCTGCTGTTGCGGGCTCGAGCAGCTTGACGGCAGATTTCTCGGCTGCGCGTTTCCTGTGTGCGCGTAGCTTCTCTTTGCTCGCCAACATCCTGTGCGCGTTCGGTAAGTCATTGGACAATGATAAATTGAGGGTGAAGGGAGCTAACCTGTTCTTCCAAAACGCGTGCTCGCGCTTTTTCTTGATCTCCGCTATGCGTTTCATGGCCTTGATCGTCGTCTGCATGAGGTCGCGGTCGTAGCGGACGGGGACGTTTCTCCTCTTCTCAAAGTCGATAGTCGAGTCCTGTAGCACGTTTAGAGTGACGTGATATAATGGAACGGAGAACGCACGATGGTCATCTCCTTCCCTGCCGACTTCCTGAACGCCTTCGTCCACCTGACCTTACGCGGGTTGCGCTTCATCCTTTGGCGAATGTCAGTAAAAGTTGAAAGTGTATAGCATGGTAACACACTTGAAGTTCTTGTGACATCTGAGGGACAGTCAGAACATGCATATACACTGTGTAGCGAGCTACATACTTTGATGTGCAGAACCTGAAGACTTTGGCATCGTTGCGCACAAAATTGATGCCTGGAGCACGGTGAGTATCCAGCCGGATATAAAGTCATTTAGAGCGCACCGTGTCCAGGATAGATGCTCTTTGAGCAAAAGTAACACTTCTCGATCCTCATCTTGACTGATAGGGACGAGTGTGGGCGATGGACGCAGGAGGGAGAAAGTGCTCGACGCGCGTGGGGAGCGTGCGGAAAAAGTGCTTAGTCAGCGTGCGGTTCCACCCACCGCGCGACGCGTCCTTAGAGCTTGGACCAGACACTCTGTCTGTTGACAGCGAACCACGATGTCGTCTCCACCACCGCCAGCGCCTGTTCTGGAAGACGACCCGATGCGCGGGGACGAGGAGGAGCAGGAGGACGAGGGCGAGGGCGACCGCGCGTCTGACGACAGCTCGGAGGAAGCCGAGGAGGACGAGGAGGAGGAGAAGCGCGTCAGGGAGGGATTTATCGTCGACGAGGACGAGGACGAAGAGGAGGAGGAGGAGGACAGGCCAAAGAAGAAGAAGCGCAAGCATCGCAAACACCGGCACCGGCACCATGGTCAGTGTTATTGTTTACAGTACATATACGAAATATTGAATTATGTGCAGACGAAGACGCGGAGGGGGAGCTCGAGGACGACGACCTGGATTTGATGGAGGAAAATACGGGCGAACAGTTCAAACGCAGCAAGCTCAAGCGTCTCCGTCGCGGCCGCGAGTCGGACTCTCCACCCGCCGCTTCATCCTCAAAGCGCCGCAACGCCGTACTCTCCGACGACGACCTCGACGCCGAGGATCTCGAACTCCCGTCACGTGGTGGTATTCAGGATATCTGGGCCGAAGACGAGGATGAGGACGACTTCATCGACTATGACGAGGAGGAAGAGGGCGCGGGTGGGATGGACGAGGCGGAGAGGGAACAGCTGAGGAGAGAGAAGCGCAGGCAGGAGAAGGAGCGGCGCCAGGCTATGCGTTCACGTCCAGAGCTCTCTGGCATCGATCCTGCGTAAGTATATTTCATTCAATTCATTGTGCTGTAACTCACATTGCGTAGTGCCTGGGACGAGATCTTTGAGGTCTTTGGGGATGGCCACGACTATGACTGGGCACTTGAGGGTGAAGATGATGATGAATACCAGGAAGCAGCGGCCGGCAAGGAGATGAACTATCAGGACGTATGTCTCGTCCGCCACACCTGTGTGATGAAGGCACATACTGACACTACACCTTTCATTCCAGGTCTTCGAACCCTCTGAAATTCGTGCTCGCCACCTCACTGAGGACGACGACATCATCCGGGCCCAAGATGTTCCCGAACGCATGCAATTGGCCACCTCCACACTATCCAAAGACGCCTCTCTGTCTGTCCAACACCCCATGAGCGAAGAGATGCTCGACGACGCGGCAATGTGGTGCCTCATGCGCCTCAACAAACGGAAAGAACGCGAGTTCTTCCGTCCAGACGGACAATACCACGCCTACCTCGGCGACCTCGTTTCAGCCATCACCGACGTCCTCCGCTTCATCTTCGTGAGCTTATACGAGGTCCCTTACATCTGGACGCACAAGCGGGATAGCATCATCTCCATCAAGCCTGAGATCGCACGGCAGAGTGTGAATCTGCTGAACCAGGAGGAGTTGTGGCGCATTCAGATGCTCGGTCAGAAGTATCTGAGTTTGAAGGAACGGAGACAGGCGCTTGTGACGAAGTATCAGGCGCTGGGCGTCAACGACGAGTACTTCGAGACGAACATCCAGGAGAAGCTGGACTCGGTCGAAACGGTTGCTGATGCGACGGAGTGGTTGGCCATGAAGTACAAGGCGAGCAAGGGCAAGGCAAGCAAGGTGGCAAATGAACTGAGGTTCCACGACGATGACGAGCCCATGGCGGAGGCTGCGCCTGTGAAGGAGAAGCGCAAGCTCCCGAACAGGACCTCGGACTATGATGTAGCCAAGCAAAGCATCGTGGCCAAGCTCGCTGAGGTATAAGCACATCTCCATCGTGCAGCTTTCTGAATAGACACTGACTCTGATATGCAGGGCTTCGGCGCTAAAGCAGAAGAGATCGCCATCAACTTCATCTCGGCTTCGCGCGTCAACTGGCCCACAGACCCCGACATCAAGCCTCTGGCTCTTGCGGACCAGTACGTGGACCCCGACCCGGCCAAGGCTCAGAGTCCCACGGACTTGCTCAAGCGTGCTCGCATGATTATGGCGACTGAGCTCGGCAAGGATCCTATTTTGCGCCATGAGATTCGCCAGGTGTTCAAGAACCGCGCTACAATCTCTATTGCGCCTACCGAGCGCGGTGTCAACAAGATCGACGACAACCACCCCTACTATGTATGCGAGAAGTATCTATACTATGTTGATATACGATACTGACTATCTTGACAGGCGTTCAAGTATCTGTACCGCAAGCCCGTGATCGAGATGCTGGAGTCGCCCGACTTCCTGCACATCTTAGCAGCCGAGAAGGAGCTCCTCGTCTCGGTCACATTTGCACTTCCGGACGAAATCAAGGGCGAGTTCGAGAAGAAGCTGAGCGACGCTATGGTCGCGGACTCTTTCACGGACGTCAGCAACTTGTGGAACGACGAGCGGCGTCGTGTAGTGGTCGAGGCCCTTGACCAGCACTTGCTGCCGGCTGGTGCCAAGCACGCGAGGGAATGGCTGAGGGAGGAGGTCGAGGACTACATGGCATGGCGCTGTGCCAGCGCTCTTCGCGAGGTTCGTTCATTTCCCGACTACGATGAAGAGGCGCCCGACTGACGTAATCTTCCCAGCGCGTCGATGTAGCGCCCCTGGCTATTCCCTCGCTCGAACCTGGCCAAATCCCGAATGTTGTCGCGATGTCCTGGGGCAAGGGTGACCCTCAGAAGGATGCCATCACCATCGTCTTCACCGACGAAATGGGTCGTCTGCGTGAACATACCAAGATCGACAACTTGAACGACGCCGACTTCCGGGAAGAGTTCAAGGACTTGCTCATCCGCCGCAAACCGGACTGTATCATCATTGGCGGTTTCTCCGTCGCTACGCTCAAACTCTCCCTGCGCGTCAAGGAGTTGTTGCAGGGCACGAGCGAGCAAGCTGAGGGTCAAGGCTCGTCGAGCAAGGAGCAGGAGGATCTTAGCACTATCCCGGTGTTCTACGGCCAGGACGAGGTCGCCAGGATATTCCAGCACTCCAAACGCGCGGACGAGGAGTTCACGGGCGTATCGGCCATCGCGAAGTACTGTATCGGTCTCGCGCGATACGTTCAGAGCCCATTGAACGAGTACGCGGCGCTGGCGAGCGATATCACGGCCATCACCTTCGAGGAGGACCATCAGCCTCTTATCCCGAAGGAGAAGTTGCTGTACGCGCTTGAGCATGTGCTTGTGGACGTCGTCAACAAGGTCGGAGTGGACATCAATCGCTGTGTGACGGACTCGTACTATGCGGGACTGTTGCCGTTCGTGGCTGGCTTGGGACCGAGGAAGGCGGACGCGTTGATCAAGAAGATCGCACAGCTCGTAAGCACATTCTCCTCTTCAACACTATCTATTCAGGTGCTGATCCACTATGCCAGGGTGGTACATTATCGAACCGCGAGCAGTTCGTCAAGGCAGGGTTGATGACGACCAACATCTTCCTCAATTCCGCCGCCTTCCTCCGCATTCCTCAGGACGGTGGCTCACGATCGTCCAAACACCGGAATCACGATGACATGGACACGCAAGACCCGCTCGACGACACGCGTATCCACCCGGAGGACTACGACCTTGCGCGGAAGATGGCGACCGATGCGCTCGACAAGGACGAGGAAGACTTCCAGGGCGAGCATGCTTCGCAGCCGGTGACTGAGCTCTCGAAGGAACGCGACGTCACAAGGAAGCTCGACGAGCTCAACTTGGACGAGTTCGCTCTGAACTTGCTTGAGTCGAGTGGGGAGCGCAAGCGGCACATGCTCAGCATCATTCGCTCGGAGCTTATCGCGCCGTTCAGCGAGACACGCCCACCGTTACAGCCGCCAGGGGACTGGGACGTCATCACGATGCTTACTGGCGAGACGCCGCGGACACTCAAGAACGGTGTTATCGTCTCTGTACTCGTTCAGCGTATCAGGCCGAACTTCATCAACGTGCGCATGGACTCTGGGATCGAGGCCGTCATCAACACGGTGTACTTGACGGATAACGCCGCGGCACCTGTGAACGTCGACTCGATTGTCAAGAAGGGTCAGACGATGCCGGGTGTGATCATTCAAGTCCGTCCTGAGCTCAGTCAGGACCAGATCTTCGTCGAGCTCTCCGCGCGTCCGGGCGATATCGCCGCTGGAGACAGCCAGTTCAGGCGCGTCAAGGCGGACGAGAAGTACTGGAACCATTCGCAGGCGGAGCGCGATCAGGAGATCTTGGCGAGGAAGAAGAGGGCGGACAAGGATAAGACGAGGAGACTGGTTAAGCACCCGCATTTCCATAATTTCAATTCGGCGCAGGCGGAGCAGTACCTTGCTAAGCAGCAGCGCGGGGATGTGGTCATTCGGCCGTCGTCGAAGGGCTTCAACCATCTGGCTGTCACTTGGAAGGTCGACGACAAGCTCTACCAGCACATCGGTATGTCTCTTCAACCCCTTCACGTTGATACTCTCTGACATATTGTTAAGATGTCTACGAGCCCAATGCGGACCCCTCTGGTCAGAGTACAGGTGGCCCGCTGATCGTCGATGGAAAGTACGAGTTCTCCGACCTGGACGAGTTGATCGTCAACCACGTTTCCGCCCTCACGCGCCGCGTCGAAGAGCTTATGGCGTACGAGAAGTTCAAGCCTGGTCCCGAGGACGAACTTCGTAAGCACTGCCCTCGCCCTTTTTCACTGCGCTTCGAATAAGCTAACGCCGTGCACTAGACTTGTTCCTCAAGAATTTCGTCGCCGCTCACCCCAACAAGAGCATGTACGGGTTTACGCTTAACCGAAAGCGACCTGGCCACTTCAACCTCTGCTTCCTAACGAACAAAAATTCGACCGTCCAGACCTGGGTACGTAGCCACGATCGAGGTCGTGTGCCACTAAATGCTGACGTATTATTCTCGACCAACAGCCTGTGCGCGTCGCGCCAGAAGCGTACTTCCTCTTCGATACCGCCGCGACTGGTGTCTCCGAGCTCTGCGACGCGTTCAAGCTCCGGCAGATCCATGCCGAGTCCAACACGGCAGGAGCAAGCGCGAAGACGCCTTACGGCGGCCGCACGCCCGCGCGCACACCTGCAGTTGGCGGTGCCACGCCTGGTCACATGTCTGTCAGGCAGGTCGGCCGTACGCCGAATCCGTATGGCGCGGCCGGGGGCGCGACGCCGAGGAATGTGCCCGCGAACCAGTTCGCGCCGTTCCCTCCGCCACCCGGTATGATGCCGCCTCCTGGTATGATGCCTCCTCCTGGTATGGGTGGAATGCCGCCCCCGCCAGGAGGGATGATGCCGCCGCCTGTCCCGCCTGGCATGAATCCACAGCGGGCAGCCCATATTCACCAATTCGGCGGCGCACCGAGTGGTTGGTGAGGCCGGTGAGGGGCTCTCCAGTTGCTCATCAATCATTCCCCTGCATTTCATGTCGTTTGCTCGTATACACCTCGCATTATCTTTTGACGCTTTGTAAAACTCACATGCATGTAACCTACTTTACGCATCTATATTTCTGTGTGCTATTTGAAATTGCTTTTCGATTTGAAATTGCTGTGGCAGGTCATTCAATGTTCGTTCTGAACTTGTGGCAAGCTAGGGCAAGCTGTCCAGACAACGGGAATAATACGCCGCAACACTGGCGCCTACTGGCGCCCAGAAATGATATCATGCGGTTTGATGAGCCACGCAGCCCGCAGCCCTGTCGCCACACGCTCAATGAATACACCTTGCCACGAACGTTCATCGAGACCCTGCTGGCTTACTTGTACGACTTTGCGCCCTCTATATCTGGTATGTCTGAACAGATCGAGATGGATGACTTGCGAGGCGGCAGAACGCCTGCTGCTCCTGCTTCTGAATCACAACCCGGACTTCTTCCTTCGCCGAGCGACGACTCGCGTGACGCCACATCTGCCTCCTGGAGTTGGTTCTCTGGATCTATGTTCGTATGCTTAGCGAGTTCGCCGTCGTACACCTCCCGGCTGATCCATCATCGCTAGACTGGCCTTATGGTCAGGCGTTCTCACTCTCTTTCCCCGGATTCTGCTATTCGCGGCCGAGGAGGGTCAGCAGATGACGCCGCTTGAGTCGTTCGTGTGCTTGCATTTTGGTCTGTTCCTTTCTGCTATTGCCGCAGCCATCGTCTTCAATGTGGGGTGTCTTCTCACTGCGTGGGTCTTTCTGTATATTGACAGATCTATGTGATGTTGCAGATCCCTTCTGCCCGTCCGGTTCCAACACGAGATCAATCGGACCCGCCGATGCACCCACTCGTATATTCCATGTCGATTTTCTCTCTTTTGAGCGCGTTCCTGGCATACAATACGGCCGACGTAGGCGCGCTGTCCACATTGTTCGCTCTCAGCATGGGAAGCATCGGCGTCTTTGGTGTCTGGGCAGTGAGTCGACTCCACTTCTGTGTACACCGTCGTATTCGACGAACTTTCCCTTCAGATCACCTTCGCTGGCCCTGGAACGCACTCCAAAAAGACGGGCGCCGACAAACACACAAGTCGATTCCTGTTCGGGAATAAAGCCTCTGCGTCAATGCAGAAGAAGCGGTGGCGAGAGGAACAGAAGAGGGCAAGGGAACACTAAACCGACAGGCAAGTCTAGATCCTGCCCTTCTTCAGGCGCCGGTCTACATCATGGTCTTGCGACCTTCGCGGGAGACCAGCCGACACACGTTCAGGATCATCCTCGTGAAGCATAGACTGTATAGTAATACACCGCGAAATACAAGTGAACATGCCGTACACGTACAGATCCAGGGCTCTTCGCGCTCTTCGAGCTCAACGTTCTCATGCACCGCCCATCCCACCGAACATCTTCATCTATGGAAGAGTCAGCTCAAGGGTCAGTTATGCTGACAACGTTCACGCTTACCATGTCGGCCATGTTAGGCATACCGCCCCTACCGCGGCCCAGACCGGGCATACCAGGCATGCCGGGCATTCCGCCCGCGCCACCCATCTGTGCCATCATTCGTTGCATCTCCTCCATGTCGCCAGCGTCTGCACCTGTATGCGGCTCAGCCGGACATACGGCGTATTAAGCTCCTATACCCCGCACCTTGGCTTTGCATGAACGACTTCATCATGTCTCCAATACCACCACCAGACTGCATTTGGCGTTGCATTTGGGCAAGCATTCCAGGAGGCATCGCGCGTTCTATACAACCGTCAACTTGAGTTCGATGTAAATCTGCTGAGAAGGCGACTTACGCATCTGCTGGATTTGCGCCGGTGTGGGCATTCCGTTTGCCCCGCGACCACGACCCGCAGCGGACTACACGAGCTACTGTGAGCCACATGTCTATACCGGGAATAGAAGCTTACGTACCTGCATCTTCTGCATGGTTTGCAACCAACCGTTTTTGCCGCCCGCCTGCTTGGCCATATTCGCCATCATGGTGTACTGGCACAACAGCTCCTCCACCTCGCGCACGCTCGTCCCACTTCCACGAGCAACGCGTGTTACTCGCCAAGTAAGCGCCGTCGGCTTGCCGTCCTTCCCATAGTCCATGAACAACGAGCCGTCCGAGTCGAGTTCGGCGGAAGTCATGCTGTCCGTAATGTAGATCATGCGCTTCATGCGGACAGCACCTTCCTCGTCAGACCCCGCGAGCATATCCTGCGGAAGACCGGGAATCATAGAGGCGATCTTAGATAGTGGGCCGCTATTGACTTGTTGAGAAAGACGCGTGGGAAATTGCTTATGGCGTAGAACTCACAGGTTCATGACGTTTTGGATCTGTTCTCGCCAGTCCCGGATGCTGAGCTTGCCTTCCTCGAGCTTCTTAGCCATCTCCTTCTGTCGGTCTGGATTCTGCGTCGCCAGATCCTGCATATGTTCCATGAGACCCTGAACGTCACCCATCCCGAGCAGCTTAGAGATGAATGGCTGTGGCGCGAAGCGATCGAGGTCAGTGAGATGCTCTCCCGTACCCAGGAAGATGATTGGCGTCTGCGTAGTGGCAACACTAACTGCGGTCAGTAAGGACCGAAGACAGCTGAGTAGCAAGACTTACGCGGAGATGGCACCTCCGCCCTTCGCATGCCCATCCATCTTAGTGACGATGATGGCGCCAAAGTCGGCGCTTTCTTTGAACGCGCGACTCTGGGCCTCGGCAGCCTGACCTAAGCGTTGATGAGCGGCGTAGTACGGTGAATTGCGCATAAACCCACCGATGCTAGCGTCAAGGATGAGAACGGTCATGTCTGGCTTTACCGCATGGCCGATCTGTACCATCTCCTCGAATAGCTCCCCCTCCTGTTTGTGTCGACCGGAGGTATCGACGATAATAACCTCGAACTTCTCCTTCTTGAACTTTGCAACACCCTGCCCCGCAATGGCGACGGGATCCGTCTCCGTGTAAGAACCAAAGTAAGCGACCTTCGCCTTCGTCGCCGATTGCCGTGTTTGATCGAAGGCACCGGCACGGAACGTATCGGCGCAGACAATACAAGATTTGAAGCCACGTTTCTGGTAGTGCACTGCGAGCTTCGTACATGTCGTGGTTTTGCCGTTCCCCTGCATGTTACTTTAGTCGGACAAATCATTATGACGCACTGTGCGCGTACCTGTAACCCTACGGCCATGATAACGTTCGCTTGGCCCTTCTTCGGCTTGTAAGGTTCGACGCCTGGATCTACGAGCGCTACCAGCTCATCGAAGACGGCCTATTCGGAGTTCATACCATATATGTTCGCGGGGCATAGATCTGCGCACCTTCTGTATAACATTCTTCCTATTCGTTTCCTTCGTCTTGTCCCCCGCACTCTCAAATGTCGCTTTGACCTTTGTCCTGACTTTCTGTCGCAGTTGAGATACTAGTTTGACATTGACGTCGGATTCGAGCAATGCAGCGCAGACTTCTTTCAAGAGCGCGTCGAGAACCTCGAAAGCGCATTGGACTCAGATCAAATGAACATGATATTCACATGGCAGCTATGCGCTACCTTGTCGTCGACTACGGGTGCCCTGTTCAGTGAAGAAAGGGCGGCGTTGAGTTTCCTGCCGAGATCGGCGAGAACCATGGTGAAGGTGAGAGTCAGGCCCGAGCGCGGTCGTGGCGCGCCTGAACGCGCGCAAAGTAATTACGGGCCGGACTGCCGGCCTTGTGTTCGCGTCAACGCGTCTCGCCATGCTTGTTTCTGACCTCCATGGACGGTGAAAGCGAGGACGATTTTCGTAACGACGACGTTGACGAGGATGATGGTGATGACGATGAATTAGACCGTCAACTCTTCGATGCCATTGAGGAGGTACCCGACGAGGCTGGTACCGAGGAAGCTGTCAGACTACTTACTCTGGAAACTGGGCATCACTTCTCATAATCAACACAGGATTCCACGTCTGACGCATCTGACGATGACGAGGATGAAGAAGAGGAACGGCCACTGGCGTCAAAGCAGCAACATGCACCTGCACCTGCCCCGGCGCCTTCTGGTGATATAATGATGAAGTCTCCTACGCCGCCTGGCCAAAGCAAGTCTGCTACAGGTTAGTGGAGTGTTCATTACGCATATGCGACATGCCAACAGGCTTCCCTTCCAGCGTTGACACCGCCACATCCTCAACCAATGCAGTCGACACGTCTGACCGCCTCCCGCATAAGACGGAGCCACATTAAACCTTCTGTTTTCTATCCGAAATCATATACAGTCGAAGCGATTTGTGCCATGCCTCATCCTGTGCCTACACATTCCCTTGCAGCCACACCCTGCATGACACATTTGCTCACAGGCTCCGAGGACGGGTATATCCGCGATTATGATATATTCACTGCAGTGAATGGCAAAATCTTGTTGAGTGCGCCGCAAAGACATCATGCCGGTGTTGTAGAGGGCATCCTCAAAGCTGGCCAGCTTCGATCGTGGTGGGAACACCCAAGCGAACCATCCGGTGACGAATTGTCTCCCGTACATAGTCTCGCAATCCACGGGGACGCCCTTTGGAGTCTGGCGGGTACCAACGTTCGTCGCCGTGATGAATCAAGTGCGGCCATCGTCTGACATGTTTATGGATGTCAAAGGCTGGTTACATCAACCTCCACACCGTACGCCATGATCCTGGCCGTCTCATCCACTCGATGAAGGGCCATACTGGGCCCGTCTCTGCTCTGTCTATCTCTCATGACGAGAAGGGTTTTTTCTCCGCAGGCCAGGACGGAGACGCGCTGGTATGGTGTTTTTCCCTCAATGTCTGCGAACGCTAATCTCATACATTACACATAGCAATGGGATCTTAACACGGGAAACATAGTACGGCGCTACGCTGGACACGGTCCACAGCTTACCTCATTGGCCGTACGCCCGCTGGATTTTGATTATCCGGTTCCAGCGCCGCCAATAACCAATATACCGGCCACCAGCGGCGCCCGCGAACGCCGCGAACGAGCAGCACAGGCAGCAGCAGCAGCACAGGCCGCTGCGAATGCAGATGCCGAAACCAAATCCGAATCAGGCGACTCCTTATTCGGAGACGAACCAGACGGAGACGTCGACATGGACAAGAAGCCGCCTCTGCCACCACCCCAGCCGAAGCATGTACCGGCACCCGTTAAGCCGCCGAAAGCCGAACCCGCGCCTGCGCCCAAGAACGCTCCTCCTTTACTCGACTCGGCAAGGCTATCGAACTTTTCCCCGGACATCTTCATGACAAGTTCGATCGACGGTCAAGTCGTACTCTGGGATGTCCGTGCGCCAGAGAACGCTCCAGGCTCTGGTGTTGGTCGCCTGTGGATGAGTGCTGGTACGCCCCCGTGGTGTCTGTCGGTCAGCACACCCAATACAGTCGATCATCCTATACCTAAACTTACAGTTATGCAGGCCTGCTGGTCTATGAACGGCGCTCAAGTATACGCTGGGCGTCGTAATGGGGCCATTGACGTCTGGGACGTCCGACAATTCGGACAGACTGGACCTACGCAAACGCCTCGATTGCTCAAGACGCTGAGAAACCCAGCGAGTTCCGGTATAGTCAGCTGTGTCGTCTCGTTTCCTGATGGACGCCACATCGCATGGTGAATTTCATCGCATTTTTTCAACGTGTCAACGGCATGTACCCGACAACTTCTCGTCCTGTCGCTCACATGCCCAATCTAACTCCTAGACTCTCTTTACATGGCGCGTGACTGATGACCCTGACAGTGCTTCGAACGACAATATCCGCTTATGGAACGCTGCGGAGGCTGGTGAAGGCGACGTACGCGGGCGCGTACAGTTCAAGATCATCCCTGGCCATCACGGCGGCATAGTTTCGCAGATGGGTAAGTCTCATTCGTACATAAAGTTCACGCTCATCTGGGCTAACCTACTGGTCTTGTGAACAGTGGTAGACCCTGCGGCCCGTTTCCTTGTGAGCGCCAGCGGAAACCGAGGGTGGCACGGGGACGCGACGCGAACGGTGTTCGTCCACGACATCAAACCTGTTGTGTAACAGAACCCTGGCCCAGCGCCGGGGTAAGAAGCTTGAGTTTGGGTAGTGTGCCTAGCCTATTGAAGAGAGTTCATCGTTTGGGGCCTTGGATGGGCCGGCCGTTCAGGCTACGCGGCTGAGAGACGGCAGCATCGCGGCAGAGCAGCAATTCGACTTCCGCTCGCATTTCCTGTGAGCGATTCCTACTGAACCTTATGCGTCGAACGCCCTGGGCACATGTACCCGCTATGATTCAAATCCTGTCGAACTCTCCCACCTTGCCCGATCTGATCTCGTTCTATGGACCCTTATGTGTGGGGTATCCCAAGACTTTGTGCGCAGACGCCCACCATCTATAAAGCTTGACAGTCCGTTCGCTGGTTGCACCCTGTTGCCAGCGCCCACGTTTTGCGCTTCTTGTGGCCTCCCTCGTTCATGTGCAACGGCTGCTCTCGATCGCCAGCTGTCGAAATCATGGACGTACCCAGCGAGGACTACTCATCCTACTTCCGCGAAGTGCACGGGCGCAAAGTAAATGTATTAAACGCGCGATACGCTCTTCCTGCGGACGACGAGGAGCTCAAGGTACGCGCGCGCTTTTCTTGACGTGCCTTCTTTCCGAGCTTACTGCGGCTTCACACGCCATGTGTGCAGCGGTTCGAAGTACTTCACCGCTTGACCCGCTTCGTACTCGGCGGCGCGAACTACGTCGGGCCAGTCAAGTCTGTGCTCGCGCCGGAGCGCGCGCCCGCTGGTGACAAAGTGCGTGTACTGGATCTTGGGACCGGCGGAGGCCTATGGTTCGTATCGCGTCGTTGAATGTATGCGTGATCTGACTCTCACCCCGCACTCCTCCTGCCGTACTTAGGGCCATCGACATGGCAGACGAGTTTCCGCACGCCGAGGTACTCGGCGTCGACCTCGCGCCGCTACAGCCCCAGTGCGTCCTGTTCTTCCTCGTGTGCGGCCTGTAGCCGCGTCCGAGAACCCTCGCGTGACATGGTATCATAAGGCTGATGCGATGATTGCGTTCACGCAGATGGGTGCCTGCGAACTGCACGTACGTAGGACAAGGTTCAGCCCAGCGCCCGGTACCACGGCTGACGGAGACTGCGCGTGTAGCTTTGAACTCTGCGATCTGGACACGTTCTGCCTTCCGTATGAAAGCAACTCTTTCGACGTCGTGCACGCGCGCAACATCATCGCCGGCGTGAGTACCTCTTGCCCAATTACTAGCACCGCGCCGTGCCCGAACCCTGCCTGACCTTCCTCGATTCTGCCGACGACGCGGCCGACAGATCTCCAACTACCCACACTTCGTCCATGAACTTACGCGCATATTACGGCCCGGCGGCGTCTTGCTCCTCATCGAGTTCGACCTTCGCCCGATCGCAGACGGCAATATCGTCACCAAGGACAGCGAACGCCGAACGGAAGTCTACGGATGGGCCACCCTCGCCGACGAGATCCAGCGCTGTCTGGTCAGTCGCGGTATCGACGTGACCGTCCCGGAGTCTATGGGCGTTATCGCGCATAACACCGGCTGGTATAGCGAAGTCAAGCAGCAACACGCCGACATTCCCATCGGCTTCTGGCCTAAAGGTGAGGCATTCGCGCGCGGGAATGCCGTGTATGCGCATCACGTCGTGTCCGGCAGGCTAGCTGATGCCAGTTCCCTTCTTCCGCAGACTCGACGTTGCTCACGGTTGGCCAGCTGGCGTGGACGAACTTCGACTTGCTGATGATCGCCGTCAAGGTTTGCCGTTGCCCCCTTTGCCTTCCCACTTCCCATCTTCAGCCGTTCATCTTTCCTCTTCCAATTCCGAGCCCTCGCGAGACTCTTTCAGCATTCTGACTCACATCCTCGTGCACAGACGCTCCTCCTCTCGTCCGGTATACCCGAAGATGTGGTCCAGAGGCTCATCAAGGACGCGCAGGCGGACCTGTACCAACCTCTCCGCAACATCTCGACGCGCCTGCACCTCGTCCACGCCATCAAGCGCGCAAAGTGACCAACTGCTCGCGCAGCGCTCGCAACGTGAGTGCCATGTCGTCGACCTCGCCGCCTCCATCAGGCGCCGCGCAGCACTTCTGCCCCGCTTCCCCGCAAACGCAAATGAAATCCTGACCGGACCCTTCATCATTCCTCGATCGGCCGTGTCCAAAGTACTGTACAATGCCCCCTAATCTTCCATCCTCAACAACTGCTCTCAGGCTTCAACCCCTCTTGCTCGCTATTTCTATGTTTTGGGAATCCACATCTATCACCGCATGGACAATGGTCTCGTCACAAGCTCTGCATACGCTTTCAAACGCATATCCCACCTGCTCCCCCTCATGTTCACGTCAATGTACTTGTATACCACCAGCTCTATGCATCGAAGAACCTTTGAACACAGATGACAGCACGACAATGACAGTTTCGGAATGCGAAGCGCCGACCCCGATCCTGCGACCTTGATGCACAGTTGGACGTTTGAACTTTGAACCCAACTGACTGTATCATTGGCTTTACGGTACGCGCAATGCAAGCGATTGGCGCGACGTATTATGCAAAGACGCCGCCAGCGCCGCCGCCTCACGAACTCTATGGCGCCGTATGCGAACAAAGCAAAGGCTAAACCGCCAGAGCGCTGATCTTCCTTGGCGACTATACTCGGGTCGCCGTTCACAGCATGCCTCGCGCAACTTTACACAACGTTCTGGAATCCGAAGCCTAAGCCGCCGTTCACTACAGTATGCGGTCGAAGACTGGAAGCCAACGTTCCGACACAGCCTCAGCGTACAGTGCTAGCCTTCTTACTCACGAGCTTGCCTGGAAGACGACCCGACGTGGCACACGCCACCGAAGTCAAGACTACAGTACAGCCGCTGAGCGCTCAAACGCGATTGCAATGTTCCTGTCTACATGCGCGTAACCTTGTCAGTAGCAGCGCTCAACGCGCTCAACTTTCAGCCCGATCGTTCACCCCAACAGTTCATCATCACAACCTCCCATGATTCATTGACAATTGTACAACACGGGGAGGGAACATCATACACTCGCACACACATACACAGAGGCACGCAGGGGGGAAAACGAAAGTCGAAAAGCGGGTTGATCATCATCCATTTCCTTCAAGATTTACACAAAGGAAGTAGCGACCACTACACTCGCGACGGCAGCAGCAGCCTCGCGATGACCGACCGACTCGACAAGGGGTGAGTAACGACGGCGGCGGGAGTAAAAGAGCGGGAGGGGGTTACAAAACACAGTTAGTCAGTCAGACAGGGTGGGAGGGTGAGGGGACGGGGCGGTATTAGTACAAGGTCGGCGGGAATATACAGTGAGCTTGTCATGACAGAGGCACAGTGGCGTCAGCGCACGGAGCCGCTTACTCGGCCTTGGAGAACTCGTTGAGCACGGCGATGGCCTCGTTGACCTTGCCGTCGAGCGCCTCCTGGCTCTCGAGCAAGTTGATGAGCTCCTGGTTGTCCATCTCGAGCAGCATGCCCGTGATCTTGCCAGCGAGGTCAGGCTGGTCAGGTGCGATCTTGACGTAGAGCATCTCGCCGAGGACCTGCTTCTGCTCGGCCTGAGGCACGCCGTTGAGCGCGCTGAGGTCAACGTTAGTGGCGACACCAGCCTGAGGAGCACCGCCGGGCACAGGGGCGCCGCGCGGGGGAGCGGGACGGCCAGCCTGCGGGGGCGCGGCACCACGAGGGGGAGCACCGCCACGGGGAGGGCCACCGGGACCGTTGGGAGGGCGCGCAGCGCCAGTGGGCGGGCCAGCCGGACGCGGCGCACCGGGCTGGCCGGCGGGACCGTCGCGGGGACCAGGACGAGGACCGCGCTGGGGGTAGCCGGGCATGCCTCCGTAGCCCTGGGGCGGGCCCTGACCGTAAGGAGCGGGGATGGGCATACCGTAGCCCATCATGCCGCGGCCACCAGGGGGAGGGTAGCCGCCGGGACCAGGCGGGTAGTACATGGGACCGTTGACGTAGCCACCAGGCATGCCGGCGGCAGCGGCCTGCTGCATGCGGATCTGGTTGCGCTGGGCAATCTGGCTCTCGAGCTGCTGGCGGCGGACCTCGCGGCGCTGAGCGAGCGAGACATAGAGCGGCTTCGAGCCGATCATCTTGTTGTTCATCTCGGCGACGGCCTTGGTAGCCTCGTCGGGCGACGAGAAGCAGACGAAGCCGAAGCCCTTGGAGGTGCCCTTCTCGTCGCGCATGACTTTGCAGGACGTGATGGTACCGAAGGGCTCGAACTCTGCGCGGAGGCGCTCGTCGTCGACGTCATCCTCCAGGTTCTTAATGTACAGGTTGACGCCCTGGTACTTGCTGAGTTTCTCCATCTTGGCCGCCTCGTAGGTCTTGCGGAGCTCCTCCTCGCGCTCGGCCTTCTTCTGCGCGCGCGAGACGAAGAGCTTGCGGCCGTTGATCTCCTTGTCGTGGAGCTCGTCGACGGCCCTGGCAGCCTGGTCATGGTGCTCGTAGTTGACAAAGCCGAAGCCCTTGCTGTTGCCCTCCTCGTCGGTCTGGATGACAGCCGAGGTGACGGTACCGAACTCGGAGAAGATCTTGATAAGCTCCTCGTGCGAGACGGCCGGGTCGAGGTTCTTGACGTATAAGTTGGTGAACTGGGCGCGCATCTCCTCAATCTTCGACTGGCGCTCCTGCGGGCGCTTATGAGCAAATCGAACATTCAAACTTCTTTTCGGATCAAACACGAACCTTGCGCGAGATGTGGTGGCCGACGTAGACCTTCTTGTCGTTGAGCAGCATACCGTTGACGGCCTTGATAGCGGTGTCGGCGGCCTCAGCCGTCTCGTAGTGAACGTAACCGTAGCCGCGGGAGCGGCCCTGCTCGTCGGTGGCGACCTTGCAGGAGAGCACGTTTCCGAACGAGGCAAACGTGTCGTGGAGCGCCTTGTTGTCGATCGCTTCGTCGAGGTTCTTGATGAAGATGTTGCCCTGGCCGGTCTTGCGGAGGGCGGGGTCCCTCTGCGACCACATGATGCGGCTAACAAACAAACGGATCTCAGTATCCGTCAAACATGTTGCAAACAAATGATAATCTTACCAGGCGCGGCCCTTGATGAGCGAGTAGTTGAGCTGCTCGAGGGCGCGCTCGCCTGTGCACACGTGTCAGATGTGGCGATGTGTCCAGACAAATAAAACACGCACCGTCCGCTGCGTTGAGGTAGTTGACGTAGGCGTAGCCGAGCGAGCGGCGCGTCACGGCGTCACGGCAGACGCGGATGCTGGCCTCCATGTCAACACGCGGTGTGGTTGCGAATAAGTAAAACGCACCTGGCGACGGGACCGATCATGTTGAAGATCTCGAAGAGCATGGCCTCAGTGACCGTGGGATCGAGCTCGCCGACGTAGAGCGAGGCCGAGGGCGTGGAGGACGTGTTGGCGGGAACCGGCGGGTTGTAGGCCGGAGCGGGGGCGGGCGCACCCTCGGCGGGCGCAGCGACGGCGGGAGCGGCAGACATTTTCGATTTTTGCGAGTTGTAGGTGGTCGTTACTGCTTTATGATCTTTTTCTACTCGGCGGGCGGCTCTCAGCGTCGCACTCGGCCACCAGATCATGCCACTCACACAGAAAGAGACGAAGACAACCGCTTGACTTGGATTTTCCGGGTTTTTGAGAAGGTTTTTTGGCTGATGCGTACAGGTCAGCGATCGTACACTATAACACGATATCGGGACAGGGCAGGAGGGAAGGGATGGGCACCTTATGATGGTGGCGGATGGAAGCAAGGGAGATTTTCTGCGCGTTCTGCTTAAGTACTTTCTCCTGATTAACTGATTATCTGCCTCCATCCCTGACACCGGCCGCCCATCAACCACCTCCTGCAAACCACTGCGGCTGTCAACCACTGATCGCCGAACTAGTCGAAACCATTGATCCATTGCAAACAAAACCGGGGATGAACAATAAGTAGGTCCGAGAGGTCACAGCGCGCTAATTGTACTACACGTAGCAGGCTCTTGCAGGTCCGATGTTCGTAGCATAAGCATATATAGGAGGCGCACTCCGAGAGACAATACATCATCAAGCCGCCCCTGGTGTCGCCTTGTCGCGCGTGAAATAAGCCTTCGCGCCGTGGGTGGCAAGCTCGCCCTTTGCCTGAGTGGCACCATCAGAAACAGACTCCCGAAGAGAAGAGCGGCGATGTTGCTTACCTTGTCGAATGTGTGGCCTTGCTGCGTGTGATGCATCCAGATCTGGAAAAGGCTTCGTAAGAGACGGCTTGATGTCATTCTTGACAGGGTATTGCGTACATTTCGGTAGTACCACGCGAGACCGACCCCTTGCACGCTCCAGGCAACCGTGGCAATGATACCCAGGATGCCAGAGGCGAGAGAGCCGCTGGAGAAGCGGCTGATAGTCTGGATAAGTCCGGCAGAGCCCGTACTGTGCCGAATGTGAGATCATATCTCAAGGGAAAAGGTACCGTACGAACCTCGGTATTCCAAGGATCCTAAGGAACAGACGTCAGTTGTGGCACGACCATGCATGCTGACCGCGGGAAACTCACATGTAGATCGAGAAGAGAAGATGCCAGCCGCAGAAGAAGAAGTAGATATCTGTGCGTTGTCAGCATATCCATTCTTAGATCACGGGTGTGAGGCCACCCACAATAGTACAGCGCTTGCTCCTGAGCCCAATGTCAGCGTCTATTGACAAAGTCGTACAAGCGACATACCTTCATGTAGGCATTATAGATCGGGCTTTAGGATAATTCAGCATTCGCAACACGCATGATGTTCAGCACAACGCACCGGTACCATAACAAGAACGACAGGGGACCAATGATAAAAATATAGCTGATTGCGCCCTCAGCTGTGTGCATCGCCACAATGATCATGCAACGTACCCAATGCTGGCACCAAGATCCTTCCCTCCGTCGCTCGACCCAGAAGCCAGAATAAAGATACATGCGACCATGTTGATGATTAACGTGGCAGCAAGTACAAGCCAGAGCTGAAACAGCCTTAGGACAACGGACCGGGTCCCTTCAGGGATCTCGGCATTGATGTCGTGGTAGATGAGAGGGAAGACTTCATGTAGTCAGTAATTGAATATCAATTGCAAGGGGGCATAGGCCAGCGTGAATATTATGGGGTAGACGTACATGGGGGGAAGTTGTTGCGGCCGAAGCGGCGTACATGCTCCTGTCGTTGGTTGAGCTCGCGTTCCCGACGCTCGAGCTCAGCCTCGCGTGCATCGAGCTCTGCTTGACGAGATGATGCGGATGCGCCGCCGCCGAGGTAATTGGATTGCGGGGCTGGTTCACTGAATGGATCCTCGAACGGGTTCTTGTCCAAGGACGCGCTAGACGCGAAGGGATTTTGCGTGATATCTGCTACATTTCATATATCATAAGCATGACATTTCATGTACGGTCATTGTGACAGGCGAACCAGAGTTCATGATGGGACGTGAATATGGTCGTGTACAGAAAGAGGCGCGACTTGTCGTGGTGGAGACACTCGGGCGCTGCGCACCGAGGTTGCGGGCTCGGCAACGGCCGGTGCCCCTGCTCTGGCGCCCCTGTTCGCACCTCCATGTGCCGACGGATCTATTCGCAGCGCGAAGCTTGTGCACAAAACAACACAAAAACGAACGTGTCGTTGTCTTCGAGATGCGCGTTTGGTTGCGGCGTTTCATAACGTAGCACTTGGCTATTTACGGCCGCTTCCAGCCGCGACTTTGCGGTGAGGTTACGAGCAGTGCCGCGTCCCGCTTGCGGCCTCCTCCGATGAGGGCTTGGTAGCATGCTGCAGTGGAAAGAAATAGCCACTCGGATATTCCGGATCCATCATCCAAGAAAAAAATCTAGGGATGGAGCAGTGTCGCAACGGCGGACGCATCAGGCCGCTGTGTGCCTGAGAGCCTAGAAGGCGGGCGTATATAAGAGGTCAGAGTGCGATCCGCGACGACCTTTAGGCTTTCCCTCTTACGCTCTACGCTCTTCCCGGGTTCCTATACAGCGCTTCGTCGGTTCGTATAACAAGTCCCCTCCTCGTGTCTTCCTGCCCGTGTTCTGACACTTCATTCATTTCAAACAGCTCGACTTTCTTTATTAAAGTCCAACCCACTTGACATCGCGTCGCCCACACTCCCTCTTTATTTTTTCCCCGGCTGTCTCTAGATCTCTCTCGCAATGGTTGCTGTACTCGCCCTCGTTTCCTCTCTCGTCGCTGCCGCCTCGACCGTCCAGGCCGGCGTGATCCCCCACCATCACCGCGCGCTCACTTTCGCCCGCTCGGCCGTCCCTGAGGGATGGATCACCGACATCATGGAGGTAAGCGCCCTGTGCTGTTTTTGTCGTCCTTAGAAACCAGACGCTTATACTCGATTTTGTAGCCGTATGATGAGTACCATACTCGTTACATGGCCCTCGACTGCGAGGACCAGCACGACACTGCCTTCTTTGATCTGTGCTGCCACCCCATGAAGTCCAACGAGACTCTCGCAACGGCCCGTGACGCGTCTTGCGACCCCGCCAACGCCTCTACCTCCGTCGTCCTCTCCGCTACGGCTACGGTCACCTCTTCGTCTTCTGCTGCGACCAACGTCGCTAGCAGCGATGACGATGAGGACTGCGATGATGAAGATGACTCTGGCGATGATGACGAGGAGGACTGCGACGATGACGGCGAGACCACTTCCGCTGTCGCCGCTACCTCCACCAAGGCTGCTGCCACTTCCAAGGCTGCCGTTACTTCCAAGGCTGCTGCTACCACCAAGGCCGCAGCTACCTCGAAGGCCGCTGAGACGACTTCCGCCGCCGCCGAGACCACGACCTCCAAGGCCGCTGCCTCTTCGGCCAAGCCCACTACGTCCGCCGCTGCTAAGCCCACGACGACGTCCGAGGCTCAGGCTACCACCACGAAGAAGGCTACCTCGACGAAGGCTGCCAGCTCCGCTCAGGCTACCTCTACCGCCTCGAGTGACGACTCTGGTGACTTCATCGAGGGCGGCAAGGCCACCTTCTTCTACCAGGAGGGCGGAACCGGCTCATGCGGTAACAAGAACTCCGACAGCACCCTTCTCGTCGCTGTTCAGGAGGACCGCATGAACTCTTCCCTCTGCGGCAAGAAGGTCGAAATCATCAACACCGCGAACGGCAAGTCGGTTGAGGCTACGGTCCAGGACACCTGCCCCGGCTGCGCGAACGCGAACTCGCTCGACCTCAGCGTTGCTGCTTTCGACGCCATTGGTGATGAGGCTACCGGTGTCCTCAACATCAAGTGGAAGTTCCTCGACTAAACGAGTCTCGTTGAATACACTCCCTAACCCCCCACATCTTGCTGTCTCGTAATCTCCCTGTCTGCTCTCTCATCTCTTACTTACTGCGCATTGATGCGTGCCTGTCTCTCCTCCGCCTGTTACTAGCTAATAGGGTCTGCGTTTCTGTAACCGCTGGTCTGTCGCTCCTCTCATCGTCTCTTGGTACGGTTTAGCAAAGTTCCTGCTTTCTCTCCACGGGCACGCGTGCAGTCTCTATCCTCTCACGTCTATAGCTTGCTATGTCTTTTACGGGTAGACTGTCGGGTCGTGTTCATGTACATACGTATACGCTGTGCGCATGCATTTGCTCTTCCCCACAACCAAGATAAATGTTGTAACAATCATGATATTGGTGTGATGTCTGATATACAGTTCGATAGAAAGTGATGATATCTACGGTAATTGTGTTCAGTACGGAAGTGGTAAAGGAATGGCGTGGTATGGATTGGGTCCAAGATGGGCAAGTGAGCTGCCTGTACAGGTCAGCCTATATACTCGTACGAACAAGGTTGCCCCCGTCGTAAACCCGTACGCAGCCGTTCTCCCGCTGCGGGCTTCCATACCCGGGCTGTACGGTACCTGGCAACGTACGCAACCCTTGACGCACGGCATGCAAAAGTAGCCATCCGGAGATTCCAACTTGCGGGCAGTGCTTGGATTTGAAATTCCGCAGCGACGCGCTCACGCGGTCTGGAACCCGACGCGCACGACGCGCCGAGTTCAGACGCGTCTGTCGTCACTTCGATCTCGCGCGTCCATCACCTTGACCTCCTGCATACACTCTCGCCCTACTTATATTCTCCCTTGTACTGATCACCGTATATTGGGAGCACCATGAACGCAGCGCGCAACCTGCTCGTTGTCGGCGGCAACGGCTTCATCGGTAAGCCCAGCACACGTTCTGAACATCTGCTCAGCCTCCCTGACCGTATCTCTTCTGCTTATCCAGGTTCCGCAGTCTGCAAGGCTGCCTTGGCCCGCGGCTTTCAAGTAACGAGTGTCAGGTAAGCGTGCGCAGCTCGCGGTACTGCTATCTCCGTCTATTCTTGAGCACCGAACTCACGCACCGCAGCTCGTCTGGTCGGCCGTTTCGGACACCCAAGGGACATACGCCTGCATGGACAGCCAAGGTAACTTTTGATAACATGAGTCTATATGTTTGGGTACTGATGGAATACTCTTCGATACAGGTAAACTGGCAGACAGGCGATGCCCGCCGACCGGAGACGTTTGCGCACCTCCTACCGACCGCAAGCGCAGTCGTACACACTCTCGGAACACTGCTCGAAGACACATCGTACAAGTCCGCTCTGCAATCAGGCAACGCTTTCGGTGCTCTCGGCAGCTTCTTGAAGTCCGTCGGGCCTGGCGCATGGAATCCGCTCACAGCAGGCGGACCGGGAAGCTATGAAGAGCTGAACCGAGATTGCGCTGTCAGTGTTGCACAGGCGTTCTTGGAGACGAAACCGGAAGTTGAGGGAGGCGCCGCGCGAGCCTTTGTGTATCTCTCGGCGGAGGACATATTCAGGCCTTGGATTCCTGCGCGGTACATCGAGACGAAGCGTGAGGCGGAGGTTGCGCTTGAGGGCATGTTTGCGCCGAGAGCGGATGTGAGGGGAGTGTACATCCGACCAAGTAAGCAACCTCTTTTCAAGTGACTTGTGATAGTACGTTGCTGATGGATATACTCCATCGTAGGTCTCGTATATCACCCACACTTCAGGCCAATAACCTCGCCTGTAGCAGCAGCGCTGGACCTCTCCGCTGTCGTGCACGAGAAAGTCTCGTCCGTACTCCCGACGCCCTCCGGTGTACTCCGTGCTCTCTCACCGCATCTTCCCGGTGATGGAGCAGCCGAGAGCGTAGCGAACGCCTTGACGCTTCCGCCTATTCACGTCGACCACGTTGCAGAGGCATGCTGCGTAGCAGCGGATCCCGCACGAGTGGACGTGAGGGGCGCATACGGCGTGCGCGCTATGCGTGAACTCATTGGATGGGCGCACAAAGGACAAGAGAATGCCGTACACAGCCACAGTCACTAGGTTCTGAGACATGGTATTATCTCCCTCGCTTTGTATGAGCGTGACGCTAGGGCCAAATATTTGATTTGGGCGGAGCTCTTCCTTCATGTGGCGACTTGACAAGAAGTTCCGTCGCCGCTTACCTAAAGTGAACAAATATGGACGAGAGATTGCTGTGCCTTTGTATAGCGGCGGCTTATTGTGCATTTAGGATCCGGGCCAGGTTGCCTGCATGTATGCGTCGGCGCGCCCTGTGACGTCCTTCGCGGGCGCCCTCTAACCATAATAACCTGCTGTAGACGTCTATATACCGTGCCTACGCATTGTTCACCGTTTCAAGATCGGACCGATGTCCGTTCGGCGAGGGCCAGCGTCCACCTTTGGCCCAATCTGTGGCACTGATTTCGCCTAGGTTGCCCACAATCCGCCTATTGTCGCTCGTTCAAAGGGAAGAGGTGGTTTGGACCACGCATTAATGCTTTAAAAGCGGGCCGTCCTCGTACTGCAATATCCGAAGGCTGGACTTTCCCTCTCGCTACAGTGCTCTGTTCTCGATCTCTCGCCTCAGCTCACGCTCTCCGCATCCGCTCTAACGCTCTCACACACAATGTCGTCCCACGTCCACTCCGATTACACTGGCGGCTCGTATAGCATGACCTCGGACTCTGGGGATGTGTCATTCACCTCAACAACGGCAATGTCGGACTATGGGCCTGCAGATCCTACCACCAAATACGGCCGCTTCGACTTGGAGACGAAGGTTGTTGCCGAGGGTTTGGATTTCTTGCGGGGCGCGCTACCGATCACAGCCCCGCAGGCGCTCATCGCCCACTGTGAGTTATACACACTACTTCGGACCACACGTGAATGCTCATGCAAATACTATACAGTCCTCGCTGGGGATGATGCACCCAATCTGTTCTACCACAAGCAGCGGAAGCTTCTTCAAATTGGTGTAAAGCCAAGCGCATCCGTCAGCGTCGAAGTGAGCACACATTCGACTCAGTACGTGCTTGTAGCTAACAACGTATCCGCGATAGGTGAACGGCGTCATGGTTCCTCCGGAGATGCCATTCGACTTGCACCATGGCTTCGTAGTCCGGCTCTCCTTCGGCGTCGGAAGCGTGACCTACGCCTTCAAGTACATCTACCGCGAGCGCCACGTCTTTCAGTCTCGTGATAGCGGAGGGGTGCACTATGTTGAGATCGACGAGTTAGGCGTTGGCGCGAGCGGTCTTGTGCTGCGCTGCCGTCTCATCAGCGACTACGGGATCTTTGGACACGAGCCTTGCGAGATCGGTGACGTCGCGGTCAAGGTCGTTGATCTGCCGGTGAATGTGTCGATGGTGGAGGCGACGAGGGAGGTGCGGGTGCTCAGTTGGCTCAAGGGCGTGCCCGGTGTCGTTCAGCTACACGACTTCATGGCTGACCAGGAACTGAAAGAGCTCCGTGAGTACTGTGTGATCCATGTCTTCATCTAGTGCGGAGGCTCATTACCCATGATCTAGACATTGTAATGCAGATCGCGCCGCAAGGTTGTCTTCGCCAGTTCCTCCGCGAACGACGCGAAGATCGGTCCTTCCTCCCCGAGAACGACGCGCGTCACTTTGCGTTCTACGCTCTCCAGACCATCCAGGCGATGCACGCCCGCGGCATCATCCACTGCGACATCAAGCCTGCCAACTTCCTCCGCATCTCGAAACCGGATGAGAGGCTCCTCGCGCTCATCGCCGACTTTGGCGGCGCGAAGCATACCAGCGAGCTTCAGCAGCCGCACGTCTACGTACGCGGGTACAGCCCGGATGCGCACTGCCGCATTGGGAAGCCCTCCTCTTGGACGCACGGGTACACTGCGCCTGAGATGGGCAAGGCTGACGCGGATGCGAGCGCAAACGACATACACGCCTTCGGCGTGACCCTCTTCGAGCTCATGACGAAGAGGAAGCTCGTCTCCGAGGAGCACCACTGCCCTCGCGGGCCCGAGTGCCCAGACAGGGGTTGCACGGGTCGTCGTAGGGTGTACCACTTCACCCGCCTTCGCGCAGGGGGGTATTCCCATCAGGCATACAGTTTTATCAGGCAACTCGTCAGTCCCGAGGCGCCCGGCATGCGCCTCAATGCGGCTCAGGCGCTCTCGCACCCGTGGCTCTCGTTGCCAGATGAGGCGACGATGCAACTCGCGCGCGACTTTGAGGATGAGGCGGAGATCGTCTTCGAACGAGATGCGTATATCGCGCGCCGCGAGCGCATGCATGGAAGGGGCAGTAGTCCCGCGCCGAGCACGACGGACATAGGGAGTGGGGAGAATGGCGGGTCGGGACAGCCGCCGGCTCGTCAGGCTGAGCAGGAAAGCAAGATGGTCACCGACCCGGAGTTGTACGGCTCGACGTGGGAAGAGGGACAATGGTCTAAGGACCAATGGACTACGGACGACACTTCGGTCTCTTTCCGGGTCTCTCTGGAGGGACTCCTCGAAGTCGGGCAGGAGATGCATGCGTGGCGGATCGAGGATTACAGGCATGATCCCGCGGGCGCCGCGCCGATTACGGACGAGTGGCAGCTGCCTAGTGCGGACGCTGAGATGCAGCTTGAGGAGGGAGCCGCGTTACAGGCGTGAAGCTGCTTTGCATGAGGTAGAGCTGACGAGTCAGTGCGGTAGACGCGCGCTGTGCGCGGTGTCGAGCAACGTTGAGCAGAGGCTGGTTTCATAACATCATCATCACACTCTTTCATTCTCGGACTCGTTTCATCTTGTAGCACTAATACGGACTCGCACTGTACATAGACTGCATTCACACTGTATAATAGTCGAACGTGTTTTCCTGCTATGCCATCTCATATCCACACGCACCTACAAGGATCGACAAGAGCCGCCGGCCGCCCCACGGACGCGATCGTTTGGGGAAGTGGCGCGCGCCGGGGCGGCTGGCGGCCAGGTCGGTCGAGAATGACGGCCTTGGTCGGGTCGGGCCGATGATAAAGCAACTAATAATGACCCCATTATGTATCATATCAATAGCGAGAAAGCAGACGTCTCCGCTTCTTGCCTCTTCCCTCCCAGGCGTAGTGCAGGTGCGGACTTGTGAGCGTATTCACGAGCGCGAAGCCCCTCTGCAAACACCGCACGCACTTTGCACTGGCGAAGACGCGTCCCGTCGGCACTCCGAACGCGCATATACTCTTCCCTCTCCTGTCTCCTAACTCCGCGGCCCACCATGTCCTCCCTCGTCCGACCGTTCCAAAATGCGCTCGCTGGCCCGTCCAAAATCGCCCGCCCGGCCGCGCACCAACTGCACACCTCCGCGCCTGCTCCCCTCGCCAAGGCCGGCCCGCTCTCCCCTCGCCCCGCGGAGGTCCCCGGGTTGTCGGGAAAGGGCGGAGCGCTTAGGATGATCATGTTCGGAAAACCTGGTGCGGGCAAGGGCACGCTTTCCGGGCGGCTGGTGAAGAAGTACGATCTTTTGAGTCTGTCGACGGGCGACCTGTTGAGGCAGCATATCGCCGAGAGGTGAGCTTTACGGCATAAGCAGATGCGGGATGCGAGTGCTAAATATGTGCAATGGTAGGACGGAGGTCGGGTTGCTTGCGGAGAAGATCGTCGCGAGTGGAGGGCTCATTCCGGACGATGTCATGTTGAGGGTGCTCACGAGCAAGCTCGATGGGTTGAGGGACAAGGTATGGCGCATATATCTACATTTGTTTTGTATGTACATGCTCATCGCCATATGCAGCACTGGATCTTGGACGGCTTCCCGCGAACGCTCGGTCAGGGCAAGCTTCTCGACGATCACTTGCGGTGTGCCTTCCTCTACAGTATTACTAGCTACTCGAACTCACGATAGTATATGCAGAGCACAAAACATGCCGCTCAGCCTTGTTGTAAACCTCGACGTTCCCGACTCGATCATTCTCAACCGCATCTCAGACCGCTGGGTTCACCTTCCATCCGGACGTGTATACAACATGTCGTACAACCGCCCCAAGGTCGACGGCTTCGACGACGAGACGGGCGAGCCGCTCACCAAGCGTCCCGATGACAACCCCGTGCGTATATCTGCCATTCTATGACACGAAAAGTGCAATGCTAATTGAGGTTCCTCTTCGCACGGTATACAGGAGATTTTCGCGCGCCGGCTGGAGCAGTTTTACGAGTCTACCTCGCCGTTGCTCGATTTCTATGCCGCACAACAGGCTAGTGCGCGGAGTGCGACGCAGCTCGTCACGCTCAGTGGTAACACCAGCGACGAGATCTGGCCGCTGCTCGAGAAGGCTGTTACCCATGCCGCACCGGGCTTGCGGATGCGAGAAGATGAGCGCCGTAGGGCGAGCATTCAGGAGGCTATGATCCTTGGGGATCGGAAGGCTGCGAAGAGCCCGTACGGACAGGGTCCGTTGTACGCTGTGAAGCTGTAAGGGATGCTTATACGTTGTGGCGTTGGAGGGGGTTTCGTTTGCTTGCTGCCTGCTGATAGATACTTTTCACACTTCTACCTGGGATCGCGCTTTCATTCACTCGTTTGTTTCAACACCATTCAATTTCATGGTTATCGTACTGCATACCTGACGAGCAAAGTCAGCGAAGAGCGGCGTGTCAGGCAAAGAAGCGCATACATCTTGACCGTGTACAGTTCTTGCGGAAGACCATTCTGAACCCGTTCGTCCACGAGCGTCAGTCCCGCCTTCCTGAACAACTCCTTGAATGCCAGATCAGATCTGTATGGAGAGGGCGGTTAGTATATGACATTGTGAAGTATCCAGCGGCAAGGTACGTACCGCGCGACGCTTGAATCATCTTCGTCGAAGTAGACATGCGGGACAGGCTGTCCGTCCTTTCCAACCCCATCGATCCCCGTATTCTCCTTCACGATGATAAGACCCCTCTCATCGCGTAGCGCTTTCTTGGCGCGCTGAAAGAAGCCGACGAGATCGGCGTCGGACATGTACATGAGGCACCACTGACACCATACGACGTCGAAGCCGCTGTCCATGTCGTCTTCCTCGCCCTTGTGACCAAAGCGCTCGAGTACGGTAGCATGTGCAGTTGGATGAGCGAGGTCGAAGTCTTGGAGTGTTCCGCGCATGATCGTTACGCTCTTCGTGCCCGACGCTATGCCCTTGAAACCTGGCGCGTTCTGTCTCGCTACGTCGAGTAGCTTCTCGACTGGCTCGACTAGCACCACATCGTCTACGAGATGTAGCAATGTGTCTGCAGTCACGCGACCAACTCCAGCGCCCACATCCAGTGCGCGCACGCGTCGTGTTTTGGGCGATGGTTTGAGCGGTCGTAAAGCTGAAGGGACGGTGGAGAGGTCTGGGCGAAGATGCAGGAGAAACTGGCGTGATCCAAGTGTTTCGATGCGTGGTAGGGACTATCAATTGTGAGTGAGCCAGGCCAGAAATCGCTTGAGGAGTGGATATGACATACACCGGTACCATAGCCGCCTAGAAGATTGAGATCATCGTACGAGAATTGTAGGGATGCCCGTACCAAGAACACCGTCGACAGTCGCGGGCTGTTTCTCCCAATACGCTATCCCATCCGCCACAATAGGTGCACGTGTAGTGCTCTCAGCGGTTGTCATGATGGACGTTTCTTTCAGGGGACCTCTAGATCGTCCGCGGCGGAGAAATCTGGACGCGTCAATTGATGAGGAGAACGTGACCGCGTTGAACACTGATTGACGCGACGCGACGCGTCTCGACGTTGTCTCCCACCACACCCATGTCCGCCGAATTGGACTCTATCTGGGACCTCCCCGCCGAGAGCGCCTCCTCCTTGCGCCCGGAACTCGAACGCGCTATAAGCGTAGAAAGTGATGCACCTGCCACGCGACCGGCTAAGCGCCCATTGTTCTTGCCTGGAGACTCGGACGAGGAAGATGCCGCTCGGTCGCCCCGTCGGTCTACTCCACCCAGGGCTTCAGCCGCACCAGATGATATAGATGCGATGTTTGAAGGCTTGGATGAGCTTGACGACCGACCGGCACTCGATTTGGATCGTGTGCGCCGCGAGGCAGACGCGCGAAATGCTGCCGCCGCACGAGCGAAGTACGCTGTGAGCTCGTCGCAGCCGCAACTTCCGACGAAGAAGGGAAAGGAGAGGATGACTACTGGACGGGAAGAAGAGGAAGAGAAGGACGAGAATGGAAAGAAGAAGAAGCAGAAGAAAGTCAGGGCGAAGTTGGATGAGAATAGGCTGTTGGGAGAGTTTGGGTTTCCGCAGTTGATTAAGGATACGAAGGGCTTCGTGCCGAGAGGCAAGGGTCAAGAGGTATACTTTGAATTTCTTGGTATACTGGACATTTGCTCATGACTTCTACCAGGCGAAGGACTTAGATCGGGTGATGGAGCTGTATCGTATGTGGGCACATAGGATGTGGCCGAAGGACAAGTTTAAGGACACAGTCCAACGCGTCGAGAAGCTATGCCATTCTAAGCGTATGCATGTACGTTCTACATTCCCACAGAACCCTTGTGGTATGATGATCTAACCAATATATCTTACAGAACGCCCTTGGTCAGTTCCATGACGAAGCCAAAGGCCTCGTCAACGGCCGACAACCCGAGGTGGACGTGGACCTGACATCCGACGCGGAACGGGAAGACCGTTCTCCACATTCGTCCCGCTCCTCCTCTCCTGCACCTGCGTCGACATCCAATGCACCGCGTGTTATTGAACTCGACGATGACGATATATTCGGCGACAGTATTCCCACTCGCAGCTTCTCTCGCGCTCCAACTCAAGACCCGCCGTCGTCGAACCCTCCTTCGTCGCCCGCATCAGGCCCGGAGAACTACGACGACATGGACCTCGACGCAATCCTCGCAGCCGACGAAGCTGCAAAGAAAGACGCAGAGTTCATCGAAGCGCGCGCTCCCAAACCGCCGCCACCGCCCGCAGACGACTTCGATGACGACGCGATGTGGGATGCGCTGGATGAGGCTCAGTCTGCGGTCCCGAAAGCGGCGCAGCAGCCACAGAAAACTCCGGCGCATAATGACTTCGACGATGACGACGAGGATATGTGGGACGCTGTCAGAGAGGCCGAGGCGGGGCCTGCAAAGGCTAGCACTAAACCCGCCTCGGTGGATAAGCGGAGAAGAGCGGAGGAAGAGGAAATGGAGAGTATGTATGCGTAGGCTGGCTGTTCACCCTGGATCTCAGAGATTACTTCTTATTTGACAGTATCATCAGTTTGAGGCGTTGCCCTCAAGGATTACGCGAGCTGCGCTCGATGTAAGTGTCTGGAGATACGATCTGCGATCACTGTGTGGCTGGTAGGAGATTGATATAAGCGCCGCTTATTACGTGCGTCTGCGGTCTGTGCATCTCATTGGTTACCGAGAGCACCTGAAGACAACCAGATCGACCGGAATATCTCTCCGAGCGATACGTTGACCCACAACGCTCGCTTGTCTAGACCCTCCAGGGTAGGTTGGGATGGATCCTCGGGTCCGCGACGGCGCACAACTCACGCCGATAGCAATCCATCCGGACCAATACCAAACTCAAGACTTGATTCGGCAAGATACACGCGGTCTGACGTACGGAGAGGGTGAATCCTACCTTGTGGCAGCATGATACTACGAACGATATACGCTCAAGTAGTCAACACTAGGACGCTTGGTACAACGATATTGTGCGTCATCAGCGGCGTACATCTTCCCGCTTCTGACTGCTGACAGTACGACCTTCAGGACAACATAGTGCATATGTTTCTGCACTGGAAAGACATCGAAACAGTACCACTGATGCGTCCAATACAGTTCAACGCCACAGGGCAAGCGCTAGGTTGCACGATGTCGCGGAATTCCCCTTCTAGATGGGCCAACGGGGTGATAGGAGCTTTCGAACCCCCGCGCAGTAAAGGATATAATCCGTAGATCGGTCGCAAGCTACACTGGCCATCTCACTGCGCACATAGCATGCATGCACGCGCCATATGGTCTCCAATGTTTCCGAGGACGTTTCGCGGGTCCAGATGAGTGGCCATGATGGAGAGCAAAAGTTGTGGTTGCCTTCACTGCCTGCGCCAAGCACGCCCTTCTTCTCGATTGGGACCAAAACTCTGACGCCACGGTCGTCTCCCTCCGCCTAATGTGCCCTATAAAGCTGAGGATATCCAGGTAGTGACTTTTGCTTACATTACTCACTTTCCTGTCACTCATCATGCAATCTCAGCCTCCTACGTCGACAAGCGGTGATTCTGTTCCGTCAGTCGTCCACGTCTATGCGTTTCCTCTCGTTTTAGAGACGCTGCTCTTCAGTGAGTGCACCTTGGATCCATATTCCTTCGTCGATGACTAAATCGACTGTCCTGCCATAGTCCTGCAGTTGGCTCTTACCGTCTACTTCACCTGCCAACAGTGGTCAGTATCATCCTTGCGATGGAACCATTCTTGAGACTGACTTGGGTTTGCGGCCCGCAGGATGCAACGTAAGACGGTACCGGTTTTCAACGCCAAGCTGTTTGTGGCACTCGCGATGCTCATCTTGCTTTCCATCCACGGGGCACTTGAAGCCTACAATCTCCGGGAGAAGACCAAGCACCTCGCTGCTACGGCGAATGGAAGCAAACCCGGATGGACGGAGTCGGATTGTAGCCAAGTGTCTCTTATGAGCCAACAGTTTGCCCTTGCATTAATTGTGCGGTCTGCCATCCTTTGCTGCGTAGTAATTCAATCATTGACCGCGACCATCTAACAGTTGTTCCTCGGAGATTGCGTATCTCTTTGGAGGGCATACGTAATCTACGGGAGGCAGGGTTGGCTTCGCATGATCTGTATTGGCTTTGCAGTCGCAACCTTGGGTGCGCGAGCCTCGACTGAACAACATCCTTGCAGGATTTACTCATATGACGGAAACAGCGATGCTTCTCGTGGGCAGCGTCTTCGTGAACAACCTACTCGGTGGCGTTTCTGCTGGTATATGGCTACTCGTTACTTGTGCGCCTCACTTCCTCTCTACGTTCTTGATTGCGCGAAAGACATGGTGGGTCATTCATACCTCGCTCTGACCCCTCACTTGCTATCAAGCTCACAGACGTGCACAGGTCGTATTGGGAAGACGTGCGAGATTTCGCGCACCATGCGGGCATGCGGCACAGTATCGCGTTACTTGTCGTCGTGATAGAGTCGGGGGTGGTGTATGTCTGTCTGAGCGTAAGCAGTCACTCGCAACCTACCTTTCTGTCAATAACTGAATGTGTCGGTCAAGATCCTCTACCTTGCATTCACCATCGGTCAACCCCGTTATAAACTCACTCATTCCGTTCACCAGTATCTGGCACCGATCTCTGTGCGTATATCGTCTGCCTCACAGATGTTACCCTATTCATCCTATTCTTATGATTCACAGGCCATTTACCCGACAATCGTCTTGTTGCTTGTGTCCGCACGCAAGTCTATGCTTGAGCGGCGTACCGCCGAGACGATCCCGACCCACGACCTCATGCGCTTCGCCGCGCCCCCTGGCTCGGGCACACCGCACGGATTCGAAGACAACACTCTATCAGAGGGCATCACACTTGCGGTCATTGGCAACCTTGATGCGCGATGCAACGAATCCCATCCAATGCTCGATGTCCAATTCGGTTCTCCTGTCGACTTGGCAGGGGAACTCATGGGCACCAGTGTCCAGGAATACAACGCACAGGCTGCGGGGCCCGCTTCGAGCGCAAAGGACGCCCAGGAGGCGATGGTAACAGGCTCTCCACGCCATTCGAGGGTGATCGGTGAGGACGAACGCTTGACCACACCTCAGTCTAAATGATGGTGCAACTCTGAGATCCCCATTCATCCCGCGTTTACCCCTCCTCAAAAAGCCAGCCCAAACATGGACTTGCATTACATACAGACATGCATCCCGACCAGATCCCGACCTTTTGGACTTTATATATATTCAGATCGTATATTGCAATAAGACGAATTATGTCACTTCAGCAGCACTATGTAGAACGGACGCAAGAGCTTCCGTTTTACTGGCCGTACACTACCGAGCAAACATTTCTAATGTGAGGAGCCATGTTCGCGCCAACGTGCTGAGCGTGAGCTGGCAGGAGCCGGCCTTCTGGGAGAATTCAACACGATCACGTGCACCTACAAGCTGCGCGCACTCGCGCGTTCGCCTCTTGGAATCTTGCTCTTGACCACTTCGACCGACGTCGCTACGGAACCTCTTTCGGCCAACCGACGCTCCTCCGTTCCCTTTGCTTGGCACCTGCTCGACCTGTCTCGCTTAGTTTTGCCAGCATTCGCCTCACCACTCGCTGCCAAAAATCCCCTCCCTGTCCTTTTCGGCTGTATCCTCCTCGCTCTCTCCCTCCTTTTTGCTCCTTGCTTGGTCCCATGACTCGAACCTGTATCGCACGATTTAGTCCCAATCTAGTTGGAACGAAAGGATTGGTTGCTCATGTAGCTAAAAGAAGTTTACTCTCCCCCATCAAGCCCACATGGATAACATTTCATTGGTTTCGCAATCCAGCATCCCTCGCGTGCCTCAAGCCTATACCTCAGTCTATTCGATTGAGTCCTGCAACTGGGGCTCGCCGTTAGTGGTAGATCGGCACTCTCGCAACTCCCACCGAATCGCGTCGTCTTCGCACCTCTCGCTTGATCTTCAGACGCGATATCGCACATGAAATACATTATTACGACCCGAGCGAAGTCAGCGAGAACAGTCATATGCAACTCTCGAAGACACCACGCTCCTAGCCATTGGCGATCGCGATGCGCCGTGACTCGGAAGAAGCATACCGAAGACTTCACGTCAGGTTCGGCAACCGAATTCAATGGACGCTCGGAGGCAGAGGAGATGGAACGCATGCATGCGTAGTCCGAAGTGGGCATCACAACCGATGTTATGATTCGTGAACCTCACGATAGTCATTGATGCATGGCATCATCATGACGCCACTAGTACGGCTCGCTTGGGAACTTGCAGCGCACGCTGTTTGGCCTCTCCCTTCTAGCGGTGGGCCGCGCACATCGTGAAGCCAACTCCTACATCGGCGACTTTTGCGCCCGGAAAACCTGCATGTCGGCCCAACGCGTTCGTCCATGCTTCTATCCTACACTTGATCTTCTATTGGGTACATTTTCCCACCACTCAGGGGCCCGGCCGCGAGTATGCAGTCAAGACTGCACAGCCTTCCAGCGCTCACCGTCTCCCTATATAATTGAATGCCCCCATCTACCGCGATCTAGCAAACGATCGCGCACCAAAAGGATTGGTTATGGTGAGTGAGAAGCCGTGGGAAAGCCAGCGCCAGAGCTGATATCCCTACAGACCCATATTCAGGCACTCCTTACAGCGGTAAGTTGTCTGTCTGTCGGTTGTGTGTGGTGGGGGTTGACTGTCACGTTTCTAGTCCGTCCTACGTCTACTCGGGGACGCACAATTGAGACTTTACGATGCTAGTCACAACGCGAGAAACCTGGATGCGAGCATTTTGACGACTCAACTTGCAGTAGCCATTATATCTGCCTCCTCTACACTCTCCGCCAAGGACGTGCCGCTTCTCCTTGATCTGGGATCCCGTTTTACCACCCGTTACAATACGCATGGCAAGCTGGACGACATCCATGGAGCCATACTATCGTTGCGAGACGCGTCGCGATTGTGTCAAGATGGCGATCCTCTTCAGCACGCTGTGTACAATCAATTGGGCTTTTGTTTCACTATTCGCTTCGGGCGCCTTGGTGGGCCCGATGATATTGACGACGCCGTAATGGCATGCCGCCGTGCCGTCGAATCGCTGTCTGACGGCGACGCACGAAAGCCGATGACGCTAGTCAATTATGGCAACGCTTGCTACATGCGCTTCAGGCGCGCTCACCGTCCAGAAGATCTTGACGAGTTGGTCTCAACCTTCAGTCGCGGTTTGGAGCTGATACCGGAGGATCATCCGGAGAGGCCAGACTTGTTCGACAAGCTTGGTAACTCTTACTCGATGCGCTTCGAAAGCAACGGACGGCGACCCGATGATATCGAGCAGGCCGTCTCGGCACATAAACGAGCAGTGGAATTGACACCGGATGGGCATCCCACTAAGCCCTCGCGCCTGCATAATCTCGGCGTCTCGTTGGCAAGCCGTTTCTCGGTCTCTCATGTTAGTGCAGACATCGAACAAGCGGTCTCGATACATCTACAAGTCGCAGAAGTCACTCCGGATGGCCATCCCACCCAGCCAATGCGGCTCGGAATACTCGTTGAAACCTCGTATACGCGCTATACCCATACGAAACGCCCTCAAGACCTCGAGCAGGTCATTCTGGCGTGCGAACGCGCGCTGCCTCTCACGGCCGATAGCCTCTCTACCAAGCCCTTACTACATCATCGTCTGGGCTGTTCTCTCTTGGCGCGCTACGGGCGCACCAAAGAGCTCGAGGATTTGAAACATGCAGTCGCGGCGAACCGCCGGGCAGTTGAACTTGTGTCCGATGAGGACACTAAAAAGCTTGTGTTGCTGCGGACTTTTGGAGACTCGTCTCTCGAGCTCTCTGATCACACCGACGACGCCGACGATATAGAACGCGCCGCCTGGGCTTATCAACAAGCCGCATCCCTCACGCCGAGTGACCATTCGGACCATCCGGTACTGCTGCGCAAGTTGGGCGATGCCCTGGCCAGACTTTTCGAGCGCACTGGGAATAGCGAGAGGATCACACAGGCTGTAGGAATACACAGGCGCATGGTTGAGCTCACCAAAGACGACGACCCGGAAAGACCCTTTCGCCTCCTTAGCCTGGCAACTACATTAGGCAGGCGTTACGAGCGTGCCGGGGGGGAGTTTGTGGATCTCCAAGGAGCTATCTCTCTCTTTCGACATGCAATGGCACTTGTACCAGACAGCCATCCTGCCATGCCTGGCCTACTCAGCAATTTCTCACGGACATTGCTCATACGCTTCCAAGGGCCGCTGGGCGGGGATCTTGAAGACCTCGAGGCCAGTATCAATAACTACCGATATGGCATTCAGCTCGCATCAGATGAACATCCACATAAGGCGGCGATGTTCAGCGACCTATCTCTGGCGTTGAGTGTTCGATCTGAGCGTCTCGGGACGCCCAATGACATCGAGGAGGCGCTCTTAATGGGTCGCCGCGCCCTTGACTCTACTCCAGAGGGGCATCCTGACCTTGCGTCGTACTATAACAACGTCGCGAAATGCCTCATGGATCGGCACACGCATACAAAGGACATTGAAGACCTCTCGACTGCTATCTCCATGTTTCGACAAGCGACGGACCTATGTCCCAAGGACCACCCCCACCTACCGCAATGGTTAGGCAATCTGGGCACCACTCTGAGGTCTCGGTTTGAAATCACGCGGAGTCAAGCGGATTTCGACTCCGCTGTGCAGTCATTCGCGTCCGCAGCGACATCCGCGATCGGGACGCCAGATTATCGGCTGGTTTTTGCTATCAGATGGGCCGGCCTGCTTGAGAAGTATCCTGCATTCGGGACGATAGAGGCGCGCTTGAAGGCCTACTCTCTCTGCGTCACAATTCTTCCCGAGCTCATCTGGCTTGGGTTCGACGTACAGCGACGTTTGAGCGACTGCAGAGTATGGGGTAGCATTGTCAAGGCAGCGGTAGCAGCTGCTGTCAACATGGACTCTTTGGATCACGCAGTCGAATGGATCGAGGGAGGGAGGTCGCTCATCTGGTCGCAGATGTTTCTGTTACGCGCACCTCTCGATGAGCTACAGGAGAAGCAACCTCGACTTGCTACCGAATTTGGTCGACTGAATCAGCTGCTTCAACAGTCTGCGCCCAGCTCCTTCACATTTGACTCTGACACTTTTGCCGGAGTTGCGGGTGTGGGCGTGAATGCGAAGGGGGATCGCCATCGTCAGCTCACTTTTGAGCACCAGAGACTCTTGACAGAGATCCGTGGCTGCACAGGTTTTGAGCACTTCATGGAGCGTAATCAACCTGAGGTCACCTTGCCGGTGCCCGAAGCCTTGAGCGGGCCCATCATCTTCATAAACGTGTACCGGACCAGATGCGACGCCATCATACTTCATCGCAATGGTGCTCGGGCCATCGTTCCTCTCCCAGACCTCTCGTCTAAGAAGGCATCCGACTTACGGTGGAGATGGGTACAAGAAGTGATGGGCTACAGATACCAATCCTCGCGCATGGATGAGCGAGCCTCCGGGAACCCCACCGGACGCAGTCCGGATCGACTGAGAAGCTGCTTGCGCTACTTGTGGAATACAGTCGTGGGGCCGATTTTGAACGCTCTCGATTATACCTCTGTTGTAAGTGGCCTAACTATAATGCTTCCACCCTAAGCCAAGACTGACGGTCACATCGCTACAAGGTCAGTGATGGTCGACGTCTACCACATATCACTTGGTGCCCGACCGGACCGCTCATGCAACTGCCCCTTCACGCTGCGGGTCTCTATGACGGGCCAAACGGGCCTCGAGCGTACAACTTCGCTGTGCATTCATACATCCCGTCTCTCTCTGCGCTTGCTCGCAGTTGTGCTAAAGTTGACGAGCAGCATCTTCCACGCAAGGTGCTCATCGTCACCCAGCCAACTACTCCAAACCAGATGCCACTCTTTGAGACTCTTCAGGAAGCGTCACGTCTCGAGGACACCCTTCGTACATCGGGTGTCGAAGACAAGTGGCTTAATGACACGGATGCTACAGTGAGCAGCGTCCGTGCCGCCATGACCGAGTATCCTTGGGTGCATCTGGCCTGTCATGGTTCGCAGAACATGCTCAACCCGTTGGAGAGCGCGTTCGTCCTCTATGACGGTCTTTTGACGTTGACGGATCTCATGACAACCACGACGGACACCGCCGAACTCGCGTTTCTGTCGGCATGCGAGACCGCCGTAGGCGATGTGAAGACGCCGGAGGAGTCTACGCATCTTGCTGCGGGTATGCTCGCCGTCGGCTTCAAAGGCGTCGTCGCGACCATGTGGTCGATTCAAGATGCAGATGCGCCTGTCATCGTGGGGGCGTATTACAAGGAGCTGCTTGCAGTGCGTAGTTCGGGATCCCTTAGCAGGTATGAGACGGGGGCGGCGTATGCGCTTCATGAAGCGACGAGATTATTGCGCGATGAAGTCGGCGAGGGCGAGTTTGCTAGATGGGTGCCGTTTGTACACTTCGGGATTTAAGTCGAGTATCGATAGCGATGCGCCTATCTGGCAGATTGTACAGTAACATAGAGCAAACATGGACAAGCAAATCAAGCTAGATAACATGTGCAGATCAGATTCAGAGATCTTCGATAGAGCTGAGGTCACGGTCGGGAACCATCCAGCACTACTGAGCATCGGCAGGTGCCCAAAGAACGCAACGCCCGCTACCATTGCCAGTCGCGATCCGTTCGACGACGCTCGGGTGCGAGCACGTGACTGCCTGCACGGCCGTAATCTTCGCGTTATCCCTCAAATTCGCCAGTAGCTCACCCTTGGCCGAGTAGACGTTAACCGAGTGGTCCATGTTCCCGACCTACGGGGAAAGGCCGCGTCGTCAGCTGAGTCTGCGTGGAAAGGAAGCATAGACAAGCATACAGTGAAGTGTGGATAGACGTCAGGATTAGAGGACCACTGTGCCTTGAGCACGGTCAACCACCTGCCCGTCTGGCAATTATGCTTGATGCGACTGAGAGGCTTGAAGTCCTTGAACGGTACATCCTTGGCCATCATCGACGGGTTGACTTCCCATACTATGAGACGACAAAGGAATGAGTGACATGACTATACTCATGACAGTGAGGGTAACTCACAGCGCAGCGTGTCGTCATACGAAGTGCTCACGATCGAGCGACCACGCGGGTCCCAGTACGCCGAGCTGACGGACTTGCCATGCTCAAACTCGCCGCGCTGCATCGCTTTACCGGGTTTAGACTTGCTGAACTCTGCGACCTTTTCCGCGTCAAAGTCGAGAGAATCGCCTGCAGCGGGAATCTTGGACAACTTTCGCGCATCCCAAATCCTGTAAGCACATGTCAGTCCTGATGAAGCGCAGTCCAGAAGGCAGAAGATCTGACTTCATAAGACGTGTGTTCGATGCGGTCAGCAGAAAGGCAGGATTGGTAGGGTTCACGCTCAAACTCCCAATCTTCTGGTCGGAGAGCTGATACCAACGCGATGTCTTCTGCGTATCCTCACGGAGGTCAAGGTGTGTAACGCCGCCAGATGCATCAGAGAGCCACATCTCGTGCGATCCGGGAACAACGTCGAGACAATTGATGAGGGTATCTTCTAGATGAAAGAGCTCGCTAGAGATGCCTGTTTCGAAGGACAGAGCACGGACTGTGCAATCGTATGCAGAAGTGTAGACCTTTGGGTGACGTTTTGTCAGTACTGAAATACGACGTCGCAGAGCAACGCGTAACACTCACTGTCCCCGAGTCGAATGTATCAAATTTGATGCTCGAGATGGAGGACTTGCTCGTTGCAGGCCAATGTGGCTGCAAACGCCAGTATTTTCCGCCTTCGCGTTCGTCGGCAGGTCTTTCATCGTCCTCGTCTTCATCCGGCTGAGCTCGTGCATCCCATATCCCGAGCTGTCCGTGCTTGTCTGATGGCCCAAGTTGAGTTCACGACACCGTACAAACAAATATACTAGACATACCGCCAAAGAACACCAAGTCCTTACTCGGTTCAGGGTGGTATGCAGCGCTGTATATCCTGTCCGTCGTGACCTTGGCCCTCGAAACGACCTTCAACTTCTGCATACGCGCACGTAACGCCTTGACCTCTACCGCCTCTTCCTTCTCCACATCGAATACGTATGCGTCTTGTCGCGGCAGTCGCTTTGGGATAGGGGTATCTGCGAGCGCCTTCAAATCCGTGCGCAAGGATGAGACCTGCTCTTCGTTGAGATCTTCTCCGCGCGTCAGGGTCTCGAGGTCGAGATCGTGGTGCCGTGGTTTCTTCGCTTCGCGCGCTGCCTCCTCTGCCGCCATCCGCTCCTCCTCTGCTTTCTGTCTCGCCTTCTCCTCTTCCCGCTACATAATCCATCAGCGCGATATCCAGAATGCGTGATTTCAATATGACTAACCTCACGTGCCCGTTTCTGAGCAGGCGTCTCGTCCGGGGCGGGTGCCGTACGCCGAAAGCGCGCACTCTGTCTTCTGAGCACCGGCTCGTCGTCTGCTGCCCGCTTGCGCTTTGCAGGCTGCACAGGTTTCGCTTTCTTCTCGCCTGGTGCTGGAGATGCCTTTTTGTCAGGGATGCCGAGCGCTTTCACCGCCTCCTTCAGATGCAGCTCTTCGAGCAAGGCCCGGTTACGTGCGATATTCGCTTCGCGTTGGAGTTCGCTACATCAGTATAGTAGTCAGCGTATGATGAATTTGTGATTGTACAGTACTGACTATTCGGTCTTTGGCATTCCGGGAGAGGAAGGGGAGGTTTATTGTATCGTGGTTAGGTGCAAGTTCGATGAGACGCGCCACTGCGCACCTTCAACAACACTCATCGAACACGTTATGTCACGCGTTGTTGACTGCCTGTCACGCTCCAATTCCGCCGCGTTCAACTCTGACCGCGTGGCCACGAGCGAGAAGAACTTCGCCACATCCCGAAGTTCTTCAGACATTGCGAGGACGAGCAGCAATGATGGGGCTACGACAATCTATCTACATCGGATCCCCATGCTCCGCAGGCTACACCGTGCTCACGACAAGACAGTCTACTAGTTCATGAATCCCGAGAAGTATTTGGCCACAAAATCCGCATCTCTCACCCTTGTGACTGTACCCACGTAACCATCGGGTCGGACCACGATGAGCGCTCCTTCGTCCCCGATTCCGAATGCGCCATAGGCTCTGCCGATGTCCTCGAAATTGTGCGTGTCCTCTATCACGCTGCATCCTTGATTAGCATCGCATGACTTTGGTTTGTAGAGGAGCTGACCTAGTCCAGCGCGGGCGCAAGAAAGCCGGTACATCGCGATATGTGAACGCGCCGCCCAGATTCTTGATCACGGTCACAATGGAAACGACATCCTGAGGCAGGACATGCAAAACACCCTTAATCCCATCGGCGAGAGCGCCGAGTCGTGCCTTATCCTCTCGGGTGGCGAGATTTCCCACAAATACGAAGAGCTTGAAACGCCCATCCGAGGGACAGAAGTCTTGGATGTCGACCGGAGCATGATCTGCGCTGTAGTAGAGCGTCTGAGGAGGAAGACGCTTGCCGACCACCAACAGATCGGATCCTATGACGGACTTCCCTTCCACGACAAGGGAGGGCGCATAGTGTATGCCACAGCCACTTGTCAGGCTTGAATGGGCCACAAACGCACTGGAGAACAGCATCAGATGCGCAAGTGGGGAAGCCGGAGATCGCAATTGACTTCACGCACTCGATTGGCATGGGCATTTCGACATTGCTATCACCCTGAAGCTTGGCACGCGCAGCACTGGAAAAGCCCTCCGCGTACCATCTATCGAATGCGATCAACTTGAGAGCGAATGTGCGACGCTCGGACTCGTATGTCTTCAGCAGAGACAGCGGGGCCAGCCCTTTGAGGACGTAGGCGAGCTTCCAACCTGTTGTCCTATGAGATGCTGTTCCAGTAGATCACGGGCGGACACGTACCAAGGTTGTGCGAATCATTTACACTCGTGTTCAGACCTTGTCCGGCATCGGGGGAATGAGTGTGTCCAGCATCACCTGCGATGAAGACACGCTCGTGTACGGAGAATGCGCTGGCTACGCGCTGACCAACTACATTGCGATTAACTTGAGATCAGGACAGAGACGTCTTCGGAACGTACCACCGTAGACTGTCCACCAGCTGACGTCCTCCATTGAGGAGGGCTCAATGATATAAGGATGGAACGCCTTCTTCGTGATCTAGCGGAGTCTTGTTCAACGACCATGATCCTTCCGGTTAACCACGTGTGCGACCTACCGCGAGTAGGCGCTTGGCGCTGAACCTAGCCATGTCAACGCGTCCAGTCGCGGGATCGAGGACATCCTTTTCAGCGCTGAGCTCGACATACAGCCTGACGCTGCCTCCAGGATGTGGGATGAGAAAGACGCTGACGCCACCACCGATGATAGTGCCGACGTTGCGCCAGTCTGGAAAGTCCGACTCCGGTGAGGGAATGAAATCGACGGCGCCCCAAACTTGATCTGGTGATGCGTGTGATGATATTGGCAAAAGGTAGGATGAGCATTATGATCTTGCCTCACCAGTCTGAGCGCCTTCCATCTCGATGCCCACGGTCTTGCGTACATACGAGTGCGCACCTGGACTACCCGTGAGTCCTGGGATGAAGGCGGGAGGTGATTGGGCGAACTTACCATCTGCGCCCACAATGAATCTAGCACGAACTACCTGTGACTCTCGGTTCAGCTCGGGAGACTGCAAATATGCCTGTCTCGAACGTTAGGCACTATCGTACATGTCAGACTCTTTCGTGCGCACTGTGATGGGATAGGCCGTGGGATCTCCCAGCACGGCCTCGTCCGATGATACGTCTAGCTTAATTGGGGAGTAAAGGCGTTCAACGTCTATGCCTTCCGCGGCTACTGCTTCGAGCATAGTGCCTTCAATGATCGGCTGGCTGCTCTCCAACTACAGCACATTCGTGAGGGAGGTTCTGTACGCTGGATAGAGCGACTCTGACGTACGATAAAAGGGTAACGAGCAGTAGGTTCTGCGACCGCGGGGAACCTTGAAACAAGCTATGTAGGGCATGCGTGTCAATCTTTCAGTGGCAAGACTCAGGTTTGTGAGGGCGGACCTTGGGACAATCTGAGGTCTTGTCGTAGGTGTAGGTCGCCTGCAGATGTCTTATACACGATATTCTTCTTGCTGATATAGCCAAGCACTCACGATACGATAGACGGGGCAAGCTCCCTCGGAATAGAGCTTATCAAGTAGGCCGTAGCTCTGAAAGTAGTGTTAAGCACGGACATGAATGGGTCAAATTCGTCTGACCTTGAATACTAGAGATACAATCAGAACTTAGTTCTCCAAATCGGATGATGCTTAGTGCTCACCTTCAATAGTGCGGGGCATGATACCGCCCGCATATCCAGCAGTCTTTCTTGGGGCTATGTCGACAATCTTGATGTTTCTGACACCGCATTTCACCAGTGCGAGAGCGGCCATGGCCCCTGCAGGACCGGCGCCAACGATGAGGACGTCAACGGTTTGAGGAGGTACTGGAGCAGACATCTCGATACGGTGAAGATGAGAGTGAGAACTTGGAAGATGGCACCGGTGAACTTATGGGCTTTATTATATCGTTATCCTGACCTTTCAGACGTTCACATGTAAGCAACTTGGGCATGGGTACCCGACACATCAACAATGGGTCAGTACCGCGAACTCAAGGGTCTGGCAACTCGACATCTGAGTCAGGCGCCAGACTGCGACGGTACTACCCGACATGGATAGGTCGTGGCCGTTCGGCAGGATGCCGCGGGGCCGTAGCAGTCTACGAAATCGGGGTATCAGATAAGATACTCCGGTGACGGGCGGAGAATGCCTAGTTATCGTGACTGATGAAGATTGACACGCCCTGTCCGGATCTGAGGACGTAACGGCGCCAAAGCTCCTACGCGACGTCGAGCTTGTCAAGACAAGGAGCGGTAGCCACGCAAATGATCGGCATGGCAGTCGAGTCTCAAAACGCATGCGCACCGGTTCATCTTTCGGAGATACGGGACGAGTACGACCGGTACGATTATAGCCCAAAGTCCGAAGCCGTAGTCTTGTGAGTCTCATACTCTCTATCGGATTTCTTGGACCTGCTAAGGTGGATTTGGCATTGTAGCTCCCGCCTGTCGTGGTTCAGAAACAAGCCGTGTCCCTTCATGCACGCGAATCAACAAAGCGTGATGTCACGCGTTATTGATGACTTCATGCCAGAGCGCCACCAATGCCGGTTCGTCCGCATTACCAAATGTCGCTACAGCAGCTGGGGCGTCCAATCTTCTGCCTGAGGGAGGGAGGAGAGATGAGCCCATCGCTACCCGTCCATGCACGGTCATGGTTTGATATGCTTTTGGGGAAACTGCCAGCACATATGTGCGCGTTAACGGCGTAAAAAGTAACTAATGTCTACGCAAGACCGAAGAACTCGAGGTACTGCTGCTCAAAGACCGGAACGGTATGTCCAACACCCTGCGCGAGGATGGCTTGGAAACGTGGGCCATATGTCGCGTTAGAGTAGCCATCGGGCAAGTACGACTCGCTGACGTTCGAAATGGGCGTAGAGGAGTAGTTGAATATCGTGGTCCATTGCTTGATCTCCTCGTAGAAGTTCTGCGGGTAGAGAGCGGTATCGCTGTCGCAGACATCAGTATGGGTCTTTCTTGATGTGTTTCACAGGGACGTACGCAGTGCCATGCCATACCTGCATCTTCGGGTACTCTCCTGTATATTCTGGGAAGCCTGCCTTGACCTGCTGGGCCTGTAGATTATGAGTGAGACCTCGATATCATGCGCATACAGCAATAGCTTCTCATCACGTACCCATTCTATGCCAGTCTTAATGAGTTCGCCCGTAGAGCATTGCGAGTTCCAGCTATCTTCAGGTTGGTCCGGGAGCGCAAAGCAGCCGTAGGCAACGCCCGAGTCAACAACGCCTGCGGCGAAGACATCTGGGTAAGCTCCCGCGAGAACCGAAGTCATCATAGCTCCCGACGATGTGCCTGCTGCGAAGACGCGGGAGGCATCCACACCCCAGTTCGCGATCGCATAGCGAACGGCAGAGACAATGCCCAGAGAGTCGCTGCCTCCATCGTGCGTGAGCGTCTCGGTTGAAGATACGTCGAAGCAAGTGCCGGAATGAGGCTGAGGTCGATCATCAGTCCATCGAGGAGCGATCATTACAGCACATGCGTACGGAAGATGGGAACAGAACCACATATCCGTATGTCTCAGCGAGTTGCGCGAATAAGGTCTGGTTGAAGTACAGCTGCGCGGTACCCGTGCAGTCTACAATGACACTATTAGTGACAGCGTGGAGCGCAAGGACGCGCGAAACATCTTACAATGGCTGGCCACAATTAGAGCGGGGTTGCTTTCGACGGTCTCCGGTCGGTAAACGAACCTGATATGGCAGTGAGTCTTCAGAAGGACAGTTACATCAAGAAGCACATACATTCCGACATTGTTCGGGTTGGCACCGAAGTCCGTTATCTCGGTGAGGGTTGACGCCGGGATGGAGCTTATCCCCTGCGCGAGCCCGACACGCGAGAAGAGGGAGAGGGATAGCACGTAAGCCCAGAGCGCGTTCATGATGGGGCTTCCAGAGCAGAAGAGCGCGCCATGGTCTCTATATACTCCAGGATGACCGCCCGCACCCCCAAGTTGCAGCACGCAACTCGATCTTAAGCTATTGATGCCGACTGTCACCTATCGCTCCGAGGATATGCCCAACATAAAGCACATTTTAGCCGGTCCATCCGAGGAAGGTGCACCGGGGGACAGCATAACTGAGGCCGGTTACGCCTTCGCTCGTATCGTGAGACATCCACTCGCACTCATTGGCGGCGCCGTTGGTGCTTCGTTTGACGGTGCATGGGAGGGAAGGATGCGTCTTAACGTCTGCATGGTCGTGGTCTAGACACAACCTGCACCTTGTGCACCTCGAGGAGCCGCAGTAATCATATCACTCAACAACGCGTTACGTCACGCGTTGAACGATTTCCTATCCGCCAGCGCCGCTTCGAGCAGACCACCATCGGCCACTTTGTACGCAGCAGCGTGCTTGCCGCTCATTCTGCAGTATCGTGCTATCAATGAACATGCTCTTGACCTCCCACTGTGCTCATACCACTCGCGTGACCCTACGACCGCTATCCCATTCATGCTGTCGATACCGGGTTTCAGCAGAGGCATTGACCGCCTTAGATGCCTGGATCTCTGAGCCCAAACGTATGGAATTAGACGACGTATTCGACAGGCGTCGTCTTCAAGACCTCTACACGACGCTGCCCACGCGAGATGGCACCCCGTACGACCACACCCCTCCCGTCATCCCCCACAATCACCTCTCCCATGCACCCAGGAATGAACACCCTCTACCGCACGGTCACCACCTTGCCTTCTTCCATCCCCGCATTGCAGAACCTCTGCTGAGACCAGACGGTACTGATTCGACATTCTGTCCGCCTGAGCCGTTCGTGCGCCGGATGTGGGCTGGTGGTCGGATGGAATGGCTCATCCCGATGAAGATAGGGATGGAAGCCAGAGCGAGCAATGAGATCGCTGCCGTCGAGAAGAAAGGGTTTGGTGCGGAGGGGAAGGATAAGGCGCCCATGGTGTTTGTCACACAGCGCATCGAAATGAAAGATTGCGGGGAGACGGCGAAGTCTACAGACCCTTATATCGTCGAGGAACGCACGCATGTGTACCTTCCGCTCGGGTTTGAGACGAGGAGAGCTGTACGCAAACGTACGCGAGTCGAAGTCACTGTGTCGGACATCGGCTGACGACAAGATCGAGCAGACGAGGTGCCCTCCAAGTCGGATTTCAGCTTCACTTACACGCCCACTTTGACGACGCTCTTCCGCTTCTCGGCTCTGACGTTCAACGCTCACCAGATACATTTGGACAAAGACTACGCGCAGAAGTCCGAAGGGTACCCAGGTGAGCTCTCCGTAGACTATATACGTAGTTTCCCGTTGCATCGTCACTGAACCATTCTACAGAACGTCTAGTCCATGCGCCGCTCACCGCTCTCATGATGCTAGAAACCCTCGCATTCCACAAGCCAGACATCCGCATGAAGTCGTTCGAGTACCGCGCAGTCAACCCCATCATCATCAACCGACCCTGTACAATCAAGGGTGTATGGTCCGGCACTGACACCGCGCGGCTGTGGGCGGAGGATCCAGATGGCGTTGTGGGCATGACGGGGAGCGTCGTTTTCACCTCCCAGTAGCACAGACAACAAGTCTCGTTGGTCAACAATGTCGATGATAGTAGGTGCCGATAGCCAGATTACATATACAGCGTGACAGCAAGAAAGCAATACGACTGATACTACGATACGAACACACCGGGCGCAATGACGAAGCCGGATACAGAACATAAATACGCGAGCCAAGTAGCGAAAGCAAGTCCATAACCCCTCGGCCTCAATCCCAATTCGGCGACGCAGAGTACGCGTCTCGCCGCCTATACCTCGAAGGAGCAGCCTGATTTTCCCTCCCTCGTTCAGCCTGAGGAGCAGTGCCTTCGCGCGACGTCGAAGAAACCAATCTCGGTGCCGGCGGGAGCCCCGCAGTCCGCGGCATTGTTCCAACGGAGGGCGAAGTCGCACTTGCTCTGCGCTCGTCCGGCACAAACCCGTTGTTTCCCAGTCGAAGCGGCGGCAGGACCTCAGGCACGGCATGAGTCTCCGGCCCCGAAGGACGACGAGCGCGTTCGCCCGGAGGAGGCCATGCCTCCCGACGTAGACTAGATCCAGGAGGTGCAGACGCCGGCGGCTCTTGCTCTTTGCGACTTTGATCGGACTCGCGGCCGCTCATGCTCGTGCGACGTGCGCCGTACGCTGCAGCGACGGCTGACCCAGCGGTGTCGGGTGGGGTACGACGCGCGGGTTGAGACCCAGTAGGAAAGGAGTGCGCCCTAGCTGGGGCCGAAGCCGGCTGCGCTATTGCTTGAGAAGCGGCTCTCGGTACAGCTGTCGTAGCCGGGGGATGCTTTGGCTCGGCCGTCTTCGTTGCATGAGTCTTTCCCAGTGCGAAAGTTGGGTTCGGTGCAGCGCCACTTTGCTTTCGCTGCACGGAGGGCCCGGAGCTAGACGCCGGCGCCGGCGTCACGGTCAACGAGGGTGAAGAGCGCTTGGGAACGGGTGCCGGTGCGTTGGCCGAAGAGACGGATGATGGTTGGATACCAGATGGTGGTGAAGGTGGCGGCGAAACAGACCTGGAGCGCGAACGTTGTGAGGCGATAGCGACAGGCGGTGGGACTAGAGGTGTCGGCGCCGCGAGAGTACGGCTCGCTGTGGTATGAGTAGTGGATGGTGTAATAGGTTCGGACCGAGTTGATGTTGGCAAAGCACCCGTCGGTGGGTGTGTATTAGCAGTAGGTTTTACTGTAGACGAGGTATTTGCAAGAGGCGATGTGGATAGGGGTGGCGCGGCGGAGGTGGATGTGGAAGAATCAAGATGAGGCGTGTGTATGCCGTTTGCAGGTTGAGACGTGGCGAGAGGTGCAGAGGAAGAATCAATGTCCATTGGTACATCAAGAGGCCGAGATCGAGAGCGGGTACCCTCTGCGTTAACAGAAGGAGAGGCGAAGGAGGTGGCAGCATCCGAGCTTGAGGGCGTAGTGGCCGTATCACGCCGAGCCGCCTGCATGAGCTCCATCAACGACGCGTGGCCCTGCACAAAATCCGCCTGAGAATAAGCCTTCGAGATTCCCTGGACGTGTGGCAGAGGAGTCTGACCTGGTGTTCCTACTCCCTGATTTTGCTGGATACTGGTCCACTGCGAGTACGCATGTTGCGGGCCCGGTGCGGGGACTTGGTGTCCCACGCTCTCCGGCCAGCCGTTGGTCATGCCTTGCGGAAGTTGTGAAGCGCCCGTAGGAGGCATCTTCTGAGGTACTGAGATTGAGGACACCGGTCGAGGTGGAGGCAGCATTGACCCAGGCTTGGCCGCCGACGATGAGGGCTGTATTGCCCTCGCGCCATTCTTGCCTTCCTGCGCTGTCATGCTCTCAAGCACTGCTTGCAATCCCTCGCGATCCTTTGCATTCAGATAGTTCACGAGTACGTGCGCAACTCGGGCGCCCTCGATGACAGTCGATACAATCTTCTCCTGTACGGACTTGGAGTGTGCTTCGAGTTTCTTGCGCGTCGATTCGTTTGCTTCGACCATGAGAGGGTGTAGCTTTGCCATGACCATCTCATCAAGAGACGTCGGAAGACTATCGAGAATGGTCATGGCGTCAGGGATCGGCGCTCTTTGAGGTGGATTCGCGAGGCGTTGTTCCAGTGCGGCGGCGTGCGTTTCCGATGCAGCGACGAGAGCTTCGGTCTCTGCTTTATCGCGCTCGTAGCCTATAGTGACCTGAAGAAGTGAAAGTCAGCATTTGACGAACCAAACGAGAGAAGGGCGGTCTACTTCTTCTAGCAACGCCCGCAACTGTGCGATCTCCGCCTCCTGCTCGGCAATCTTCTCGTCTTTCATTCGAATAAGCTCCTCATGCTCCTCCCTCAAGACTCGAAGGTCATTCTCGAAGCCCTGCTGCCGACTCTCTTCTCGCTCCAGGCGTGCCATCGCGAGTGGACCAGGCTCGGCACGAAAGACGAGGCCACCCTCTTCGCCCTCCTCTGCTTGGAAAGAAGCAAGGATGTCCGCGACGGAATCGTCGATCTTGGCCAACACTTCCTCCTTCGCATCTCGGGCTTCCTGCGCCACTGACTCTTTCAGATCATCCATCTGAGCGCGTATGCCCGTATACAACACTTCCAGATGTTTCTCCGCCTCTACAATCAACTCCTTCTCCCTCGCCACCTCTTCGTCGTCGCTACCAACCTCCCCATCTTCACTATCCTCGATCCTCCTTCTCTTCCTCGCCCTTCCACCTCCATGGCCATCTCCTTCGCCCTCCCCTCTCAACTGTGCATCCTTCCTCATCACCTCCCTCAACAATGTCTCGAACTCTGCCAGCTTCTCCTGCACCTCCACCGCCTTCTCTCCCATCCCTTCAAACTCTTTCTGCAGCTTCTCGACATCGACCTCCTTCGTGATAGGCCAAAAGTGCTCTCGATTGAGCAGCTCGATCTTCTTGCGCAACTCTTCGTCTACCTGTTTCTTGCGTTCACCGAGGCGCTGGGCAGCTTCGGCGACTGCAGGGCTAGTAGACGAAAGTGCTTCGGCTTGTTGGAGGTCTTCCAGTAGTTTATTGGCCTCTCGACGTAATACCAGCGCGTCTGCGGCCAATCTATACGAGCAAATAAGATTAGGACACCTGACCGACTCGCACAAGTCACTAAGTGAGACATACGCAATACGCTTATCCCAGATGTCCACCTTCTCCTTCTCCGTCATCAAGCGGTCACCGACCATCTGAGGCGGCGGCAGCGGCACCTTAAACGGGTTCGGCGCGAAAGGTGGCAATGAAGGTGGAGGAGGTGGCGGCATTGATGAAGGAGGAGGTGGTGGTGGTGGTGGACCCATTCCACCTAGCGATCCTGAAGCGCGTTGTGGTGGTGGTCCGGGTCTAAGCGTGGCGGGCGCCGTGGGCGTGGCAGGCGCGGGGTCGACCGCCATCGTGTCTGACCTGGCCGGCTGGACCTGGACAGGTGACATGGGCGCTCTGCTCGGGCCTGCCTGCGCCTGTGGGGGTCGCTGGCGGGGCGTGGGCGGGCTGGTGGCGCGTGCACTGCTGTGTGACGGGCTCGAGGCGCGTGCGCTGCGAGTTGGGCTCTGACGACCGTACCCCCTGTCCCGCTCGACTCTCCTTGCGAAGCGACCATCGTAATAATCGCCCTGCGGACTCCGACTCCGATCGCCAGGACGCCGCGGCGGGGTGGGTGATCGTCGTCGTCGGCTGGACGGACCCGGCAAGCGGCTGCGATGAGCCGGAGACGGCGAGCGCGAGAGTGGAGAGCGCGAGCGAGAGCGGGAGAGCGGCCTGCCGCTGCGATAGTTGCTGCTGTTATTGCTGTATCGCCTTCCTCGAGACGCCATTTCCACGCCCGGGTTCAGCCTCTTCTCAGCGTCAGTCCACTGTGGTTCCTACATACATGACGCCTATCACTTCACCGCGTTCAAAGAAATATTCGGGATACGCACGTCTGGGTGGACGAACAGACAGGCTGCAGCACTCCTGTTGCAGCCGCCAGATATGGGTTCGCCGTCGTCGTTGAAGAACTGAGGAGAAAGCGGTCGCGAATCAGCACACGAGGTTCATATATGTAACAAGCGCCCGTCGGCCTCCTGCCATTCGCCTGAAGCGGCAAATGCCCATCCCATCAAAAAGCCACAACGACACCCTTCACACATATCCGCCAAACGCACCTTGCATCGTACAGTCTTTCGGGGAGGCAGGCCCTTCCCGTGCGGCGGCATGGCGGTCAGGTGTAAAAGCGTGAGCCTTTCGAATGTGGATTCGGTCGGAGGGTCGCGAGGTAAGGAGACTTTCGACGCGTGCGAGATTGCCACAAACAGCCGTTGATGTGATGGCGATAGTGGACGGCTATGGGTCCCGCCGATCCAACTCTCCGTTTCCGCCGCCACTGCGCCCGCTCGCCGGGAGTGGGACGCCCGTGCTGCATATGGCGCTATCTACGTTGCCTTTGTGCGGCCACGACCGCGCGCGTTATGGCGTCGCATGTCCTGCGCGTACTTGGACCTGCCTTCTTGCTCTGTCTCGTACGCTTTACTTTGGTATCTTCACCACTATAGACTCACGTCTGTGTAGGGTCTTCTGGTTTATCTCCTATCCGCAACAGACTTGGACACGCGCGCACATGAGGAACACATCCTAGACGATGCTTTTGATACGGCTTCTGGCTTGGGACTCGACCTCGGACTTGGTGTCGACAGAGAGAACGGCGCCTTCGTAATGCTTGCCTCCGAGAGTCAACTCGTCGACGTGCTCCACACCGTACAGAGCTTGGAAGACAGGTTCAACGGACAGTTTCGCTATCCTTGGGTCATTCTTAACGACGTCGAGCTGTCTACGGACTTTCACCAGTGAGCATCATGAAACGTCTCTAAGTATGGGCTACAGACTGATGCTATCTATGAAGCAAGGTCCGCACTGTCACCCGCGCGCACGTTCACTTCGGTGTTATACCGGCCGAGCATTGGGATCCCCCAGAATGGGTGGACCAAGAGAAGGCAGCTGAGGCTCGTAAGATCATGGAGTTTGGACATGTAAGCGACGGAGGTATGAGCCCCTTGCGTATATGACTTCAACACGTTTACTAATCTGCCAAGCAGCATCTCCTCGGTAAAGACCATACAAAGCACTGCTGCTACTCTCATGATCCTGATGATGCGTAGCTCACAGAATGCGTACCGCTTCTTTGCTGGTGTTCGTGGTCTCTTGGCTATCGTATACTAACATCTTCTGACACCGTCTTCAGTTCCTGCACCAGCATTCTCTGTTGGAGCCGTACAAGTACGCATGGATCGTCGAGTAAGCACCCTACATTCCCGACGCAGAAGTGTTCCGTTAAAGCCGCTGCAGCCCAGGTTCGGAATACATGTGCAGCCCATATCGCGACCCGTTCAAGACCATGGAACTGGGAGGCAAGACGCTAGGTACGCTTCTACCCTCGCCCCGTCTATACAGACCCTCACCGTGTCTAGGCTTTGTCATCTCAAGTAAGGATCCAGACGCGAAGTTCGCTACCACTCTATGGCAACATGTATCAGGTACACACTCGTCTGTCTGTTATGACGAGCTCGGCTCATTGCTGCCCTCACAGACTATATCACGGCCTATCCTGATCTACTGGCGAAGGACAATATAATCGACTTTGTGGCGCCGGTCAGGGGAAAGACGAAGCAGCGCGAATACAACCATTGTTCATGTATGCGCCTCTGATTCTCTTACCGTAGCCTCAATATGACTGACGTGTTCCTCTGCAGACCGCTCCTCACCCTCAATCATTGACCTATTCTTCTTCCGCTCACCCACCTACGAAGCCTTCTTCGCCCACCTCGACCACACAGGAGGGTTCTACTACGAGCACTGGCCCTCCTCATCCATCCACACGCTCGCCCTCTCCCTCTTCGCCTCCAAGGACGCGACACACTGGTTCGAGGGCATGGGATACAAAAGCTCGCTGGGTCCCATGGGAAGACAGTACTGTCCGAGGGACGACTACGAGTGGGAGGCGGGGAAGTGTAGTTGTATGCCTAATGGGATGCAGGAGTCGAATAGCTGTATGCCGCTTTGGGTGAGGGCGGCGAGGGGTTGGTGAGGGTTACGGGGATGGGTGTGCTCCATGTTTTGTTGTTTGTTATCTTGGTTGTACTGTGCTGTAATCTGGGTCTGCTACTCTGAGTGTATGATAATGAATCGGATATCCTTTCTCCGGATGTGGCGACGACTTGGTGGACGTGGCGAGGCAGAATTGCAGGGATCAGCTACTCTTGTGGTAACGCGACGATGAATGAAATGACGCGCTTCATATGTGTGGATGATTAAGTGTCTACACGGGGGTCATACATCGAGGCCTGCGCATCCGCACACTGTATGGTGAGGATGAACAACAAGTACTCAGAAGACGCCGGCGTACGCACGGAGACCGGCTTGCTTCTTGCCACGATGACCCCGCAGCCAACACTACAGCTGCTAGGCGCCTCGACTGCGCTTTCTTGACAATCAGACAATAGAACGCCACTAGACATGAGCTTTTGATTCAGACGCGTGCGTGAATGTATAAAAGCGCGAGCGCCCCTGGTACGGTACTGCCATCTCGGAGCCCACGCGGAACGGCACCCACGGTTAGAGCCCATTCGACCTGTTCTACCTCAAGGTATGATATGCTCACCGCTCATCTGAGGCGTTGCTCATAGTTTGTACAGAAGCATGAAGCTTCCCAGGCTACGTCGACTGTCTAGTGCCAGAGCGCAGGACTCCTTGCCGCGGTCGTCGGAGGCTCAGACACGGCCTTCCTTGCTACTACGTATCGATCTCAAACTCACGCTCGCGGCGTGGGCAGTGATCGAGTTCTTTTGGCGCTTCAACCCGAAGAGGAGGTCTAATTTCCGCGGTACCGACATCAGCGATCAGTTTACGGGAGGCTCAGAGAGTCTTTGGGGTCTCGGCATGATTCTGGACGATGCTATCATCATGGCTCAAGAAGCCATTGATGCGTCTCCCGAGCCAAATGCAGAGCGGCTCTCTCGGCTGGGCAACTACCTCAATAGACGCTACGACTTGCGCGGGGAATTGGATGATCTAGAGCGCGCCATTGCAGCGGAAGAACGTGCGCTCGCGCTTACCCCGGATGGGCATCCTCAGAAAGCTGCCTTTCTGAACAATCTGGGCTGCTCTATGTTTGACCGATACAGCTTCCTCGGCGATGTCGATGATCTCAAGAGCGCCATTAGGCTACAGGAACTCGCACTCGACCTCGTTTCAGATGAGAGTGATTACAAACCCAGGTGGTTGGACAACCTCGGTTTCTCACGACAAGTCCGTTTCAATCTCTACAACAATCTAGATGACCTCGAAGTTGCCATTGCGTTACGTCATCGCGCGGTAGAGCTCATCGCAGATGATCATCCAACCCGACCGTCTGTGCTGAGCCATCTTGGAGAAAGCTTATTGGCACGCTATAATGACCTGGAGAACATACAGGATCTCGAGAATGCCATTATTGTACAACGCCGTGCAGTTGATCTCACGAGAGACGGAAATCCTGATACGCCAATATGGCTCGCTTACCTCGGGAAGGCTCTGCAGGCGCGGTTTGAACGATTTGGCGACGTCAACGACTTGGAGGATGCCCTTCAAGCACTTCGCTCCTCGGTCGACCTGACTCCAAATGACCACGCTGATAAGGCAATACGCAGAGACTTCCTTGGCCGCTGTCTGGTAGTACGTTACCGCATGGATAAGACGGAGACGTCTTTCAATGAAGCTCTGTCCTGCTTCATGGAAGCCACTGAGCAGCCGTTGGGTTCCAGCGAATGGCGCTTCCCGCCCGCCGAGTCCGCTTTACGACTCCTTGTCCAGAATCCACAATTCAGCACGCCTGAAGCGCTGTTACTCGCGCATTCACGCTTGCTCGGGATGCTTCCCGAGCTTGTATGGCTCGGTTACGGAATCGAGCGCCGTTTAGCGGAGACGCAATATTTCAGGAAACTGGTCACCTCGGCTGTATCTGCAGCCATTAGCGCCGACGCCTTGCAGCTGGCGGTTGAATGGCTAGAAGCAGGCAGATCACTGGTGTGGTCGCAGCTACTATCCTTACGGTCACCCATCGACGAGCTGCAGGAGCAGTATCCCGAGCTCGCTAAGTCTCTTCGGGATACCCAGCAGCAGCTCCAGAAGTCAGTGAATACATCTTTCGTGCCAGAATCGCGGGCCTTCGAGGGGATTGAGGGCGTCACGGTGAACCCCAGGGCAGATCGTCATCGTCGACTCGCTGTCGATTATGACACAATTTTGAAGACCATCCGCGGTCATGCAGGTTTTGAGGACTTCCTCCGTCCCAGGAGGTTCTCTGGACTTGGCCTCTCTCCCGTGCTCGCTCACGGACCCGTTGTGTTCTTGAGCGTGGATGACGATCGATGCGATGCGCTGGCTGCTCTCCCAGGCGGTGGGATCACATTGATACCCTTACCCAAGCTATCCTCAGAGCGAGCACATCAGCTGCAGTCACTCTGGCTCAGGCGTCTCAAAGGATTGTCGGTCCGCATGCAAGGGGTCGGCACACTGGATGCGCTCACAGGGAGCGGCTACGGGCCGCTCCAGCTATCTGTGCAGTCAGATACGCGTAGTCCTCGACATTCGTCTCTAGTAGAGGATGATGATTCGCTCGATCAACTCCCAGAATACATGTGGAAGTGGATCGTGGGCCCTGTCCTGGCAGCTCTTGGATTCCTCACCGTTGTGAGTTTGCCTTACGATCATCCGTACCATCTCGTGCTCAACTGCTCACCAGGACACGGGAAGCAAGCTTCCTCACATCACTTGGTGTCCAACGGGACCCTTAACCCAGCTACCTCTGCACGCGGCAGGCCTCTACAACGTCCCAGATGGCCCACGTGCCTTCAACTTGATTGTGTCGTCGTACACACCTTCCCTTGCCGCATTACAGCGTAGCTATGAAGGCATCGCGAGGCATACACCCGCGCCGCAGATGCTCGTTGTTACCCAGCCAGCAGCCTTAGGCCATACACGCCTTCCGAATACTATAGTCGAAGGTATGCGCGTTAAGGATATCTTACAAGACGCGCACATCTCAAGCAAGCTACTCAACCATGACCAGGCTACCGTCTCTGCCGTCAGGGACGTTTTAGACCAATATCCGTGGTTGCACCTTGCTTGTCATGGCTCGCAGCACCCTCGCGATGCAACGCGAAGTGCTTTCGCCCTCTACGATGGTCCCTTGTCCCTTTCAGATCTCATGCGCACTGTCGCAGACGACGCAGAGCTTGCCTTTCTTTCCGCGTGTCAGACAGCCGCGGGCGACGCGTCCAACCCCGAAGAGTCGGTACACCTCGCGGCGGGAATGCTCGCGGTTGGATTCAAGGGCGTGGTCGCGACGATGTGGTCGATCATGGATCAAGACGCGCCAGTCGTCGTGGAGGCGTATTACAAGAAGCTCATCGAGTTACGAAACACCGGTGTGATTGAGCAGGGGGAGACGGGCGCAGCCTATGCGTTGCACGAGGCGGTGGCGCAGTTGAGAGCAAAGGTTGGAGAACGGAACTTCGGGAGATGGGTGCCCTTCGTGCATTTCGGCGTCTGAGGGTACTCTTACTTCTGGACTTGTGGCGTGATAATCATGAATGCCAATGCAATTGACCTGTTCCACTGTTACAGACTTAACGATGACCTGTAATATATCCCAATTGACGATCGGTAGCACCATCTAACCTCAGCCAACAGTCCCACGTGCAACGGGAAACAAGGTGGGAGTAAAAATGGACCCTCCGAGAATCGAACTCGGGACCCTTGCATCTCAAGTTATGATAACCGCATAAGTACAAAGCTCTACCGATTGAGCTAAGGGTCCTTGTGAAAGGTCTCACTCCACTGAACCATAGTCGTCCTGCTTCCAGCCTTCTACGCTACTGACAACATTACAGACAAATACTCCGGGAGATAAGATACAAGAACATAGGAGAATGAAGCTTCTTGCCACTCTCACACGTCCAGATGCCCAGACTGCGACCGCGAATCGTGGTTGAACAGCTTCTGATTGGACGAGATCGACGGTGAACGCGACGCCGACGTTCCGATGGACGAAGACGCTCGGGATGGTATGAACGAGCTGTCCTCTTCGACCGCGTGGGGCGTGAGGCGGAGGTATCGTGTACCGACGCGCATAGCTTGCTCGTCAGAGTGCGTGATCCATACAATAGCCTTAAGCGACGACTCCGGATCCTGTACTTCTTTAACGAGTGTCTCTTCGACTATAGCGCTCGTTTCCGCATCAAGCGCCGAAGTCGGCTCTGCGTCGGGACCTTATCAGCGCCGCAGATCTCGCGCAATACAGTCGAGAGGTGGACTGACCGTCGAGAAGCAGAACCTCTGCCGTGTTCCACCCGAAGCCAATTGCAAGCGCAATCCTCTGCGCCTCGCCTCCACTGACAGTGTTCCATGGCCTATCCCAGAGAGCATCGTCGATATCCCACTCCCGCGCCACGCGCAGGATCCGCTCAAAGACATAGTCGTACGGCGCACCACCCGACCGCGCTTTCAGCGCGGCGAGCTCCTGCACAAACTCGCGTGGTGTGCCGGGGAGCATGGACGGGCGCTGTGGGATGTACGTCACGAGCGTGCGGAAGCGCGGTACACCTACCATACGAGTACACGGAGATCGTCAGTATCATCATAACAGAGCACATGCGTGCTTATGTGGAACGTACCGATAGACTTGGCTGTCCTGTATGGGAAGCTTGGGTTAGCGCGCGCGAGCAAGGGCGGGAAGTGCCACTCGCCTGCCGCGATAGAGGACTTCGCCTGAGTACAGGCCCAGATGCGCCAGACACTTCACTAGGGTCGACTTTCTATACATACCATGAGCTTTTCAAGTCCGTAGATACATCATGCACAACGAATATACGAACCCCACGCCGGACCTCGCCCGCAAGACTGCGATATCGCCCTCGTGCAGGTCGAACGAGGCACCTTGGAATATAGCGTGCCCGTCATTCGTCACACACTTGACGTTCTTCACGCTCAGCAGTGGCGCCTCGCTATCCGTCTGCGTAATACCAGGCATCGTACAGGCTGCTGAGATGAGGGTAAGCGGCAACCCTTGCCCCACCCTCGGCGGTTATGCATTCGAAGCGCCTCACACTCTGCTCCCGTTCCTCTCACGAGTCACACAATTCATTTCGGGGACAAAGCACTGCTTGAATATATGTTCGGTACGGTGAGCAGTGAGTACGAGGTCCATTAATGACGTGGTCTTTCTACACTATGGGGAGTCAAGCTCAAGGCCGGAGAGTCCGTTTCAGGGTCATAGTACGGAGCCAGGCGGGGGCGGTACCATGCCCATCTCCTCGGGCGTCAACGACGAGCTCTCGATCTGTACGCCAACACCGATCTTCGCCGCGTTCTATAGGGAATATGAGTATACAATTCGTATGACAGTGAAAAGGGGTTGAACGTACCTTGAAGTGGTCGAGCTCGCCGCCGACGGAGAACGTGAACGTCGGCGCGATCTTCTGCTCGAGGAGCATCCCGACCTTACCGGTCGAGTCAATCTGCGCGCGGAGCGTGCTCAAACGCAGATCGTATTTGGCGCCGATAGTGGCAATTGCATCCCTCCTTTGTGGTGCAGAGATGAGCTGCAAGTCGGCCGCGGCGTCAACCTTGTCCGAGAGCTTATGCCAGTACGTGGCCTGGATAATGCCCATGGGCTGCACCTGCGCCGTGGCAATCCAGCTCTTGTCTGTTGCAGCGAGACGGGCAAGGTAGGAGGTCGACATGTCGGACATGCCCGGGCCGAGGCTTTGGTAGAGCGTCTCGACACCCAGGGCAATGTTCTTCGTCACGCTCTGCAGGTACGAGCCAATGTACATACCCGAGCCGTCTACGGGCGATGGGTTCACGGCCTTGACGTTCAAGCTGAAGTCGCGGCCGAGGTAATCGTGCTCGAGCTGGAGCATGCTGTGGCCGGGCGTTGAGCTGAACTGCGGAGCGTTGTCAGTATTTCATATTCCAAGTGCCGATGAGAGCGTGCATACCTGTCCCTGCACCTTGGACACATTGTCTTGGGACCAGTCGTTATTACAGCGCATGCTGACATTGCCCTCGTTGTCGACGTTGCCCTGCATGAAGAACTGGCGCGCTGTCAGGCACACGTCACAAAACAACACCGAGCCTAGAGTACATACCTTGTTTGTTGCGTAGACGGTCGAAAGATAGTATGACGCGGGTTGTGTCTGTGATGCCAGCTGGAACGAGTGCGTCACCTGGAACGCAGGGTCGACGGACAGAATCTTGCTCAGGTCCGCGCGTGCGCCCTCCAGGGGGTTGGAGATGATGGTCACTGTACACAGTAGCCCGTCAGTGCATATACTTATTCAATGGAAGTGAAGTATAACGTACTCTTAGTCTCCTGGCCAAGCTTCTCTATTGAGCCGGCGTTCGTCAGACCGAGTGACGCGCGCCAGCTCGAGAACCGGTTGAAGACATTCGTCACCGGCGAAAAGGCCGAGGCGACAGCGTCGCTTTTGGAGGTCGACGCCGCGGGCGCGTCTGTGAGGACGGGAGGCGGGTACGGGATGGTGGCCATGGTCAGAGACAGAAGGTCGTGGCGTGAGCGAAGCCGAATATCCTGCTGTCGCCGCGACGCGACGCGCTCGGAAAAGTGACGTTGCAAACATTCCCAGGATCCACAGTTCGTTGCACAGCGTGCGGCGTTGTCTCTCCCCAGTTTCTGCGGTATATCGTTCCTTCACACATCACACATCTGAACGCTTATAGTCGCAGCAAGTGATAGATATCCTGTATTCTACACTACCAGTATACCGAAGCATCGATTCGTAAACAAGCCGTAACCGGGGGTGCACCCTTCCATCGTTCGTGAGACAGTTCGTGAGGCGTAAGGTAGGGGAGGGGTGTCGCAGGGCTACATTTAGAGGATAGGGCACAAGAGGGGTGATGGAGCAGTAGTAGGGTCACAACTTTGAGATCTGAGGAGATGAAGCAAGATTTGTGGTAAGCGGTTATGGACTCGACGATGCGCCGGCATCGCTGCGTGGACAGTAAAGGACAGAAAAGGAGACATAAGGCGAAAAGGAGTAGTCGATACAGAAGCACCCGGGATCATCACGCAGAAATCGTTCGTTTCGTCACATTCGTTCAAAACACGGAGACCCGCTCGTGCTTTACCACCAGCGCTCGGGGGCAGGCCGGAACTGAGCGGGCGGGTACGCCGCCGCCGGAGGCGGGGGAGGCTGAACAGGGCGGCGAACAGGGACCTTGCGTTGAACCTTGTGAACCGGGGGTGCCGGCTCCTCGTACTCCTCCTCGTAGATCTCTTCCTCGATCTCGTCGTGGATGATCTGCTCCTCGTGGTGAACGAGAACCTCGACGGAGGTCGTCCTCGGGAGCGTGGCAGTAGACGAGGAAGTGAACGCATAAGGCGCGGGTGTAGCCGCGCGGCGGGTAGGAGCAGGCGGAGGAGTCGACGGCTCAACGGACGAGGTCGGCGTCTCAATACGAATGTGAGTTTGGGTTTGCGTGACGGTGCGGATGACTGGTTCGGCGACGACAGTTTCGGTGTAAACAACAGGCGGGACTTCCTGTAAAAACGAAATGATGGTCAGCGATTGATTCCTGACGCGGTTGGGGTGGGGACATTGCAGCCCAGATGCCGGCCCGAAAACCGCCTTCCCGGTAACCCGCTCCGGCGAACGGCGGATGGCATAGCCCAGAATCTCGCGTGCCAAAAGCATCACGTGGGGTATGTTCAAATCGCAACCGCGCGTTCGCCGACGCGTCTCGCACGCGACGCGAGGCGTTCATTATCGATGGGCTCAACACCTAGGCTGCAATGGGGACAGGGGGACAGACAGGAAGAAAGAAAAACAACCGTTGTCCCCCAAGCCCGGACGAAGGAGGGGAAGGAGGGTATGGGGAATTAGACGGCAACTGACTCAAACAGAAAGGAAACGGAGAGACGGTTTTGTCGGAAACCCTCCTTCGTCTCAGAACTCGGGACGGCGTTGGTGGAAGGGCGGTTGTACCTTGGGTTTAACACGACGGGGAGGGGCAACCGGAGGCGGAGGAGCGACGGGCTCTTCGTAGTACTCGTAAACATCCTCGACGGCGGGTTCGTTCGCCGCGTTGATGTTCCTGTTCGACATACGTCAGAAGCTGCGGCTCGAAAACTGAATGTTGAAGTGACACGTACGCAAGTTGCTCCATGATCCACGACTCGCGGCGGGAGGCGTCATGTTCGCGGCGGTTGACCGTCTCTTCGCGACGGCTAATGTCGCGTTCACGCTCGGCAATCTTGAGTTCGCGAGCGAGGATGTCGTCGAAGCGGTCGTTGCCGTCCTTCCACCATCCAGGCGGGGTGAGCGCATCTTCCTTGACGACTTCCTTGATCACTGTCTGCACGGGTGGCGGCGGCATCATGACGGGCTCCGGTGCGACCTTTTCGACGATACACGGCGCGCAGGACGGTGCGTTGGGGATGACACCACCGGGGGCGCCAGCGAGGAGCTCGGCTTCACGGCGGGCAATCTCGGCCTCGCGAATGGCAATGTCACGCTCACGGGCAATGAGCTGCTGAGAGCGCTTGGGTGTCAACACTGCCCACGTGCCGGGGTTGTTGGGGTCGACCGGGTTGCCGCCGGCAGCTCCTGCGCCCTGGTTCGGGAGCGAGAGCATGACGGCGAGGACGGCGAGAATGAGAGAGAGTACGAGAAGAAGGGTCGTTGAGGAGATCGTTCTATGGCGGTGGCTGGAGGAGCGCTCGGAGCGACGGGTCGAATGCCCGCCGTCGTCGCGGTCACGGTCACGGTGTGAGCTGGAAGGTTGGGCCATCCTGACGCTGATCGAGTTTGAAGGCGACAGGGAGGTTGCTGTGGTTCGACGCAGGGTGGAAGTAATGGCTGCGAAGAGAAGAGAAAAGGCGGATTCGTGAGTAGGAGGTACGCGGCGGGGTCGGTGTTGATGGGGAGAGGCAGCAAGGAACATCAACCTCGAAAATGATTATATGTACACCGCCGCGTGGACTCCCACGTGTGTGCCTCATGGCTGATGCTCCGTTTAATCTCTGCATTATTTACGACGTAAACTTGCAGGTCGGCCCATCGCTTCTTCTTCTCTTGCATCTTCCTATCTTTCTCTCTACACGCATCGCGCGAGGTCCGGAAGCAAACCGTGTCTCGGAGGCATCGCGTTCAAGCGTTCGCAAGCAAACGGGGAAGGCCGGCCCGGGCTCTTTTGTCCACAAAAGTCTGGCCAAAGTCCTTCCCACGTATATTTGCCCTTATTTGGGCACCCGCGGCGTGACTTTCCGAGTGATTCACAATAGCTGTGCCGACGCGTTGTGGCTTGTCGCGTGTAGCGCGCCTTGTCTCTGTCTATCATGGATCTCCGACGCATAGCCCAGACGAACGCCATGGCGTCACCAAGAAAGGCGGCGAGCTCCTCCAGCGGCTCCACCACGCCGCGCTCGCTGCCGACGACGCCAGTCAGGCCTCGTTCGGGCTATGCCGAGATCAACCGCTCGCCACTGCTACTGCCATCTCAATCTGCCAGTATTCCATTCGACTGGGATGCGGCAAAGGGGCTCAAGGAGGCACCTTACTCGCCACGCGTATCGGCCAGAAAGGGTCGGCGAAGTGAAGTCGGTGTGGGAATGAATGGACCACCGGGGACACCAGGACGCAAGCGAGAGAGGGTGGTACGGAAGAAAGGCTTGATAGAGAGGTTTGTGTCAATCATGTCCCACATACCAATTGTGTGCTGATACTTTCCAGGATACAAAATCTACCGAGCAGGATAGCCTTCGAAATATCCATCTTCCCAGCAAATGTGCCATTTCCAGAAGGCAAGAGTGCAGCCAACGTCGTCGGTGGCGCCCTCCACTTCTTGCACTTCTGCGTCAGACTGGTACAAGTGCGTGACGTTCCCGACACCAATACCGGATGGGAAGACATGTACCGCGAGGACAAGGGCGGGTCCTGGTTCGACTGGACCACCGTTCTCACGATGTTCCTCGTAGGCGCCGCCCTCGCGAACGCTCTCATCCTCTTCACGCACACGAAAATATATCATCTCCACTCTCAGACGAACCCAGTCGCATCTCCTCATGCGCGCTTCGTAACTCGGCCAGAGTCGACGCCACCTCTCACCTCGCGCATCCGGACACACCTGTGGCGCTCGTTCGTCTCGTTTTGGCGCTTCTTGTTGAACTTGAGCGGCTCGAACCGTGGCGCATCGAAAGACTCGTCCCGGCGCGTGCAGGAGCTAGAAGTATGGGACCCCAGCGAACTCGAGCTGGCCCTGTTCTGTGTATATTCGCCTATGCACGCGCTCTTATGGATGCTATGGAACCCTGGCAATTGGATAATGATCTCATTCGTCATGGGTTGTACCGCCGTCCAGGTGCGTTATGTGTCTTCTCTGAAGGCAGTCTTAGTCAAGCTGACGTTGGTCAAATAGTTGCGCGCCTTGGTCACAACGTATGAGGCCAAACTCAAGGACCGTGCTATCATCTCTGCGGAGGTTATGAACGAATACGACCAACGAGTACGTGTTGTTCGACTCGTATCATATGTGCTTCAACTGATACATTTTCCCCTCAGTTTGTGTACCCGCGGGTCAACCCCATTCGTAAAGATGCCAGCGTGATGACCCACGAAAGCGAGATGGTCGGCCACCGATAGCTTCGCATCACCTCTATGGATATCCTCTCTATTTTATGTTTAGGGCTTACTGCACGCTTCTGTTCCGACCAACATCCATCTCCCGCAATGATACCTGCACAGCTGCTTTCCTGTAATCAACCACTCTGTTACTCTCGCTGCAATCCCACGTTAACGTTGTCTGCACCGCATCAAGTTGACAAGATGGCATACTATACAACTTATGTGATGCTAACAATTATATAGTACACTCAATACGCAAGTTGGACGCCCTCAGTCAACCCACGTTGGCTCAACAGGGAACTTCGCCTTTGGCTCATATATCCCACTGGCCAACCCCTTCGCCTCCATCCTCATCTTCACGCTCCGATGCACTAAGACCTTATCTTCGCGCGGGATCTCCCGGGCCCTGCCCAGATTCATGATGATCTTCGGCTTCGTACCCTTCTCCGGCTCCGGCCGCTGGACGCGCTGGCGCAACGGCAGAACCTCGAGGATCCACCATATCTTCGAGAGCTTGAGCGTGTCGAACATGGGACAAAGAGCATCGCGGATCTCCTCTTCCTCCTCAGACATCTCGAGGACGACTTTGCCGTAGTCTGCCTGCGTCTCCTCAGCGAGGGTCTG